TAAAGAACTTAAAAGGACCTCCTTATTTAACATGGGCTGAAGGATGTTCATACATTTATACGTATGCAAATGTAATGCAACCAACCAACGGAATAAATAAAGCATCCCGAGAAGCCCAAAGGCATGCAACAAAAAGGATATTGCACTCAGTCTCATATAATGTGCGAAACAAAATGTTCTTTGGGATTATGTTGGATTAGAGTCATTTTCTGAACAAATGTATATTGTTGAGTGACATGTTGGACAAGATGTTGATGTCACCTCTGTTCTTTTGCATTAGAAAATACACCAGGCTTGCAGAAATAATTTGATGGTATCACTGTTATTCACTCTGCTCTGTAAAAGACTGAATAATCCTCAGTACAGGGAAAAACAAGCACAATTTCAAACAAGAAAATACAATTGCTTACCAAGAGTGAGGAGCTGGGAGGTTGAGAACATGATAAGTGCACCTCTAGTCAATGATCCATCTAGAATAAGAAAGGAAAGGAGAGCCAGATATTTGACAAACATTCTCATTCATATAAGTATGTGAGTTTGGTTCCCAACAGAACAAATATGCAGTCTTTGGTTCTACTCCTTCTTTGGTTCTGCTCCCTCGTTGCCAAACAGTGAAACACTTGAGTCCAAGAAAAGCAATTAAGTAGTTGATAAATTAAAACCACTGGCTAAATAGCTGTAGGCTCAGTCTTTCACGCAACAAGATCAATTGTGGCTCACTATTACATCAAACCTCTTATTTATAGTAGCATAACTGGGTCAAAACAAGATAAATGCTTGTGAACCATAAGCCAGGCTAAGACAAAAAGAAATATTTAAGTTATTATTATTAATTACTCACTAAAACTTGATGATTGATAGGATAAGGTTGGCTGGAGAGAATGACAGGGGATTCAAGCTTTGTGGGGGTGGTAATACCCTTCATAACTAGAGTCAATATTTGATGGTCAACTTGATTTACAGATGGATTTCGAAGAAATTTATTGCAGCATAGAACCTATGGCTTTGACGTCACTTGTCACAACAGAAAAACAGGGAGTTATTATTTGATTTATTAGGTTGCATAAGAGACAGTTATGTGAAACAGAGGATGTCAAAGAATGGTAGACTAAACAACACAATTCACCAACACCTGTATGATTTAAGCATAATATGACAAAACAGAATGATTAAACCTCTGAAAAACAACTCACCCTGTCCGCTGTAGACTCTAGTAAAACAGTTTCTTTGTATGGTCTTGTGGTTTGGTTTGGTTTGATTTGATTGATTAATTTGGCCCCAAATTTAGCAACTTTGTCTCTAAGATCAATCAAAAGTTCACAGATAGCAGAGGTTTGGTGTTTAAATTATTTATGACTCTGACTCATGGATTCCTGGTTCAAAAATAGCCCAGATTCCAGGCCCTGATGTCATCAGCTGCATGGGGCCATATTAGATGTTGACTGGAGATACAGGATGGTTGATCACAGTTGGCCCACAGAGCATGATATAAGCTTCCCTGAATGGTCAATGGAGGTGCCCATGCACATCATTAAGTTATCACACATTTTTATCCATGTGATAAAATACTGGGTTATGTATGAGGGAGAATTTGCATTGAAGCTGTGTTATACTTTCGAGTAACAGCATCTATTTTTATTTCAATTCATTTTTATTACAATTTAAACTGCAGCATTCAAAATTTCCCCTCCACTTCATTTTGATTTACACATCATATTCATCACAAAAAAAACTCCTACCATCACTGACAGGCAATGTTCTTGTCTGGAATATAGATACTAAAGATTATGGGTTTAGCATTAACTGGCAGAGAGTCTGGAGTATTATTCCCCTATCATCCTGTAACCATAACCATCAGTTAATTCATTATCAGTTAATACAAAGATATTATTTATCCCCAAGACGATGCTGCCAAATTCATATTACCCAGAGAGCATGCATGTCCTCGCAAGGTGCTGGGCACGTACATGCACATGATGTGGGATTGCCCTGGGGTCTACTCCTTTTGGCTCAGTATTTCGAACATTCTGTCTTGTTTAATGCAGACACGTTTTCCTTGTTTACCACAGATATTGCTTTTGAATGATGACACTTCTCTGAATCTAAAATTGCATAAAAAGAGAGTACTGTTCACAGGTTTAACTGCTGCTAAAAAGATGTTGATAAAGAGATGGAAACCACCTCATGTTCTAAATGTGTATCTGTGGAAACAATCATTTCATAAAATCTTGTCACTAGAAATTTCCAGTGCCCATGCTCAAAAGGCAAAGATAGAAGCAATACATGACCTAAAAGTGACAGCTGAAAAAGTCAAAGCGTTGTTCTGAGGTCTTTGTTTGTTTGTTTGTTTGTTTTTTTGTTTTTGTTTTTTATTTTGTTAGTTTCTTTATTTTGCATTTTATTAATTTATCTCATGATTATGTTTACTATATGATTACGCTGCTGTTCATTTATTTATTATTATTATTATTATTATTATTATTATTATTATGAAAGATAATAATATATTTTTTTTAAGTAATCTGCATTCTTTAATCTCTTGTAAGTTAAACACATTTTTCTCTCGCTTGTACAGTCCTTTCTTCTTGAGGCAGTGTAGCATTACCTGTCATGATGATATTTCCATAATTTTAAACATATAACAGTTGTGTGGTGACATGTTTGTAAGCAGTGCAAAGCAATTTTGAGCACCTCTGCTCCAGTGGAAGTGAAAAAACTACCATGTAATGATTTTCATCTGGGTGCTCTGGTCCATTTCATTCTATTATGATTCTAGTAAGGATCTTACACTGTGCAACACCTGAACAAAGACAGTTAAAAGGGTCTTTTATATTACATTGACCCAATAAGCTTCAATTCTCAATGTTATTTTCAGGCAACTCTCAAGGATGTGTCACATTGCTGCGCATTCATACTTTGAGTGAATAATTGTATTAACTGCAGGTGCTATAGCCTGCTATGGTTGGCAATTATCATAGCCGGTCAACAGATTTTTATTTATCATTTATTTTTTGTGAAGTTTATGCATGCATGATTACGCTCTAATTGAATTATGAAATATTTAGTTCATCTCTAACGCCCCATCTTACGTAGAGGTAAATAATTCATGACAAATGAGGGACAGAGAAGTATTCCTTCATCTGCCTGGAAATGACAGCTCTTTCACGACTTTTAAACTGACAATAGCATCCCCACTGTACCTTTCAGTTAGACGGTAGCCTTTAAAGTGAGATCAAAATAAGTTGTTTAGATATCTAACTGGAGTTTTATCCTTGTGACCTCTTGTATAATTGAAAAAAAAAATCAAATATCATCACCACCTGTACTGGATCTCAGATTTAACACTGCCTCATCAGCTGCTGTTTGGAACTGATAAAGGCGGGTTATTGGTTGATATTAATGATAAATTGGCTTTTTCAATCTACAAACCTAAAGACATCATAAAATTATGAATATTAATTTCATTTAAGTGTTAGAGACAGATAACCTTACCCCAAAGTACAAAGTAAAGCCACTTACCAGCTTTCAAATCACAACTTTTCATACTGCTCTTGTCCAGGGAAAACTAAGTATTTCCAAACTTGGCTGGTAAACAGGACAAGCCTCTATTATAAACAAAGGGATTAAGTGTTTCTCGGTGGATTGAGATAAATCTTCTATTTCTGAAATAAATAATTTAAAAGCACTCATGGATTAGATGGGTTTTCACCACAAAACTGAAAACAGAGACACTTTCTGTAGTTCCCACAGTAATGCTTCAAATGTTCAGCAGAATATAACACACTGCTGTAGATTAGACTCTCAGACTGTATGGGAGTTGAAGCTTGCACAATTACTTATTATTGCAGGGGACGGTTTTGATGATGCTTTTGGAACTATTTTTCCGATTTCAGTCTTGTCCGGGTTTGCTGGTTTAGGGTTTTAAGATAAACTTTAAACTTGTCCACTCCTTTGAAACCTTTTAATTCCTTCTTCAAATATTTGAAACCTTTTTCCAACAACTATCAGATGGGGAAGACAACTTCTGCAACTGTCACGACTTACATGTGGTATGATTCCCATACAAATGCTACCATCATGTGGTGAACCCATAACACCACATGCATCACAGGCACTCAGCTCTAGTGTGTCGCTCGCAAACGATTCGTCCAAAAGAACCGAATCTTTTAAGTGAAATCACTGAACCGAATCACTTCCTTGAGTATTTCGTTCGTTTCTTACTTCAGCTCAACTGAAGTGAGAAACAGCATTGCCAGGCCAGCAGCCGGCGAACGAGGGAACGCATGTACTGACGCCTGAATCACTTGGTGAGCGAATTAGGCATTGAACTACACTCTCTGAAACCATTTTTGTCTGACAAAACTACCTTTTTCTTCACTGCTAAATTGCCACCACAACAACTTGCATACAATAGGACACAACAAGTAGTGCATTAAACCCGCAGCATCCTATCATTGCATTGGTTTGCGAGGGAACGGTGCATGTTCAGTGTGAATTCTTCTAAACGTTCAGTGTTCAACAAGTTACTCACTGACCCCAATTTACAAAGCAGAGCTGATAAATAGCGCACCATAGGACAGTACACTGAAAACATCATGACTTATAAACTCATTTTTACAAACCTGTTCACCAAAGCAACACAGCCAAACACTCTCATCTCCAAGTCCCAGAAGCTATGAATTGAACTGAATCCTGAACTGTTTAGCTGTGAATCAGTTCAGGAGTCGCAGGCTTCTCCCGCTAAAAGATTCGTTGATTTGGTGAACGAATCTTTTGAACGAATCTTTTTAGTGAACTGATTCTACTGATTCAGTATGTTTAAAAGAACTGCCGTGCCCGTCACTACTCAGCTCCACCAAACAACTCTCCTAGCTTGTAAACCAACCTTGAAAAAAATACGACCCCTCCTATTGGTCAGTGACAGCGGCGGCTCATTAAAAACAGTTTCTGATTGGTTCTTCATAGCCCAAACAGCCAACATGTTCCCCTGATCTTGTGCTAGTTAGCTTTAGCAAACGCTTCGGTGGCGCTGTGAGTCCGTTCATCAACAGGTTGGTGTTTGAGTGAATGCACAGAAGATAGCTTTGAAAACACACATACTCACCCGGATAGCAGTGCCATATCGTCGCGGAGGTCCCTCCTATTGGACACGAAAGTATGGTTCTTTGTAGATTAGCAGTAGCTTTCGTCTTGTGTTTGATTTTACAGCCTGCTAATTAGCATTAAGTTAGCGGGGTCACGTTTGTGTCTTTCTGGCGTTTCCAAACGAAGCAAACACAGAAGTAATTGAAACGACACGAGTTGTGTTCACCAACGTGGCTGTTTTGTTTACGTGACTCTGTTTGGCTGTGCTGACGGTACAAAGTCAGTTTGAATGTGGCGGTTTGCATCATTTGTGAAGTGACGACGTGGGAGGCGCAGCACCGAGCCAACTGAAGCTAACCTTAATGTTGCTAGGCAACACGTGATTTCGATATCTGAATGGGTATTGGCGTTAAACTGAACTAAAATAAAGTTACGTCTTTTTAAAGTGATCACAACAGACGATGAAAACCTGCGTCGAAATAAATCATTTGATATAACGCCAATAACGTGGATTATCCGGTCCCCACGTTAGCGTGCCGCTCGTACAGTCAGTTTCCATGGTTACAAGCCACAAGATAAAAACGCTTGCTCAACTACAGGTATATTTACAAAGCCTCGGCAAACTGGGAGTTTCTCTGAAGCATTATTTCTTCGCTTTAGTGTTACAATGACATGGAAACATTCCTCGTCCAGCTCCGGTTCCAGATAACCTTGTGGAGGACGTCCTGTTGTGAGGTACGGTCAAGTAAATGTGGGTACATGGAGCTTAGTTAGCCTTCACTAGCATGATAGCTCTGTTAAACCGTCTAATAAGGTAACGTTGAAGCTAGCCAGCTACTCAACGCATCTCTCGCTTTATTTCCTTGCGTTACTGTATGTGACCTCACCACATTTAACACTAACATGACATTAAGTGTGATACAGAGTCAGATATTTATTTTGAGCAACGCTGCAGGGTAGTCTGCACGGTTTTATAGGCTCCTAATCCGCTTTGAACGTCTTATTTATAGGGATGGAAGAGCCGCCTGCTGTGATCCTCCAACGCCAGACGACTGTCAGGTAGTGACGGTGCACAAGCAGTGCTGAGCTGCCGTTTACAATGAAGAAGATATTCAGCTTTACAAAGAAAAAGAAACACCCGTCCGGTACCCCTGACAATGGGAGTGTGCTTTCTGTTGGCTATGAACTCAAAGACAAGGACCTTGGCAAGGTTCACAAGGCTGCCTCAGTGGGGGATGTTGCCAAGTTGAAGCAGCTGTCTAAAAAGAATGATATCAATCAACTTGACAAGGAGAACAGGTATGTCTGATCAAAGCACCAGTTTTCTCATTTTTTTGAAGTGTTTGTCTTTGCTGTTTTCACTTTTCTCTTCACATATAATCAGCAATAGTCTACTATATGTTGTGATTGCTTGACTTAACCACTAATGCCTTGTTACCTTTAACCCATTTTGCTTTTTACCCACAAAACAGTTTTTTCATTAGCATATATACAAGTCTTTTCAAAACAAAAATAATGTACCTTCAGCGACAGTTTGAAAGAGGTCAAATTGTACCCTTGTGCTGGGTTGTGGTAAAATGATGTCTGGCATTTAGACTTTCAACAGCACAATACCTGCTGTTTAAAATGTAAATGACACCTCTGTGTTTCTTCTCCTTATGTTTCAAAGCAGGATCAAGTTACTTATACAATTGGCATGTGTCAGAAGTAACTGAGTAGTGTCAGTGACGTACTTAAAACATTTGCACAAATGCTTGGAATAGGAAAAAAAAACTAATCAGCGACTTGCCAGAGTTTTGTAAGATTTGTAAGTTATGTCAACCACTACTTGCCAAACCATTTAAAATAATAATAAAAAGAATAACTACAAACGCAGACATGCATTTGTAAGGGCCATCAACACTTTGTAGCAAGAACCACTCAGCAGTTCATTTCTGCAAGGGTACTCTCTCTAGCCAATGTAAATAGATTTACAATCTACTATATCATTAAAATTAGGTGTACTTGTTAAATCCTCTAAATAAAGGTCACTGGTTATGACTTGTTGGCAACTAACGATTATATCATTATTTATTATATGATTGTCTTAGATGATTAAGATGATAATGATATCAATAATTGTAATTTTTATGATTGAGAATTATTGTTTTAATCTGCAAAATTAAAAAAAAGAAATAACACCCTATACAAATCTGAACAAGCCACAAACTCTACAAGGTGTTCATTTGTGCTACAGGTGGACCAAAACTTAAAGACTTTTTGATCTACATTCATAAAAGATAACAAAAGTAATACATTTTCCAGTTCAAAGAAACGGAACAAGACAATGTTTGACGTTTTTTCTGGAAAAATGACTGAAAAATGTATTTAACCATTAAAATACCTTATTTCTTTTAGTTGATTAATCATATTACATCTGCAGCTGTAATAGATGATTTCAAGATGAGCCTTTGCATGGAGGAGCCATGAAAATATCATTGTTAGATGGTATGATAGGCCCCGCATTAAATACAACTTTGGACACAACAAAAAAGTCGTTTAAATAAATGAACTTGGAAGGTAATTCTGAGGTTTATATTTTCTCAATAAAAGCTCATAACTGTCAGTTGAAATGTTCAAGTAAGATCATTAATGCTTTCTCATGAGAGACTGTCTTTTGCTGTTTTAGGACGGCTCTTCATATTGCCTGCGCTGGTGGACATGTTGAAGTGGTGCAGTTCCTTGTTGAAAGCAAAGCCAAGCTTAATCTATGTGACAATCAAAACAGATCTGCCTTGATGAAGGTAAGCCTCTACCACAATTGTCCAACAACAGATTATTCTTGATTTAAGTGATGTTCAATTTTTTGTGCTGATTACTGTTTGCAACTCTCCACATGTATTGTAGCAAGCCTTGTTTGAACCTTTGCATTCGTGTCTCACCACTATTCCAGGCAGTGCAGGGCCAGCATGAACGCTGCTTGAGCATACTGCTGGAGAATCATGCTGAGCCTAATCTGGTGGACATCAATGGCAATACAGCTTTACATCTGGCTGCAAACATCCCATCCATATCCACTGCTGTCCTGCTGCTGGAGCATGGGGCTGACATCAATGCACAAAATAAGGTGATTGTCTTTTTTAGTAATCTGCTACATTTTAATTCTTAGCCTTGGACTCACCAGGAGGACTCTTGGCTTCCATTGAAGAGAATTATTGTGAATATTATCTAATTTGTGGGAATATCATAGTTAAGGAAGTTGTGTTTAATCACCTTTTGTTGTAGTGGTTTTAAATTTGATGTGAACAGTTGGACACTCAAATATCAGCTTTGAACTCTTTTTTTTCTGGGAAGTTCTTCGATATGTTAGCCTTCACACTTAAAAGCCAAAGCGGATGTTCTTTAGTTAATGAAATATTGCGATAACCATGCTGCCTATCAACTATGCCTAGAATGTCTAGAATGGGTATTATTAAGTATCCTGGGTGATCCAGGAGGTATGCAGATACTGTTTGTAACAGTGTATGTGATCCAACTCTAAGGAGGGGTTTGCTCCATTGACTGTGGCAGTCCGTGAGGATCATATTGAGATGGCTGAGTTTATCCTCAAGGAGGATGCGGATGTGAATCTGGTTGATCAAGATCAAAGGTCAGTTCTAATCGCTTGCTATATTTGCAGCGCATGTCCAATAAGCTTGAAGTGTCAGAGTTCATTGTTTGAAGTTGGTCGTGTCGTTATTATGGTTCTTATCTGCAGATCCCCATTAATGATTGCTGCTGGAAATGGACAAATCAATATGTTGCGGCTGCTGTTGCGGTTTGACGCAGATATCACTCTGAAAGATACCAAAGGCTGGTCTGCTGATGACTACGCGGGGATGAATGGCCATCATCCGTAAGCTTTACTTTTTATTCTTCCTGTGAAGCAATGTCACCTATATATATTTTTTTTTTCAGGCCATGGTCCATGGGTTAAGGCCTTTTGTACTTACTCTGTCTTCATTCTCTTGTAGTTGTTCCCTCCTGATCAACGAGCACAGCACTCAAAGGAACGATAGACCCTCCCTGTCTTTTCAAGGTCCAAGCAAAAAGAAGAAAAAAACCTTATTAGGCAGTCCCTCTCAAGATATTGAAGCAGGCTTTTCTCTGGGAGGACCAGCCACTGACAAAGATGGTAAGGATTTATATTCAGAGCTCATTAAAGGGAAAACAGTAGTATAAAGAAGTACTTGTCTATTCATTATTGACTTTGATTATTCTATTCATCCCTCATGCATTTCCACTTGACTGGATCTAGAGCATGGAGCAAATGAAGCAGGGGGAGGTATTACTTTGCTTAGATAAACATTGTTTGTGAATTTAGACAAAGAACTTGTTGATTTTGGCAGGAAAAGCCTTTTTGTGTTGCTCAAACTGTTTCTTTGTGGGTTGTAATTTTTCTGCTTCTATGATTTAGATTCTCTTTAGAATTTGCTGTTAAACTTTTATGAAACAGATACGGCATGACGCACCTCACCCTTTCAGTTGAGGCTAATTGCTGAAAACAAGTTCCTCTTCTTGTCTCTTGCAGATTTTGAAGATAATTCTCAGTCTGAGTCACTAAGTCGGTAAGCACGGTTTTCTTTGGAATATCTGCCACTTAATGTATTTGTTGAAATTCAAAAAGTCAAACCACTTTTTTCTCCTGCACAGGGTTTCAAAAAGTGCTGCAGATGAATGGCCTTCGTCAGATGATGATGATGAATCCGTTTTTATTGAAAAGGTTGATGCACCATCTTTTTGTTATGATGTTTGTATCTGGTGTAATTTTAAAATGTTGTCCTGGTTCTCATGAGATATTTTGTCATTTAGAAACCACAGAGGGTAAACCTGAGGAAACTGATTGCATCAGAAAGAGGAGGAGGTACTGGAAGTCTCCTGACTTATTATTAGTTTCATCCCTTAGTATGTAGTTTTTGTCAGTAATCTTCTCTCCCTGCTTACCTTTAGCATCTGCACTGCCAGACCGATCCTTGAGCAGTACAGACTCAGAGCCAGAGAGTGAAAATAGAGTCCAGAGAATCCCATACCTTCCCCAGTCTGTACCATCAAGCAAAGCTCCACAGCACCCAGTAGACCCCTCTCCTGTTCCCTTCCTTTCCAAAGTGCCCCAGATGACTTCTACCCCTCTCCCAGGCAATAGACAGGTAAATTATGTTTACTGAACTTAACTGTTTGCATGTTTGTGACATCTTTGCGTCCGTCTGTTTTTCAACAAGCAGCGAGTGGGGCTGAGCGGGAGAAAAGCAATCACTCAGAGCAGCCATCGAGTAGTAAGAGAAGATCTAACCTTCAAGAAGCAAGCCCGGAATCTGAAGACTCTGAGGAAGATGATGATGGAGAAGAGGAGGAAGAAGAAGAGGAGGAGGAAGAGGAAGAAGATGATGATGAAGACGACGAGGAGGAGGAGGAGGAGGAGGAAGAAGAAGAAGAAGAGGAGGAAGATGAGGATGAGGAGGAGGAGGAGAGTGAAGAAGAGGGTGAGGAAGAGGATGAAGAAGATGGTGAATGTGAAGAGGAGGAGAATGACAACTTTGTGGCCACTACCAAAGCCAGTACTAATGAAATTGAAGACCTACAAAAACCTTCAGTTCCCGATGCCCTTAAGATGATTGACAGCGCTGACGCTCTGAACACGCCCGGTGCTGACTTTCCCTCCAGCAGTCCTGTGGCTGTAGGTGCGAATGTCCATGCCTTAGAGAGAGATTCTGACGCAGAGACTGAAAAAAATCTCATTGTCAGCCCAGTTGGAACAAACACCTTTGCAATACCAGCAACACTAAATGTAGCAGAGGACTGTGTTGTGTCAGCAATTAGAGTAGAATCTAAATTTTCTGATGAAGATGAAAGCCTCGGTAGGGATCATGTACTTCCATCCGTCCAAAACATAAATCCCCTTATGGACTTAACAGGAGGCCCCTCAAAAGCGGAAAATCTTGAAAGAGAAATGGAAAAAGAAGATGACGACTCCTGGATCGATGAACAAAACAGTGGTGAGACGATGTGGAATGACAGCGATGATGATGAGGAAAATCAAAAAGGGGGATTTGGTCGCAACACTGTCCTCTCCAAGCGTATGGAAGCAATGCCCGTTGATGAAGGGGAAAAAGCAGATGGTTCCACTTTTGTTGGATCGAACAAAGATGCTGTCAGACAAGAGAAACGCAGATCCTCGTGGGGCTCCTCCTTGGAAGACAGTGATGTTGACCTGCCCAGAGATGCAGAGGTAGAAGAAGAGCTGCTTGATCAGAATAGTGATGTTAAAACCTCAGAACTACAGCCAGAAGCAGGAAAACAGCATTCAAAATCTGTATTACCTTGCCCAAATGAAGACCACTCGAATGACTCCTGGGATTCTCCATCGCCAGTGGAACTATCTCCAAAATGTGTCTCTCCTCTGACAGTGACAGATAAACCAAAGTCCCCTTTAAGGTTAACTGCAACAATCACTCCTCGGCCCAAAAGCAGATCTGCCAAAACAGCCAAAGAAGAATCAGATTGGGATTCTACATCTGAAAATAACAAGCATGATGAAACTGTCTTAGTTCCTGAAGGTGATGTGCAGCCAACGGTAAACCAGACTGAGGACCAGCAGTGTGCTGATGGTTCTAGGGAAGATGGAGAGAAAAAGCGTACTGCCAAAGAGTTAAGAGACCCCTCCCCTGCACAATCACCAGAACCCGAGGAAGAAAAAATAACCAAGAACAAAATAGTAGAGAGAGATGATGATGAAGAAGAACCAGTTGGTCGCTCTTCAAGAATGGAAGAAAAAGGAGACTCAAAGCGTGAGGAAGATGATGATGATAATAGTTGGGATGATAAAGATGAGGACAGCGAATCAGAAAAGGATAACATGGAGGAGACCAAGAATGATGGCTCAGCAGATTGTGGGAATGCCTTGGAGATTTGTCCTACCAGCCAGTCAAATTTGCCGTCACCAAAGTCGAGGCCTTCAAGTGCAACCAACATAAAGCTAGAGGAGGAACAAGTAGGTGATGAACGTGAGGAAGATGAGGGTCCTCAGCCTGTTTCTGATGGAGATGATGAAAATTCAGCAGCTCATAGGGAGAGAGTTCTGGATACTAAAAGAGACATTGCCAGCAAAGACAATGAAACAAGTGAGGATTCTGATAGCGTGGACAGAAATCTGCAGTACAATTTTGCCAGCGCAACAGTCAAAGTGTCTGATGAAGAGCGCCTGTGTAAAGGCAGCAAGTCAGACGATAAACAGGGGCCTAAACTGACTGCATACGTCCCACCAGGATGTGAAAGTGCCATTGTACCCCAGGAAGGAGTGTTGCTTGATGACCCCGGTACGCACTCTGTAAAGGAGAAGAGCACCAAGGATGATGTCACTGCTGCTCGACTCCCTGCTCTAGACAGGAGCGTGATATCGAATGAAGATTTGCACCAGAGTGACCTCGATGATGATGTTGATGTAAAGTCAGCTGATTTAGATAGGGTTGAAGAGCGGACCAATCAGGTAAAAAAGAGGTTTAGATATTTTGTTTTTATGTAGCATAGCAGGTTCCAGGATTTAATGGGCCTCTGTAAGGCCTCCCTTTGATTCCTTTTCTTGTACATTCATTCATAAGTCCCTGAGGACATCCTAATGGTAGAAATAGGTTTTAAAGTACATCACTTTGTGTGAAGATGTATCTCTTTCTTTTTTTTTCCTACGCAGCAAGAAGAGTACACTGACGATGAGGATGAGGATGCGAATGAAGAGGAGGAGGAAGAAGAGGATATATCGGATGAAAACAATCTGCCTGAAGCGAGTGGAGGGTCCCTTGAAGCCACATTGCCTGTGCCTGAAACAGAAAGTTCTCAAGATAAGAAAAGAGGTACTGTAAAGAGGAAATCTGAGAAACATGCTGTTGAACCAAAGTTATTCACCATACTTTTTTTCTTTCAAAACTGCCAAGTCTGCCGTCTCAAACAACTCTGGGAAAAATTATAGCTCTTATTTGGTTGAGCTAAAAGGTGCAATGTCTTTATTACTTTAGCTTTGAAACTGTTTATATTGATGTCTGAATAACTTTGTATGCTCCTGAAAGTTCGTCTGTGATTTCATCTCTAAAACTAATTGAAGCTTCAGGGAGCATCCCCAGCATCACTCCCCCTGGACACCTTCTTGTGAACGTAATTCCAAGTACTCACATTCTGCGGCTGAAGTGGGAAGTTTAACAAGATAATAAGATTTGTGACTCATCCGGATAAATAAGGTGTCGCGGCATGAGGCTTTTTAAAGTTGTTTGATTCAACAAGGAGCTAAGACGCTGGCAGTTATTTTTGATTTTGAATGAGGATTTTTTTTTTGATAATTATTTTTTTGAATTATACAGAATTTAGTCAGTGTGTTGTAGTTGTACTTGTTTTAGCAATAGTTCGAGACAGATTTTACACTTGTCCTAAAGCATCATACCAAATGCTCCCTATCCTCAATGAGTCCTTTGTGTCAGTACAATAAAATTGCAATGGTAGTCCCTGAAAAAAATATAAATATGTGAAAACAGCCATAGATAGCACCAGACATCATGAATTAATAAAGATTTAAGAAACACAACACTTAAAACAACAACATAAAGGATATGGTGGGAATTAACTAATGTGCAAATAGGTGTTAAACTGCTGCAACACGTATCTGTGTTCTTATGATAACAGATGTAACCAGTCAAGTAATAAAGAGTACAGGTTAACGTGAGATTTTTACACCTTTCTTTACTAGAAAAATGCAGGTAACCAAAAGTATTCTCTGGCAACAATCTTCAGGGTGCTTGCTTGTGTTGCATTAGGCTGGCATAGTGTAATCCATGCCTGTCCAAGATAAATTTGCAACATGCTGCAGCTACCACTACTTTTCACAGGGTTCCTACATAGTTTTCATACTTTTCCATACCCTACTTTATGGAATTATTTTTGGAAATACCTACTTTTCTGTTTTTAGAAAACAGTATTTTACAACTGTGGTAATAGTCTGGAAACATAGATACTTTTCCATACTTTATTTTTCATTTACCATACTTTTTAAGACCTGGAAATTGATCAAACTACTTCCATACTTTCCATACTTGTGTAGGAACCCTGTTTTCAGTTACTTTCATTTCATAAATCTCCATCTGTTTGAATAGATTTCCTGTCAGAGCTGGGTCTGGAGAAGGGGGAGGAAGAGCAGGATTCCTGGGACTCTGAGGTATAGTAAAGGCACTTTGAGGTCCTCAAAATGGGGCTTCTTCCTTGCATGAGGATCCTAAGAAGTTTTTGTCTTTCAGTCGCACTCTGAAGGCCGTCAAATGCCACATCAAGAAAAACAAAGGCTGCACTCTCAGGAACAAGAAGAGACATCTGCTGTCAAGGAAGAAAGTAAAGAAAGTAGGTCTATTTATCTCTTGCTTTTATTTATCTCTTGAATCATTCCATGCACCATTTCATGCTGCAGAATAAGTTTGCCTTTAGTTTTCACTGCCACATAATTGAACTCAGGTGCAATAACACGTGCATAAATGCAGTCTGAGTAATTTTCAAATATTCTTTTGTTAGCTTGAACATTTTGAAAAATATTGATATTCAATATCACTTCATCAATAAGAAGTCCTTCCAACAGTTTATTACATTTCTCTTGTAGACTTGTTTTATGTACCCTCTTTTTTAAGAGGGGAAGGACACAATAAGATGGCAGAGCTAGAACATCGACGGAGTGTAGGCAGGCCAAGAAGCAGCCAGGGAGAGGGTATGAATGTCTTAACTCGTAGGTTTAATGAATGGCATGCTAACCCATCAGAGACTTGACCATCAGACCATTAGAGAGAGTGCATGTATCAGAAACTCCCGCTCCATCCTGCCTGTCACCCCTTCACTGCATTTGTCCCAAATTTGAGACTTTAAAAGCTTCGGGTGCCTAGCTTGCTTGATTTCAACAGAATTTGACTCAGATGATGTCAATAGGCGACCACAGCACTCCTAAGGGTTCTTGGTTGATGCTTAACCACAGAAGGGAATTGAAGAGCTTGCCTCATGCCTCACCCTGCATCTTTGTGCAAATTAACCACTGGCTTATTTGCGTGGGAATGCATTAAGCAAAGTTCGGGCAGTGCTGTCAAATATGGTCCGAATTTTATGTTGTGTTTTTTATTGTAATTTGTGCTCCTGAGTCATGACAAACAAATATTATCTCATGTAGCTGCGAGCAACAGCAGTGAGGACAAAGAGGAACAAGCTGAGAAGGATGACGCTGTACATAAAGAGGTAAGCTCAACAACCAAATGCAGTAACGCAAACATTTTACTCATTTGAACTGAAAAAAAAAAATGTTTTTTCATTTCCCTCAGACTGAGAAAACAAAATGGGAACCACTTACTGTTCTGAGCAAACTTCACGGTGATAAAGAGCATACTGCAGGTACATTGACCACACTGGGATGTCATTGATTCTGTTTGTCAAAAATGAAGCCGATTTGTGAGGAAGAACTGTTTGTTTTTAACTTTGCTTCTCTTTGACAGACCTCATGGAGGAGCTTGGTCTGGGTGATGTGGATGATCTTGAAGGTTAGATGAATCATTCTCCTCTTTTGTTAATCTTATCAAGCCTTTTGTGTTCTGCTTCACTTTTAAATACTGAAAAGTAACCTTCTTTTTCAAAGCATTTAATAAAAGTCATATTTAATCACGTGACACTGACTTTAGAAAACCTTTATATTTTTCTGTCATCTGCATTTTGAAGCTCACAAAGCAGGTCAGTAAATGTAGAACAGCTGGTTAGACAAGGTGAACTCCAAACATGTAGCTGTAGTTTTTTATCCTTCAGTGTGTGAGGATGTAGTGACTATCCCACAGTGAACCAACACACAACTCTCAATATTTAGTTACTGACCTTCAGCCAATTGTCCTTATGACACAGATGCATCAGACTGGGACTCGGCCAGTACCGCCAGTAAGAGAACCATACCTGGCCGAAGAATTGCCTCCCCTGGACTTGAGGAGTTTCCAGAAGGTTCTAATCTGCCAGTTAAAGAGGAGGATAAGGATGAGGAGGATGAGGATGTGGCTCCAGCAGCACCCCAGACTCCACAGAGAAGCTTTAACGCCAACAAGAGACTGCCAGACACCCCCCCTCAATCAGTGCAACACCCCCAACCCCGAGCAAGGAAGTTCACGCTCCAGAAACCAGAGAGTGAAGAAGGTCAGACCCTTCTCCAGTCTTTATTTTTCATATTTCTGTACTATGTAAATACAGATCATATTCATAACATGTTTTCTCTTTCTTATGACTTTTCAGAGTCAGTTTGGGAGGCAGACAATTTGGCATGTTCTCCCGGTACAACTGAAGTTGACAATCAGCCGCAAAAAGTGGCTGAGCTTCAGGCTGTGGTTACACAAAGTAAGGCTCATTTGTCTTTTTCAGGGATGTCTATAGACATTTCTGTGCTCAGGCTCTGTTTTCTAAATTAACCTTTTTTTCTGCTTAGGTTCCCCTGAGCTCTCACCAGTGGCCAGAAACAGAGGGAGTAATAAAGAGTCTGACAAGCAGCAAGAAAAGGTAAGAATAAACAAGAGAATACTGCCTTAAACCTTTTTTTTAATGTTTTTTTCCTGACATGACATCACCCTTTATGCTAGAAACAGAAGATTTAAAGTCCAGAGGTTAATTTTTTAAAACAAGCTACCAAACATTAACCATATGATCTGCTTTTATAACAATACTTACCAAAGCCATGAATTAAAAAAGAGATGGACTTGAGGCATCAGCAGACGTAGTAGTTTAAATGTACAACACAAATACAGAGGCCCTGGTTCTCAGGGCAGCAGTCAAGGGTTTAACTCCCAGCCAGGAGACAAAAGAGATTCCTAGGAGAAGCGCTGATGTATCTTTTCACAATTGCATGCAGAAAGCTTTAAAGAACAGAGGTATGACAGGCAACATTTCATTTTCATGTTTTTTTTTTATTTATTTTTTATTTTTTTTTAGATTTAGATTTACAGGATTAATGTCATCAGAAAATTATATCACAGGAATGAAGTTGTACTATAGTCATGATACAAATATCATGTAACGTTATCTTGCGTGAATTAAGTCATATTGCTGTAAGCATAAGGTCGTAGTAGAGGCATATTTCATGGAAAAAGTTGGAAGAAAGTGACCATATTAAGAGAAAATAAATTGCAAAATAAAGTCCAAAAAAGTTATCATTTTTGTGAATAAAGTCATAAGAAAATCATCAATAATAAATACAAAAATGAAGTCTGGAGAGAGTAATTTATAGCACAAGAATAAAGATGAAAGACAGTAATTTTATCTAATTAAAACCATAGGAAACTCATTATTTTAGGAAGACAAAGTCATAAAAGTGTAATAATATCACAACGGTATAGTTGTCTAAAAGTCATATTACAAGAATTTATAGGCTGTGGAAAGAGCAGAGAGCGCTGCCTGAACCAGGATGATAGTTTGATTACTTTTTGTCTTCTTGTACCACAATGACTTCAATCTTCCTTTTTGTCCTCTTTGTGGCCTTTATTCTCTGTCGTACAGGGGGACAATAGAATATCAAGATCCACAAAACACGCGTTTTAGTATTTTATCTCCTACTCCTGTCAATTAAAAAAAAGAGAATCATTATTAGTTTCATTTGTTCAGTATTAAAATATCTTCCAACACTCTGCTATAGAAGCTCTCGGAAAGATCATCAGCTTGTTAGGTCTCCACTTTTCCAGATTTCAAGAGTTTGTTGTTTGTCAAACAAGCAAGTGAAAACTTTCCCCCTTATCGTTCTTTTCTATAATCAAGTAACTGAGTAGGTCCAAATTATTGTAAGGTGGCAATGAAATGGCAGTGTTGACTGTTTTGTTTCCTATTGAAAGTCCAAAATTGTTTTTTTGCATTGTCTTGTCTGTCTTGTGTTTTCCTTGTCCATTCATGCCATCAAAGGAGAAAGATGATTCAGTAGATGCATGTCAGTTAGATCTAGACAACCCCTGTGCAACTGGTCACATGAGCCCTGAGAGCGGAGAGAGGGAAAGCAACTGTAGAGATGAATGCCGACCTGAAGAAGGAGATGACGCCAACAATGTGGTCCTTTGGGAAAAACGTTACGAGAAACTCTGGGTGGAAGTGGAGAAAAGAGAAGCGAAATCCTCTTTCAAGAATGTAGCCTGTGAATTAAAAGAGAAGTTTGGGGAACTGCTTAAATCAAGATCTCAAGCAGAGGATATAGCTGAAAATGAAGAGGGGATGGCTGAATCTTCCTCAAGTGATGAAGAAGAGGGAGAAATCATTGTGCGCCCCACTGCCAGAGCAAGAAGTACTGTTCTCCTCACCATACCGGAGCAGAGGGAGTCTGGACTGGAGGACTCTGTGACAGAATCTACTGACCGGTCAGCGTGCGAGGACAGGAAGGAGGACAGGTGTGAGCGTCCAGCCAGTGAGAGCAGCGTGTGTCAGCAAGATCTGCTCACTGATGATGCTCGAGAGGAATGCAGGTCTCCTTCCCCACAGCTCACCACAACACTAAGAAGCTGTTTGGATGATGCCACTGAAGCTGTTACCGGTGGTCACAACATAGCCACATCTAATGTTGACCGTAATACATTCAGAAAAGATGAGGCCAAACATGGGCAGATCCAGAAACCGCATCTCAACCATATCTATAAAGACTCCAGTGCTAATCATGACCAAGCTGAGAAGAATGATACAAGTCCAGAGGAGGATCCAGAGGAATTCCCAGAGTCTCGAACATCTTCAGTATGCAGGCACTCAGCATCAATGCCAGGCATTTCTGATGAGGAGCTGGAGGAGGACATGGAAAGATTTAAACTTGAGGTAGGGATGCTGAAGGTAGTCTTCCTGGATTTGGAGAAAGAAAAGACCCAACTCCAGAAAGAGGTAGAGGATGGCCGCCCCACAGTCTCTTCTAGATCACATCACTTTCTCTTCACTTTTTCCATATGCAGTGAATTTCATTTCCCTTCATCATTTGTTTTTAAAACAGGCCGCCCAAAATGGCCTCCCATCATGACTTCATCTTATGTCTTTCTCATGCCCTATGATTCTCTCCCATGTTTTCTGATTCATTTTCTATAGATTTGATTTTAAATAGAGGAGTTGTTCTTGCATGTTTTAGTGTGGTTTAACAAACTGTGAAGATCTGTAGAACTGAGCTACCATTGGTTCAAGGACAGTTGCTCTGCACTAAAGGAACCTGGGTGCTGACTTGCAGCGACAAATAACTGTGTTGTGTATTTAGTTGTGACTTTGCCTGGTTGGTGCATGGACTTTGCATGAGCTTTTATGTTAAATAGTTTTTTTAATGAAGGTAAATTCTCCCTGTAGGTGTTGTGGTGTGACTGGTGTGTGTAATAATAGCCTTCTTTTATTTGTAAAGAAGTGCTGTTGTCGTAATGTTGCATTTGCTACTTGAGTTTTCTTTAAACATGCAGGTATATCTTAAAAACTGATTGATTTTTCGGCCAGCCTTTTGAGTGTTTGAAGGTTTCTGTCAGAAGAAAGCACTGAAAAAACTTTTAGTTTCTTTTACCTTTGGCACACAACAAAAGAGTGAATTGGAAATGTTAAAACTATACAACATTAAGTAAAACTTAAAGGAAGGGCTTTTAAAGACAGGAACACGAGTGTTAAGATCATCCAGAGTAAGTAAAGAAGATTTTAGAGGATCTCTCCAAGATCAGCAGCACTTTTTGTTCTTGGGCACTCACCATTGACACGATCAAAATTAATAATGCATTGAGATTTTTCACACTTTTTCCACAACAAACACTGCAGTACCCTATAATGAACTTTAAAAATACCACATCAAATAGAGTAACCACACTAAGGTGTTAGGTCTCCGGTGGGAGGGGTGATACTAAATTATGTATGACAAAGTGTACAAGTCTCTGCTCCAACATGCATCTTAAATGGCTGGCCCAAAAGTGTTTCAGATAGGAATGATCACTCGCACACTTTTTTCAAATAATTAACCCTCTCTTTTCAGGGCCCCAAGGAGACATTTAAGACCGCAGCGAAGATGCAAAAATCCAGTGCTTCTTGGGATACTGCTGGAGCATCAGTGGAAGAAGTGAGTACTAAGAAACCTGAGAGCAGGTTGGGATCCCTGTCAAGTCAGGCTGGAGCGATTCCTCAGGAACAGCAGCCTGATGCCACGAAGAGGTACGCATAGTTTGCTTTTATACATTTTCACAACCACCCATCATTCTCATCAGTGAATTTTGACTTGCTCGTACAACTTCAGAGAAACCCATCCCCATTGGTTTCCCTAAATTCTGAGGGTAGTTAATCTCTCGCTTTGGTTTTTATGCATGAAGGTCCCCTGAATCAGGTTAAAATAACACAAAAAGACCTGCCTTTTTTCATAGATTTAATTTGATGGAAGTTATCAACATGTCCAGGGGGTCCAAAATATAGATGTCACCACTCATTGACTATTAGGTTTATTGCTCTCCATAGCGCCAAGGAGGCACCAGTGCAATTGCACCTCCCACCCCAGCAGACCTACAGTAGCAACAAACAGGAGGGGGAAGCTGTAGAGAAGACCTTACAGCAGGAGCTGGTCAGAGGGGCCCGGCACAGCAGAGCCCCTCAGACCAACGCCCATGTTAATGGAGATGCTCTCTCAGTGTTTGACGATAGCACTTTAAGTGAAGTGTCGGACGATGAAGGAAGGTATATATGCAGTATGCCTCTTTCTTTCTAACTCTCTGTCACTAACCTTCAGGTGTGTTTAGACTGAATGCTAAGAGAATTGGGTCATAGTTATGTTTTTGTGGACAGGAGACTGTTGATGTGAATTTTCACAGATCACCTTTGGGGAGGGTGAGTGAGGGTCTTTGTTCAATAAAATATGTATCAAAGTGGAGTAACGACATTATGTACGTCATGTAATAAGTTGTAGAGACAGTAAATAGAAGAAAAACAAAAGTGTAATAAGCTGATTAAGATAAGATAATATTATTGTGTGTTTCTGGGGGGCGATATTGAACTAGATCTGATGGCTCTAACACTCACGGGGTCAAATTTGCTTGATTGAATCAATCTTGAAATTCACTTTGCATTCAGTCTATACAAACCTTTACTGTATTGGTGGTGGGTTATGATTAGGATTCAGTTTTACTTTATCTAAATTCCTATTGTCTAACTACCTAACTAGCCTCTGATTTTTTTCCAAAACTAGAGTAGTATACTGCATTATACCATTATATTTAGAGAAACTGTCCAGTGCAGCTGTAATGATCTCTAAATATACTCGAGTTTGTAAAAAAGAAAAAAAAATCACTGTTATTCTTCCCTCTGTTTGCTGAATTTAGGTTGTTGACTGGTGGAAAACAGAAAAATGAGGTAAGCCAATAAGTAATCAGAGTTTGTGTAAACAAAACAGGATGAGAAACTGTGATTGAAAGGCTGCATGTTGTTTCCATATACAGAATCCTGAAGAAGTGGAAATGGCTGAAGATTTTGATGAGCTCACTCAGTCATCAGACACAGATACGAACTACAGTGACTCTCCCACTTCAGGCTACAGACACGCATCACTCATGGTTCAGAAGCTGGCATCTTTGGGTATTGTTTCAGCTGTTTGAATGCTCACTATGTGTGTAAATGATTTAACTTTTCTTTCCTTTCAGGACTTGGTGTCTGTGTATGAGTCCTTAAAGTTGGCGTACAAATTGTAATCATAAAAGAGAAATCTGGTTTTTGCTTATCGTGCAGTGAAACCTAAAAAAAAAAACCTTCACAGACTGCTGTGTTATCTCTACAGACTCCAGAACCATGGTGAAGCTGCAGAACATTTTCCACGAGTATGAGCGCTCCATCCAGAAGGCAAGGAGTCGACACGGATACCTGACTGACAAAGTGAGCCAGCTGGAAATGGAGAAGTCGGAGCTGAAGACCGTTCTGGAGGAAGTTAAAGACGTGAAGTCTGCTCTGGAGCGCAACCAGTTGGAACTGCAGACCGAGGTCACCAACGTCAAGTGAGAATGATTTCAACAGAAGAAAAACTCGATTCACAGTGACTTTTTAACCCAAACTTTGGGCATGATATTTTCTATCAGCCCCTCTTCTATGGATTAACTTGTATCCTATTTTAATTCACTGAGACATTTTTCTGACATGCTTTAGATTTCAGCTGAAACAGGAGCAGGAAAATCGCCGTAATGCCAACATGATGTACAGCACCACCAAAGATAAGCTGAGAAGGACGGAGGAGCAGCATCAATTAGAGGTCCAGGAGCGACAGAAGGTGGAGCTCACCCTCAGAAACCTGGAGCTGGAGATGAGAACACTAGTGAACAACATGAAACAGGTTTTAACTTTAACGATGGTCTTTACAGCCAATGTAACACTAAGTTTTTATACTCCGTACAAACTCATATATACAGTTTTGTTTGGAATGAATGTTGATGTGATGAGATACTCCTGGGTATTTTATTGACCACTTTCTTGTCCACTTGTTGATATTTATATGCATATGGTGGTTATAAAAGTGTTTTAATGTATAAATATCTTTAACCCAGCTTGAAGAGGACCACAGTGAGACCCAGAGGCTGCTGGCTCAGGAGCGCAGTGCTCGGACGCTGCAAGAGAATCTGCTCAACAGTCATCTACGAAAGCAGCAAGAGATTGAGGATGAAAACAAAAGAAACATAAGCAAAAGCAGTGAGGTAATTCACACTTTCAATAGCTTATCAATTTGGTTTCTAACAGTTTTTAAACTGGTTTCACCCTCTGCTTACGCTTGACATTGATCGAAAATGTTCAGCAGCGTTCAAGATATTAACTTTTTCCTGACTGGTTTTTATAGGCCCTTTCCCAGCTCACAGAGGCCAGTGACAGGGAGAAGGAGTTGCTGCAGCAATCAGCCACCTTACAAGAGCAGCTGACCATCCTGAGAACAGACCTGGAGCATTCACAGGCCAACAGCAGTCTCAAAGAGAGCCACCTTATGGAGGAGAACGAGACCCTCAAGGAACAGCTGGAGGACACTCGCCGAGATCTCAAACTGAACGGCGAAGCTCTGACCCAAACTGTCTTCAACTGCAATAACCAGGTGACCACCCTGAAGTCTGAGCTAGCTATGACTGTCAACCGCTTGGAGAATGAGCGGCAGACAAGCGAAACATTAGAGACAGAGGTCGAGTCTGTTCGTACCCGCCTGGCTGGAGCTGTGAGGGAGACAGAGCGCTGCCTGGCAGCTCACACAGACACAGAGAGAGCTCTGCTCCGGGAGAAAGAGGAACACCAGCGTGTGAAAGACAAACTCACAGGTGAGTGATAATCATGTTTTGACAGCTCTGAGCTCATTATTTAACAATTTGTGAAACGCCTGTGCCCAAGTGAAGTGTATCTGTATTAATTTGGTCTTAGAGTTCGTATGTTAAACGTGTGTTAATGTCTGTAATCTTTTGCATTTTTATTTCTTTAGGTGACATAGCCAGTCAGCGTGAAGCAGTGAGCAGCCTGTCCCAAAAGCTGGCCAAGGCAGAGGCTCGTGGAAACAGCATGGAGAACGAAGTGCACCGAGTCACCCTGCAGCTGACCGAGAAAGGCCTGCTGCTGGATGTCCTACAGCGAGAGAAGGACCAAGCGGCTGCACGTATCAAAGAGCTGGAAACGACACTGCAGGCTGAGAGGGAGCTGGTCAGCCGCGCCGGAGCGCGCCAAGAGGCTACGCAGGAGCGGCTAGCTCAGGCCCAGAGTGAGGGAATGTTGTTGCGGCAACAACTCGAAGAATCCCAAAACAAAGGTGTAGCAAAGGAGCGTGCTGTTACAGATGCCCAGGAGCGCTTCAGTGATATTCTGTCCAAGCTTCGCTCCGACTGTGAGGAGAGAGTACAGCTAGTGGAAGAGAGAAATAAGGAGCTTGCCAGTAAGGCCGCTGATCTTCGAGATCAGATTTACAAGTTAGAGGAAGAGAAGAATGAAAGAGAGGTAAGATCAGGATTGTTTAGGGAAGAAGATTAGACTCATTTCTCTCTCAGTTTTACTCTTCCTTTGAATTTTCTTTAATTTGTAACCAAATTATATGTCCTGCCGATTGTTTCTGTGCACAGGCTAATCTAAGGCAGCTGCAGCAGGAGCTCGCCGACTCACTCAAAAAGCTGTCAATGAGTGAAGCTTCTCTGGAGGTCAACACACGTTACCGCAGCGACTTGGAGGAGGAGAAGGCTCGACTCCTCAAAGACCTGGACAGGTTGAAAGGAAAGGTAATGGCAGAGAACAGCGCCACCCTGTGGGGATACATCCTCATCACATCCCTAAAAGGCTGTGTACACGATTATGAAGTCAACCTATTTAACTCTAATGAAATCAGATTGCTCATTAGCATGTTAATGTTTACAGAGCATTAAGTTTAAGTTTAAAGCAACAATAACAGTCTCTGCATTTATTCTGTTAAGCTCATTGGTAACATCACTGATGAGGTGTTTGGTTCTCTTATAGTTGGAAGAAAGCGAAGACCAGTATGTTCAGGCTGAGAGACGCATTAACAGTTTAAAGAGCACTCTGGATGAAAAGGAAAAGGAACTCACCACCGCTGCTCAGAAACTGCGGGAGGCGCTGTCTACCTCAGCAGCTTCTGATTCCATCATCAAACAGCTGGAGGAAGCTGTGCAAAGGTGTTAACGTGCCGTTCACACAAACCACTGGATTAAAAGACATTTTCATTTTATTTTATCTGAACTTAAAAAATGTGTGTTATTAACTACACTGTGAAGACAATGCAGTGTTAAATAAAGTTGAAAATGAGTCCATACCCCTTCTTCTGAATGTAACCTATTGTATCTTCTCTAACACCTGGGTATGTGTCACATTAGGATGGAGATTGAGAACGCCAGACTAGAAGCTGCTGCAAAGCAACAGTCCAACAAGATTGATGCGCTTCAAAAAGGGGCTCAGGAAGGTGCCGCGGTGAGTCCTGCATCAATATTACAACCGGAAGTTCAATATTTTTATTAACAGAGACATCTTTGGTGAAGTTTTTTGTCCCTATTTTGAAGAAAAGCAAATTAAAATGTGTGAAAAAAATTGCAGCTGTTTTAAGGAATGTGATCTTTTTGCAGCTACCTGACTGCTCACCTGAAGGAGGGGTTGGTATTCTTAATGTAGATTTAGTTTTCCTGTGTGGGTTTACATCTGTTCTCTCAAGAACATTATAAGTTTACTGAAATCATGCTTTGTAAGGATTCATAGATCAGAATGCACTGTAGCTTTGTGTGGTATTCAGACACACCGGTGAAGCAAGGATTCAAAAATCCAGAGGGAGTAACGGTTCTGAGTCTATTTGAGGGGTTTCTTATCTTTCGGTATGCGGGATCTATTCTTTGATCTGAAGCTGCATGATGCATGTTTCTTCTCTTTAGTTTTAAGCTCTCTTTTAATTTGATTGACAGTTAAACAAAATACGACTCGACAGCAACATGATCAAACACCTTCTGAAATTTATCTCTACATTTTTATTTCATTTCTGTAGGTCAGGAGTCATTTGGAAGACTTGGTTTCAAACCTCCAAAGCAGTAAGATGACTTTGGAAGACCAACTTAATAGAGAGGTTGGTGGCATGCTTTGTCTGCTTTTACAGAAAATTTCAGTTTAGATTTCCTCTTCTTAATCTGTTCTTATTTTCTAGACTTTTGTTTTTTTTGCCAAATAAACCAAAACAGAGAGTTCTTCAATTTCTACTCAGCCAACCAACATCAAATTCTCCCTAGACTTTGTCACACCCACACACTGAGTAAATCAAATTAAGATACAACTCAAATAGTGGATGCTATAAATAAATAAAAACAAGCAGAAAGAAAAAAAAAAATCTCAGCACACTAGGAAGCTCCTGTTGAAGAGTCACTTTTGCAGAAAATCACATTTCCAGCCCACATGCCCCTCATCAGACTTGCAAAAATAATAGACATATCACAAGTATATCTCAATAAATTAGAGCATCATGTAAAATATTCTTTTTTTTTTTTTCATTACGCAGTTCAAAAAGGTTGACTCACAGATACTCTCACATTTGTGGCATGCAAAATGTCATGTTTCAGGTCTGTTGTTTTAATGTTGATGATTTTGGCCTACAGTTCATGAACATTACAAATCCAGTGTCACACTTTAAGGGTTCAAACCATAGACTGTAAATAGAATGGACGCCTTCTGCCTCCTCGCTGGGTGAAGCCACCGTGAGAACAGCGCCCTCTGGTGACAGGCTGCAGTATAGGTCATAAACCCCGCCTCCTACAGCAATCTCTATGAAGCTGTGGACCATCTATAGACATTAATTACACAGAATATAAATTTTTCTCCCCCCTGGTTTTGACGTTGACATGTAGTTATTGTAAGATTGGTTTGTGCTCAAGTCCTCTTTTTTCTGTACAGCTCCATTTTTAAAAGTTATTAGGGGGTTCATGTTTTCTATGATTGACACCTGATACAGCCTATTGGCGTATGAAGATTGCGTAGCTCACCCAGGGGATACGCTGTTTGAGCCGAGTGTCATCACGGCGACTCTCCCGCCGAATGCGTACAACGCTAAGAAGTGGAGAAAATCCTGTAAATACCGAGAGCAATTCAGCTTCAAATTCATATATTGACAGAAGGCGGAGCAAAGTTGTCTATAGTACATACAGTTGATGGTTCAAACAGTGTTTCCCACAGGTGGGGAATCTGTCTGTGGTGGTATGTGATTTGAGGACAGTGGGGGATTGAGTGACATACCGAGTCTAAGGTAGCACGTCTTTTTGAAAGTGTGGTGGTTTTTATTTAGCTGTGGTGTTGCGTCACAATCAATTACATGTAGAACTTTAGAAAACACCTTTATAACAAATTAACAATCAAAAAACAGTTTTGGGAAAAGTTTACAGATCCTCTAAAACCTGTCAACTTTCCCTCATTACCGTCCTCCCCTGTGTCTTTCTCTCAGGTCCAGAAACAGAGTATATTGTCTCACACAGCCCAGGACTCTCAGGCCTTGTGGGAGGAAGAACTGAAGAGTCGCTCTAAGCTCGGACTGCGTCTGGCAGAGCTGGAAAAAGAAAAAGGCGAACTCAGCACTCAGGTGATTGTAATGAGTCGTTCATGTGTAGTAGGCCAGTGAGTGTCTGCCATGATTTGAGCTGCAGGAATACAGGGAAGGGTCTGGAGATAATTGTGTCTGTGTTCCAGATGGAAATAGAGAAGAAGAAAGCCAAAAAAGTTGTGGAGCAGAAGAAGGCTGTTGACACACGGCTGGATCAGGAGATGAAGAGAAACACAGAGCTTCAAAAAGAAATGTACAGGTGACTTCTGACCTCCTCCTCCTTGCGCACTCTCCACCAAGGGCAGAACCTCCTCCTTCTGTTTAGACACCACAAGGACCCAGTAGAGTGCAGTCTTTCCTGGCTTCTGTGGCAGTGGTGCTCCTGTGTGTGGATAAGTGTCTTGTGTTAATACAGTTCTCTGTCCTTGTGTTTTAATAAGTGGTTTTGTTGCTGATTTGTGCTTCAGTAAATCTTGTTCTGTGTGTTTTGTTCTATGGCATACTTTTTTCTAATGAGGTTTTACATTTTGACTACTGTCTGAGGGATTTTTGTTTTTTTGTGTGTGTATTATCTTTTCCTGTAATTTTGTCCATCTGTGTTTTAAGGTTGCGTACTTTATTGAAGACTGCAAAGAAGAGATTGCATGATCAGGACGCAAGTGGAGCAGGATTTGGCTCTCCAATGAGCAGTCTGCGATTGGACCAAGGCAGACACCACCAAACCGAGGGTTCCTTTGGACGGATGCAGGAGAAGGTTTGTAATCACTGCAGCTAGATTGGAGTTTATAACTTGTAGTCACTTTTGTTTTACGGTACATCAGCTGTTAAACCTCAGGGCTCAACAGTGCGACTGTTTCACTCGCAGTTGCGACTAAAAATAGATGTGTGCAAATTGTAAAATGTATTTAGGCGCACGTGTGCATAAATTAAATCGGCCAAGGCAACAAATGTTTTTTCATGTAAATACCGCAGTAAAGCTGGTTTTAGGTTGGATGTTCAACGGACATTCAATGCGGATCTACCAGTGTCTTCTCGCTCTCTATAACCGGGAATAGCAACAGCAGTGCGGTTAAATCTACTCAGCACCCTCGCTGTCAACGTCAGGTGTTGAATAAGGGACCATCAATAAATAACGGATTGATGTTCTCAAAAAAATGTTGTTTTCGTTCAATAACTTCCATGTCATGTGACCAATTGACCTAAAATTGATTTCAAATAATAATACTTATGTCGACCAATCAGACACACCTCTTTATGTCCCTAATTTGTCCTCTAAAAAAAATTGTGTTAAATTTAAATGCAAATTTTGAACATTTTCTTCAATAGCTTCCATGTCATGTGACTAAAAGACCTAAACTTGATTTCAAATCATAGTTCTTATGGCGACCAATAAGACACACATTATTTTATCAAATTCCATTGTGCCCCTAAAGTTCCTTCTGTGCTCCTTACTTTTTCAACTAAGGAGCACATGTGCTCCTTGTGAAAAAAGTTAGTGTCAAGCCCTGAACCTTACCCTCATATCTTGACCCCATCTTCTTTTTGTTACCAGATGGATGATCTGCAGATGAAGCTGGAGAAGGAAACATCCCGTCGCAGTCAGCTCGAGAGGTTGAACGGGGAGCTGAAGGAGCAGCTTTCCTCTATGAAAAGTTCAAGCCACAGTAATGACCAGCAGGAAAGAAGTAAGAGGCAGTTGGAGGAGGAGATATTAGACCTGAGACGCCGAATGGAAACTGCTCAGATGGAGCAGAGCCAGGTGGAGCAGTACCGCCGTGACACAGAGGAAAGAGCTCGTCAGGAAATCCAGCAAAAACTGGAGCAGGTCAACCTTTTCCTGCAGGTACAAGTTCTGTTGAGTCAAAGTGTCACATTTCAAACCATCAGAAAATACTTTTTAATTAGAAGTCATCTGTTTGTGTTCCAGTCTCAAGCAGCATCACAAGAGGCATTGGATCAGTTTAAAGCGGCCAACGAGGCCAACCTACGCTCCCAACTGGAGCAGAAGATCCGAGAGTTAGAGGTGGAACTGGGCCGGGCCCGCACTACCCACCATGACAGCATCAACCAAAGAGACTCCACGCGCACAGAGCTAGAGCGGTACAAGCAGCTCTACAGGGAGGAGCTGCGCCTTCGCAAGTCTCTGGCTGCCAAACTGGAAAGGTGAGGCTAGCTTTCACGTCGTATGTTGGCAAAGCTGACAGCAGCCAACACCGCCTGGCCCGGCATTATGGTGTAACCAGAAGTACACAGCACTGATGAAGACAAACCTTTGCTTTGTTTCGACAGGGCCAACAGTCGTCTGTCAGAAGCCAATTCAAAGTTGCTAAGTGAGCGCAGCAGGTCTCTGATCAGCAGCGGAATTGCAAATGGTAGCCTCACAGGGCCGTCGCTGGACGTCAGCGCTCTGGGCTCATCTGCTCACTACGGGTCCCCCCTCAATAGGAACCTTGGCCTAGGACTTTCCTTCCTCAACCCTGTTACTGAGGGACAGAACAGCAGTGTGGAGGACTACTTAGCCAGGGTCTGTACTCTCACTAACTGACACACGTGTTCATTGAGAAGTTGATTTATAGTGGGCTGTTTTCATTTCCATTGTGCCATGGTGGTTAGTGTTATTGTGTGAAAAGTGTTATTGTGTTCAGGGTCGTCATTTGTTTTACACAGGTTAGAGTTTTTTTGTCCAACTGTCCCAGAGCAATGAGGGAATGAACCCTATTTGAAAATCTCTCTTCTTCTTCTTGTTTCCATATTGTTTCTCCTCGCTCCATCGGAGGCCTCATCAGTAGGACTTTCCCTCTAACCTGTCTTCTATTTTTCACTCTTGTAGCTTCTAGCTCAAAAGTCTGTCTCTCATCTGTCCTCTCTCCAGCCAGACTCATAACCAGGTGTGTAGAAGTGTTTGGCTTTCTGTCTGACTGGTTTCTGTTTCTTTCACCCTGCTGATACTTGACGGCTCTGTTCACATGCAAAACCATGATGTTCAGGGTCAGCACAGTGAAGAAACAGACTGCAGATGTTGTAGGGTATCAATATTTTTAGGGAAACCAGCGGAGAAAATGTCTTTACATACTCATATACTCATATGTTAAAAATCTAACCATGTTGCCGGGCTCTTTAGCTTGGAGCATTGTTTGTACAAACTATCTGCATCACTTGCAATGAGTTTGTCATCTTTTGATCATCCTAGTTGGAAACGCTGGTGTATAAGGGATGTCAAAAAGTCTTTACATTCAAAGGTGGTTAGGGGACAGTTAAGGAGAGTGACAATTAAGATTTAACTCAGGAAATAGAAGCTGTGAACGTAGCATTAGCAAATCAAAGAAATTCAAAAGGAGAATGTGAACTTTTTGCTGCGTTCCAGTTACCTCGGAAGTCGGCGCTGGGAATGACGTTGCATCCGAGTTGACGCCGATACAGTTAAACAAGTCGGAAAACCAAGATGAACGCCTACTGTTAGCCGTTGTTAGCTGTTGTTTTTGTCAGCTGTCGTTGGCCGTTGTCAGCTGATGTTTGCTGTACTTGTAAACAACGCATATCACTGTATTTTACTCTTACAAACACCATAGCACCGTGTTCACAGTTTGAAGTTGGGCAGTACAACATATACCACTTACTGAATTTCACAAAAACAAAACAGAAGTGCTACTAAATTTTACATTACGAGAGCTTTTACTGTTACTCTTTACTGTTGATGCACTGTGCTGCCATATTAGATTGTGACGTTGTCGTCAAGTTGGGGGTTGGCGAGGATCGTCAAACTTCAGGGGGGCGTTTCCGATGAATTTCCAAGTCTGAGTTCGGAAATTCCGACTTCTGAGTAAAACTAGAACGCAGCATTTTAATAAGCTTATTCATGTTCATTGTCTCTGATGAGTCTTATGGTAAGTTGTTGCTCTTGATACCTACCGTCCAGCCTTTATTTGTAAGTATCTATAAACTTTTCTCAGTGTAGATAAGGGAGACAGGCAGAGCTTGCATGTTTTGGCATGTCCTGCTGTGTTTCACATACTACCTCTGTTTCCTTTAAAGTTTGGGTTTTAAGTGTGTGTTGCCATTTGCTTATATTTGTTTTGCGGTGAATACATTATATCATGTATTCAATCTCTTTTTAAAGTAAGGGTAGGCAACTTTTTAAAGCTTATTTAAAAAGAACGGCCTTGAATTTCACCCCAGCAACATTCACAACAAATGAAATGAATGGATAGCTCTTCTGTTTGCCAGTTATTGCTGAGCTGTTTCTACAAGCTGAAGCTAGCAGGCACACTTCCTCTCCTCATCGTTCTTCTCACAGTCTTATCTTTCACCATTGAGGCAGCGCAGGTTATAATGTTTGCAGAGCGTCTTCGTCTTCTCGTCACTTACTTTTAAAATTAAGCTTCCTTTGTCTACTTCAAAGTTGTCTTCCCATCGTTTGTGTTTATTATTAATAAGGCCATGCTTTTTTAAAGTTTATGCTATTTGATTTCAATCTCATCAGAACTCAAATGTAACCCCAGCTTTCCTTTTTTTCTTTGTAGATGCAGAGTGAGTTGGATAGAAATATAACAAGAGAATTAAACAATGGTGAGTGCACTCTTGCTCGGGATATTTGAAAACGTCTCACTTACTCCTCTGATCTTAAAAAGAAGGTAGCCATTCCAGCATGTGTTCCTTGCTGATAGTAACTGTGGGCTCTCTCTCCCTCTCTCTTTCTTTCTCTCTCTCTCTCTCTCTCTCTGTGTTAATCAGCCACAGCAGAGTTGGATGTCTCTTTAGCAGGGATGCCCACAGCAGCCTCTGCCCCCAGGACACAGCTGGACCCCGTCAGCGCGGCTACGCAGGAGTACTTGGAGGTCCTGAAGAAGAACTATATGATCTGAAGGGTATTTGAGAGACGAGTATTATTTTAAGCCATAGGAAAATTTGATAAATTCACAAATAGGAATGAGTTAAACACCACTGTCCTTCTGTATAAAAAAGCAAACACAATGCACATTGCACTTAACCACTCAGGAGCAAAGGACATCAGTCATATGTGTGTTACGTTATTGATTGAAACAATCATAGAAAACCTTGAAAGTATTTGTCCTAGATTTTGTCCAGTCAGTTACTGTTTGTCCTCATAATACAAATATATATATAGAGAGACAGAGATTTGTGATTTGGATTTGTGAATATTGGTGTTGCTCTTTGCATTTAAAAGTATTTAATGTCTGCATCATTAATAATGTTGCCAAGATTTGACATTTGGTACGTGCCATCAAATGGTGCAATATTTGTCTTGGTGTTACCATATCAGATTAGCGTGTTTGTTGATATTCATTTTATTTATTCACTTTTTTATTGAACATGATATACTTGAAAAGACGAGCTGGAATTCTCTCTGGCTAGAGACACAGGGTGACTACATGTTGTACAACTGTCTTATCAGCATTTGGTTGGCTTATTTTTAGAGCCGCCTTATGTCTGTAACACTTTTTTTTTCCCCATTATCCACTTATTCTATATAGAATATATAAAGAAAGTTCTTATGACGCCTGTACATTACAGAAGACACTAAAGTTGTAAATAAAACTGAAAAAACCCTGAACCTTACATCAACTTATGAAACTCTTAGTGAACTCATTTGTGCTTCTGACTCTTCTTAAGTTTGTGTACATGAAAATGAAAACACGCGCCATCCAGTCAAAACCTACAGTGACCCTGAGGTGCAAAACACAACGGCAAATCAAAAAAACACAACACAAAAAGAGAAAACAACACAAACAGAGAAAACACTAGAAGAGAAAACACCATGGCAAATCAGAAAACACAACGCAAAAGAGAAAAAAGAAAACAAAACGGGAAAAAAAGAAAACACAACACAAAAAGAGAAAACAACGGTAAATCAGAAAATATAACACAAAAAGAGAAAACACAACGGCAAATCAGAAAACACAACGCAAAAAGAGAAAATACAACACAAAAAGAGAAAACGCGACACAAAAAGAGAAAACACAACACAAAAAGAGAAAATGCAACACAAAAAGAGAAAACTAATAGAGAAAACACAATGGCAAATCAGAAAACATAACACAAAAAGAGAAAACACAAAAAGACAATACAACAGTAAATCAGAAAACAGCAGAAAAAGATGAAACACAAAAAAAACCAAATGGCAAATCACAAAATACAACACAATAAGAGAAAACACAAAAAGAGAAAACAACACAGTAAGAGAAACCACAACACAAAAAGAGAAAACACAATGGCAAATCAAAAAACACAACAATATAAACATTGTGTTTTCCCTTTTTTGTGTTGTGTTTTCTTTTTCACCGTTTTGTTTCGCACCTCAGGACCACTGTAAAAAAAAAAAACAGTTTAAACATTATTTTCATGACTCCAACACATTTGAAATACTACAAAAACTTCAGTTTGTAAAAATGTAGGGATCATGTCACTGTGGCGATAAACCATATTGTGAATATAAGTATAAAGGAGCATTTTCAACAGAAGAAATCATTTTTGAATCAGTGAAACCACATCTCACTTGATTGAAATCATTGTTATATCGAATAATCAACTGCGTCAACGGTGGCATTTTAGTGTCCATGTAATTCAACTATCTGACTCTCTACTCACTCAGGTGGTCATGTAAAAACTATCAGACAGTAAAGCTTTCTAGCTAACTTTGCAACAACCTGTCTCGTTTTGTAGCTTTTAGTTTGTAGTTGCTGATCAGACTAGAGAAAAATACAAAGCTGAAACAAATAAACCAATATTTTCCTTTTCTGTTTACTATAACATCTCGATTAAGTCTGTTCAGTGCAGTTTGTAATGGATGCCAAGTATATACATAAATACAAATGGATGATTCTAACAATTTCCTGAAAAATATATGTTTAATAACAGCCTTTCTTTTTCCTTAATAAACCCGTAATTTAATTAATTGAATGCAGATTTCACATGACATTACAGGTAAGGTATATCAGGATAAAAATGTGGCTTGGGATCAATATTTCATGCATGCCTTTTATAACCCACCCCTCATTAGCTATGTTTTGAAGTACTTCACTTTACAGCCTCCCCTCCTCTCACACTCCCAAACACATGAAACTTGATGGTGCGTGCTGATTTAGAAACCATTCCCCTCACTTATTAAAATGAGACAATGTGTTTATGATTGCCCCCCTCTGCTGTGTCTCTCTTCCCTTTGATCCATCCTCTTTGCGTCAGCCTCAAATGGAAGATATTCAAATCTGGTTACATTTATTTTTGTTTCCTCCACAGCAGATAGGCACATCTGACAGACTGACGATTAGGTGTTATTATTTCCCTTTTTTTTTTTTTTTTTCAATAGACGCCACTTCATACACTACACGCAAACCTTGTTTTGATTGAGGAGGTTACAACCGTTGTCGTAAAGCTTTAGAGGCAGGCGAGAACACAAATAGACAGATTGTGAATAAAAAGTGTTGAAAGAGTTGTTTTTGAAAAGCAACTAATGTTTAAAACAAACCACTCCCCACTGGGTCACCCTCCTTCAGTGATGCCCAGTCTTTTCATCTCAGACAGCCAGTCCAACAACTGTTCATAAAAAAAAGAAAAAAGGTTTCAGTTTTCAACCTTGAGCCTAGTCGCATGATGAGGTTGTCATACAAAGAGTGTATTATATTCATAAATCTTTATCATACAAATATGCCAAAGCTTCTCTGAAACTCTGGCTGAACAGTGGAAAAAGAAAGTCAAACATTAGACGTTAAACATCTTAGAAGCAGTATCAATCAGAAAAAAAACTTATCAGAATCCAGATCTTTCAATTCTGAATATTTTTGTAATTCTGTTTTCCAGGATTTAGTAGAAACCACTTCAATAATTTTGTACTAACATCGTTTTATTCAACTTCTTCAATCTGACAATATGGAAATACAGTCGTTGCAAGCATCTGACCGCTATATACTGGTGGGTAATTTTGTTTGTACCAGTGTTGCTGGATGGGATATAAAGAATTATCGTACCAGAGACTCAAAATTATCGTGTCATAATCAAAATAACAATCTTACTGTTGCAAGATAGTCACATATAGTCACTCTGTTAGCGTCCTATAGGTACTCACGATTTTGTGGCTACAGTTTTGTGGTCATTCACCGCCCTGCCCAACATCTCTTCGGCTCCCATTCATCACCGTCCTCATTAACGATGCGTTTAAAGATGCCTCTAAGGTGGGGCTGCTGCTGGCAGAGGTTCGAAAAACTGAAAATTAATGTGTCTGGCAGACTGAGACAGTCCTCTTGCGCCACACGTTCACGAAACTCAAATTATCGTACATTTAGCCTTTTTTCTGGGTTATTGATCGTACATCGTACAGAGGGCAAAATTATCATACAAATACAATAAATATCGTACACCTGGCAACCCTGGTTTGTACACACAATGACACATTTTATTCAGCAATGAAGTTGGTGATCAAACTCTGCTGTCTGGAGAGCACTATGTTGATTCCACAAGATTGCACAGATTGGAAATTTAGATTTTTAGCATGTTTAAAAAAAAAAAAGCCCTGTATGCCAATAATTTAAATTGTTGTTGTTTTTACCATTTTACCATGAAAAATGATGGGACTTTCACCTTGGTGTCGTCATTATCATCAAAATTGTATTGGTGAATTCAAATACAAGAATCTATCCAAAAGCATGTTGTTGCTGTGCAGCTGCCACATACGTATGTCAGTTCTGGATCCCCTCTGACTGTGCCGGCTGTTCATTGCAGAGGTATAGACACCAGCTGTGGGTAAAGGCTAGAACAAATTGACGGGGACAAGTGGAACAAACCTGAGTGTTTATTTGTTGCTGTATACTCGCCACGCTCCAAATTAGACGTCAGCGCTATTTCTTGTCACTAGCAGAATCCAAATGTGTTATGGGCAAAGGAGACACTTGAATTAGATCGACTCACTCTAGTGTGATTTAAATGAGTCTCTCGGCTGGCCCGCGCAGATTGACAGCGTTGTCTTTATCGCCGCTTTGTTTTATTTTTGGCTGTTTACTCTGCCTCTCTGCTGTCATCTCATATGACGACTCTAATCTAAAGGAGGCCCGCTTCGATCTTCCAAGATGTGGAGACAATAAGCATCCTTTTTATGTTCTAAGTGCTTTATATGACAAATATGAAAAGGGAACGAAGAAAGGGCTGACAAGTTTTCTGTCGCCCTGTTCTTCAGCTGCGCGGGAAGAAGTCAAACCTGCAATCTTACAACATGAGAACCCATACAAAACTGAGCAAAGTAGACCCTTCTCTTTCAGGGTCTTGTTAGGTCAAAGTCATTAAAGGAGCATTATGTACAAACAAAAGACATTTATGTTGAATTAAACTAAAAAAGTACTGCAGCACCTATGAAATGAATGGCCTGACCATTTTCTTATTATTTTTAAAAAGATGGGGTGTTGGTGTCCTGGTCTATGTTGCAGATTATTAGAGACCCACTCCAATGAAAATCATGCTTTTGTTTTTGTTGTTGTTGTTGTCTACATGTTCATATGGCATTTTTCTGATGCTAGAGGATCTATCATGAGAAAACTAAGAGCAAAATTGGAGCTCTGAGTATTTTTGCTTTCAAATCCCTGTGAACCTCTGACAGACCCAAACGGCAGGTTCAACTCATAGACTGTATATACTATGGACAACTTGGTTCCACCTCCCGCCAGTATACGGATTTGAAGCCAAAAAACCTTTCAGTATTTCCACGATTTTTCTTCATTTCCTGAAACCAGCATTGCGCAGTAGCATTGTGCGCATTCGGCGGGAGAGTCACTGAGAGTCGCCATGATGATGCTCGGCTCAAACAGTGTATCCCCCCAGATGAACTATGCAATCCCTGAACGCCAAAAGGCTGTATCAGGTGTCAACCATAGAAAACATGAACCCCCTTGTTGTTGGAAATGTTTTATGGAGGTAGCCCTGAGATGCAAAACACAACAGCAAATAAGAAAACACGACAACATTTTTGATTTGCCATTGTGTTTTGCACCTCAGGGCCACCGCAACAAACAGCAACAGCTATAACTAAGAGACCAGTTGGCTGTTTTTCCAAAAACTGGTGAAAAAGCTGGTCTTTCCCTCATTCAGTTGGGCCATGCTGTCCCTCCTACAGGAGTTGACACTGAGCTAGTCACCTCTTGGTTTTATCTTTGTAAAACACAGCCATAACAGATGTATCTGTCTTTTTACTGGAAGAAAAAACAAAGAAAACAAATGTACATTTTTTTAAAAGGTTGGAAAGTTTATTTATTTATTTTAAAGTGCTTAGAGTCATAATGGCATACTAACAGTTTGACAAAATCAACTTTTAATGCTTTAGAAAGTTATTACATTAGTGGACATTCACAAAAATTATGGAAGAGAAATAAGGCCACTGGAAAAAAAAGGTCCAATATGATTTTTTAAAATAATTATTCCGAGATTAAAGTAAGATTTCTAAGATTAATCTCAAAATAATAATTAAAATATATTATTGGACTTTTTTTTTCCAGTGGCCCTATTCGTCCTCCATACAAAAATAAACCATCAAACAGGGCGTCTTTGTAAGAGTACTTAAGTGATCCTAAAGATTGCAAAGTTCTGCAGTTGTCCTGCTTTTTACATCTTTCTTGGCCAAAAAAAAGGGGGATGTTGAGTCAGAGGAGTTGAAAAGTCTTAAATCTGTGGTTCCAGTTCAGTCCTCAAACCCAGCGCTCTTTCCAGCTTCCTCTTAGCTGCGGTGGCAGATCTCACAGCACTCGAGACAAAACTCCAGACACTCAGTCGGCTCACAGCAGGACTCGAACATCACCGAGTGGCAGTGTGCATTGCAGTTCAGCTCCTCCACGGGCACATCTTGGATGGCCGAACAGCAGCAGGAGCAGGCGTGGCAGCAGGTGGAGCAGAGGCCATGGAGGCAGGAGGAGCAGGCCTCCAACATACCCAGGAGCAGCACAGAGCACTGACAGTACAAGCACGCCAGCAGCAGGTGTAAACAGGAGTCTGTGGGAGAAGAGGGGTAATTAATTCAAGAAATATCAAATCTGAGGTCACGAGAAAGTTGTGGTTTGTTCTCAGAGCTTGTCAGACATGATCAGAAAAGGGGATTTATGATTCTATTAACCCAAATTAATCTCCTGCATGTTTATTTGTTGTGCCAACCAGAAGTTAAAAGAGAAACTACTCAGCTGCAGTGATCAAGTGTGATTGTGTTTACTTAATCACAGAGCTCTGTTAGTCCTCGGGGGAAAATCAAAAAGGCCACAAAGGCTCCCAGTGATGAACAACAACCGGGAAGGAGCTGTCACATGATAATTGCTCTCCATCCAAATTGGGTGCAGATGAAATTGCATATATTAACCCCAGCAGTGTGTTATGGTGCATCTTTTATGATCCTAACCATTGTATTATTACTCAGCTCTCGTTTTCATCCTCAGGAGGAGCAGAGAGAGAGTGAGCTCATGCAGATGGAGCTGTTTTATCCTGTTTACTCCAGGAAGTCAATGAAAAGGAGGTGGCAGAATTCCCTGGGGAGTGGGGTTCAGCGTTTTCCTGCTTAGCTGCTCCAATTATGCACCCCCTGCACATAACTTATGCTAATATCTCTATATGTGTGTAGATGAAAAGGAGCTTTCTTTATGTGTGGCCGGTGTATTGATTTAACGCACAACTTCATAGAGATAACTACATGAACACAATGATAAACAGGGAGTGGCTCGCCGCAGGCTTTGATAAAACTGGATGAAAGTGCAGTTTGAAAGTCTTCAAGGGAACTTTTTACTGCAGTTTTGTAAGAAGAAAAAATAAAGACAAGATCCTGTCTTTGTTTATGAAAGTTTTTCTGTCTTTGAAGTAATTGTTGACTTAATGGAAGATCAAATCAAGGATTATTTAACGTCTCTCCTACTTTGATTCATTTTTGCTTTATTTCTAAATCACTGAAAAGTCTTAAACTGATAGAAATTACACTAAGAGTTCACAGAGCAACTGGAAAAGTAGACAATACTGGACTCTATCTAGTAGTAAAGCACTGTTTGTGATCTGTGCTGTTTACATGATGTGTCATCCAGTTACACCTAGTATCTTCATCGTACAAGTCTGTACAAGTTGCTTTAAAAAAAACAAAATATGTGTTTTTGTCCAACAACCATATTTGTACGAGAGGATTAGGGCCACATAAAGAGAAAAAAATAATAATTACAGGAAGGAGATTAAAGTCAAAATTTCGACATCAAAATTATGTCAATAAAGTCAAATTTCCAAAATTGAAATTTTAAGACTAAAGTTGAAATTTTGACTTCAAAAAAGTTTGAAATCATGTCAATAAAGTCAAAATTTCGAGATCAAAAATTGAAATTTCGAGATTACAAAATGTCGCTATGTCATGAATAACTTTGAGATTATAAAAAATTACATTTTTTAATTGAAGTGGAGATTTTAACTTTATTTATGTGATTCCGATTTTTTTTCCGATAATTTTAACTCAACTTTAATGTCAAAATTTTGATTTTTTTTTTCATTTTCTCTTTCTTTTATTTCACCTTAATCTTGAAATTTCGACTTTAATCCCAAAATGGAAATTAAATAAAATCTCCCACCTGTTATTATTTTTTTCTCTTCTTGTGGCCCTAATCCTCTTTCGTATCTATGTCAAAAACAGTGTTGAAATTATTTTTTTCCAGTTTAGTTAAGTGGTTAAATTGTGTATACTTGTATTGAATTTCCCTTCGGGGATTGATAAAGTTCTTCTTATCTTATTTTATCTTACTTTATCTTAAGTAATACTGTTTATCATGTATCAATCATATGTCTTCTTGTCGGTGTAGAGAGGAGTGTCATTGTTGCTCTCACCAGCTGGAGGTCGCTGTGATCTGGCCGCACTGCTCCTGCTCCTGTTGGTGCTCCTGCTCCTCCTGCTGCTGCTGCTGCTGTGCATAGACAAGCTGGATCCCTGCAACCGAGTCACAGCCGGCAGGACAGGGGGCAGTCTGTGTTCGGGGACTGTGAGGCCACATCGTGGGCAGGTGGGCTTCTTACACTCTGCTGCCTCCTGGGAGGCCTCTGCTGGTGGGGCTGCTGCTGCTGGCAGAGGCTGGGCTGAAGAAGAAACAATCAAGATTGTCTCACTGGAGCCTCATTATTAGAGTTAGACTAATCGAACAACACAAGGCCTGAAGCCTGAATCAACGTGAGACTGAGAATCAGAAAGAGGTTATGAGAAGTTATGAGGTTATTAAGAGATGTTTATCTCATGTATTTAAACAATAGAGAGGAAGCTTCTTTGGTAGGAACAGCAATTATTTCACCAAACACAAGGGTCCCAAAAAGCCCCACAGTTAATTTAACTTATTTTTGTTAATTTTCTTTTACCTTTATGTACAGTAAGTCTCTATTTATCGACCCAAGGTCAAAACATTATGTGGGAAAATAGTCGTTTACTTTTCTTACTAATTGGTATTATCCAAAAGTTTATTTAGGCGACGTGACACTGTTGTATTATAGATTTAAATTGTGTTGCCGCTGTCCTCCTTCAGCCCCTCACACAGTGTCTTCACACTGCTGTTGTACTTCCCAGCACTGATTGCTTTTACAGTCCCCGTCAAGTCACAACAATAACTTTTAGCCTCTGTATTGTTTGCAGCTCGGACTCAGGGTTTCCACTTACTGCTGATGAGGTCAGCGGGAATGGTATTTCCTCCGCTAACAGGGTCACGTGCTGTGAGAGTATCCTGTGTGGGTTTTAAAGACGCACCATCTGCAGGAAAATCAAAAGAAAGTTGGAAAAACATAACAGGTTCTTCTCTCACCACACACACAGAAAGGGCGTCTGCAAATTTAGGACATTTTCAGAAAATTTCAATACTTTTTTCAAATATAGTTCTAAAAAATATATTTTTTTTATGTAGGTATAGAGGTAGGTCATCAAAATCAGGAACAGATATGTATATATATGTGCTACAAATAGTCCTCTGTCTCTATAGAGAGTTTTTAGGGTCTCATAAGTCTTAATATTTCACATTTACCACTCTCCCTGGTGTAAGTTTATTTATGCAAGGGTTAAATAAAATGTCAATATTAGATCAAGATTAGCCATACAAAATGTAATATTTTTCTTTGTTGAAGTAACCGAAGCTCAAAAATAACTGTCCACCTGAGCATGTGTTAAAATACTCACAGCTTTTACAGCCAGTGCGGGTCAGATCATGTGTACTTGCCTTCAGTCGGGTTGCTCCGTCCCTCCGTCCCGTCCAAAGGTAAATGGTCTCCTGGTAACATGTTTCAGACTCATGACTGCTCTGTATCTCTGTTTCCCTTTTTTAAACAGTCATGTAAACCATCCTCTGTTTTCTGACTCCACACAGAGGTCAGGAAACCTCCAGCAACACCCCACAAGCCGGCCTGAGTCACCGCTCAGGAGACTATGAGTATGGACATGGGTGTGTGTGTGTGTGTGGGAGTGTATTTATTGTTGTTCAGAGACTTATTAACACTCCCCTTTCCAGCAGCAGATCCCTGAGTGTTCCCTCTGAAAATGCCGATCACAGAACAGCACATACTGCTAAAGCCTGGGTGAGTGACTTTAAGGTTTCTCTGTTCTGCTCTAAGTCACCTAACACAACAGAGACACATGCCCCACGAGTGTGTTAGCTCAACACAGTATGCATTAAATCTCTCCTGCCCTTCCATACACACACTCACACTGACACACAGATGTATTGGACATCTACTGCAAATGATCTACGAATTATATCAGCTTTAAAGCAGAATCCTGTCACGTTTTAGAAGTTAAACAAAAAGGGAAGGACCCAAATACAAGACAACAAAAATGATTTATTCAAAAAGAAAAGCAACAAAAACTTACTTTAAATATCCAACTCAAAAATCCAAGAAACACAAACTGCAAAATATCTACAGAAGACACTGGAGACTCTGGAGACAACGACATACACGGACATACAATGAACCGACAAAAACACGGGAAGACAAGGACTATAAATACACACAGGGGAACAAGTGGCAGGTGAGACACAGGTGCAGACAGTCACTAAAGAGGGAAAACTGAGGAAGTAAAACCAGACTAGAAACACAGGGTATAAACTACTACAAAATAAGACAGGAAACACTGATAAGGAATAAAACACTGAGAACATGGGGGAACCAGGGTCAGAAACAAACTGAAAACTCACAACAAGACTTCAGGGGAACAGGAACACGAGGGAAAATCACAAGGAAAAAACACTCAAGGGAAACACAAAACCAGGGAAAAACTAAAAACCAGAACATATCATGACAAATTCATTCCTTCTGTAAATCTTATTCCAATTGCCTAAAACCTATCCAATTAAATAAGTTCAAATTCAAGGCTTTTGCTTTTCATAAATGAGTTTTTTTTTAATGTAAAGTAGGGCTGGGCGATATGGGGAAAAGTTTATATCGATATATATCACAATATTAAAATATGAAATTTAACAGTGCTTATTGATAGCATGTCTTTTGCAATACAATAAGCTACTGCATCTATAAGGTCTTTGTGTCTCTATGACGGTTTTTCGTAAGGCATTGCACTACAGAAAGTGGACTGAATGGTCAGCTGTTTTGGCTGCACAGGCGCCAATGGCTCCTTGCTCCGATCGGGTTTTGTAACCTTTTCATCGTGTGTGCTTTGATGAAAACGATTTGAGGTATTCCCCGAATTTGCCGGAATATGTACTCGACATAATTTGCAGTGCACGTTACTCTGCTTCATGTCCGACCTCAAAAAACCAAAATACCTCCACACCACGGACGTTTTCATGCCAGTGTTGTCAACGATGTCGTCATCTGTTGAGCCGTCATCTCATTATCTTTTTTTTCTCACCACCAGTGCTGTTGACTTCACGTGTTAAAGTGCTATAGTTGCGTGTAGCTGCAGCCTGCTACTACGCAGTTGTTTGCTACTTGGTTCTAATTCAGCACATGATTGGTTCAGTGCAAAGCGGACCGGAGAAACTCCCCTTTTCATTGGCTATTTGTATAATCTACCAAAACATGGCAGAATGGCGGCTATTGAAAAGCATATTGACCAAGTTTTATATTGATATTGAGGGAAATTAATTTTTGATATATATGGTTATTGTTTTATCGCCCAGGCCTAATGTGAAGTATGTAATATGTTAATAATATGTGAGTGGAAAAATATATATATTTACTCACATCTTAATCTCAGTATGATGGATTATTATTGTTCCTACTGAAGAGGGTTTCATGAGCTGATTGGATGTCTGGTTGACAGTATCATCATCATCATCATCATCATTACAGGTTGATGAAGAAGAGACAAACAGAGACCAGCCCTTTCTGAGAGGCTGTTGACTAAGCGCTGTCAAAAGTGCCACATTGAAAAAACATGTCGACTGTCCCGCCCCGCAGCGAGTATAAGGCACATCAAAGCGACACCTAAGTGAAGCTGTTGAAGTTGTCGAGCACGGTGCTAACTTTCAGTCAGCGAACGCAGCGTGGAGAGGCAATCAGAAGAAAATGTCATCTAATGGGCTGACGGCGGATCAAAGGGAGCCCTGAGAGGCAACAGCAAACTTCAAGCAAACTGCTTATCAGCCCAGACAATTACTGACATTAGTCAAAACAAGGAGCTGGAAAATGGGAGGCCTTTGTTCTGCGTGTGATTGTGATGTCTGCAGTAACAGCTTCATTTTAACAGAGGGGGAGAGGACCGAGTGATGCACGCCAGACTGTTTATCTTTTTGGATTTCACACGCAAAAAAACGGGACCTTTTAAGTTAAACAATCTTGGAAATTAACAGTCTTAAAATGATCCATTTATACATAACAATTAAATTAAATTATCAGTATTTAAAGTAGAGGTATGAGATACTGTACTTTAACCCTCCTCCTGTGTTAGGGTCTGCACCGACCTGTTTTTGATTTTAAATTCGTAAAAGAAAAGCCTAAATTAGCTTTTTTTGCATCAAGACTTTTTGACTTTGTCAGGAACCTCTATATCAACAAAATAAAAAATTAAAAAATTAAATTGACTAAATTATAAAATGCTTTTATTAAAATTATGGCACTTGTCTTGTTAGGGTCGCTGTTGACCCGGTTAGATCAATATCTAATAATCAGAGCGAAAACTAAAATCATATGTGCACTGTCAGGCACCACACTGTAAGTCAGATCTTCCTCCAATTATGTGAGATTTAGGAAATTCTCATTTTGCCTGTTTTTTTCCTGCACATAAAAAAACGTCAGGCATGTCCACGCATGTGTGATCAGTTCAGTATAGATGTCTGTACAAGGGGTACACTGACAAAGAAAGGCCCAGAGTCTCACTACAAAAACTATTGTAAGCAATATTTTCATGGATAATGAAGCCAAACAAGTAAACCTAGAGATGAGAACAAAATTGGATGATAGAGAATTTTTAGTGTAATTTACAGCTGATTTAAGACAAGGGTCGAAACCGACCCTTAACATAGTGGGTACGTAGTAAAAGCTAACACAGGAGGAAGGTTAAACTTGGATCAAGCATGTTTTTACAAAATGTGACACAATCATCACTAAAAGTTGTTCGCAAAAACTACAAATTACTACATAAAAGTCAAAGTGTGGTTGTAATGGCACTATTTGAATATATATAACTTATAGTTTGAGTATTTTGTCACTCAGTCACCTAAATCTAAAGATCTAATTCACTCAGTCAGTACATGTTTTATATTTTTGCCTCCTTATGCCCAACCCCATAAAAACATGATGAGTAAGTTAAACCAGAACAAGACCATCTTCATTTCTGTGGACCATCTCCACACACTGAACATGATGACATCCCAGGGTGTCAGCAGTGCCCAATGGTTAAATTTAGCCTGAATTCGGAGGTACCATCTATACCATCACAGAACAAAATTTTATTTGACAACGACCATATTACAGTATATTTGAGTTTGTAGTACAATGTGCAATTACAGACTAACGCTATGTTACACAGACAGAAATGTTTGTTCACATAATCTATTATAAATACATGAAATATTACAAAAGTGAAATGTTTGGGATGTTTTTCGTCTAACAGCAGCATGGTTTCTTAGACGTTTAGGTTATTTTAGACACAGGAATAAACAAATAGGTGATGATGCATTTTACAAGACCTTTTATGTACAAAAACAACAGACAGCACAACACAAATTGTAAATGTTTGTCTTCCAAATATCATCAACATTAAACATCTCACAGCCTCCACATTTACCTTTGTTTTTTTCTTTTAGCTATCACTATAACCAGACAAATTGATTTTGCTACTTCATTATTTAATAATTATTTCTGTGAATAAAATACTCCTGTCTTAAGAGGGTAGAATTTATGTGACTATATGAGAGTGTTCATGTGGACACAGATTCATTTTTCCCCCCAATTTAACTGTCACAGACTTTTTTTAGTTTGATCTCAAATTTCATGACTTAGATTAAATGTTACTGAATCAAATCTTATAATAAAAGTGTAATAATTTTGATACCTGACTGTTAATATTTCCCTTCCTTGAACCTCGGGTCAGTTTAAGTGAGTCTATAAACCAATTACTTTCTATTTGACCAGATTAATGTATGATTAAGTCGAGGTTTTCAGGCTGTCTAGCCATTTATTGCCTTTTGTATCATATTTAATACATACTTTTATGATACTTCTATCAAATCAATATGATCAACAAATTACTTAAAAAAAAACAGTCCGAGAAATGATAAAAATGTCCTCTTTTGGTTTATCTCTTTCCAAAAACATCTAATGTATCAAACAAGACGTACATATGTTTGAAGTTTTTAGGACATTTAGATTTTTTCTTTTTCAGTAGTAAGTGAAATAAACATTTCAGCTCCAAAAAAATGTGAGTTCATTTCATGGATCTGAAAACATTTCTTCTTTGTGATCAATTGTTTTAAGTCTGAGCTTCTACTTTTGTTACTCAAGGTCAAACAAGTTTTCTTCCTCATTTTCAGTCTCAGTGGCTGCTTTTCCTGTTGCCATTAGAGATTCTGGCTCAGTCGGATTCAGAGCTTCATTTCTACAGAAAAGAGACCTGCGAGAAAAACAAACAAACAAACAAAAAATACAAGGTTATTTGAATCTGCTTCAGCACATCAGTCCTTTTAATCGTGTTTTAAGGTTCAAAATAAACATATCTTACTGGACGCTGTGCCTGTTTGTTGCTTTGTTCTGCTGGATCTGACTCTTGGAGTTTCTGTTGACACAGTCCTTCTTGAACCCTGGCAGCGACGCCTCAGCCAGTGCTGTCTACAAAGAAGAGGAGTAAATATTTAGGGAAATCAAAAAGCTAAAGTTGCACAAAAGATGGACTCTGATAACACTTCCTCTCACCTTCAGTCCAGCGTTCAGAACAGTCCCAAAATCAAGGCTGGAGGACACGTGTTTCATCAGAGATGGACTCCTGCAGGATATCAAAGGTGAACATCTTCACAATCCATCTCTAATTCAGAGCAAAAACATCAATACATGTTGAATATTTCACAAACCGACACACAGGTGACAGCAACAGTTCGAGGCGAGGTCAGTGAGGATGACGAATAATTTAGACACATTAAAAACGAGGAAACAGCCTGAAACTTACAGACTAAAACTGATCGCCCTTATTTTTATTATGTCGCCTTAAATTAAAGAGTGAAAAAGACCTTTTGATGAGTCTACGTCTGAGTATATGTACATAATTCATACATTTTGCAAGTGATGACAACACCAATGTAAACACTTTGCAGAAACCTGTGCATAATAAAGCAAGAGTTAGGGAATGGTAAATGATAACAACAACAAATCTCCTTTTTGACCTTGAATTAAATATTTCCATTACAAAAATCTAAACATTTTATACATACAAGGTCAAAAGTCAAGTTTTAAATCCAGATATCTCTCTAAATGCCATCTAAATGTGAAACTAAGTGTAGTTAAGTCTAATTTTAAAGAACCTGATGCTTCAGCTGTTCGGGTATATTAAGACAGTGTTTCGCAAAGTCAGGGTTAGTACCCTCTGTGGGGTCACAAAACACTAAAATATACAAATAAAAATACATAAAATAGATATATCAAATGTTACATCCATAAACAAAAAAAAGGATTTTTTTTTTCTGAATGAAACCATGTAAATAAAAATGTAAATCTCTTTATTGCTTCATGATCCCTGAGATGATTATGTTAGATTATTAGGAGCAGGTTAATCTGCGACAGTGAGAAGTGTACAAACATTGACTTATTTTCTGCTGAATAGCTAAATTAAGTACCTTTGGATTTACTCAGTATAAAACTCACAGACTCACCTGTGTGTCTGCTTCAGTCTGAACATGAAAATCCCTTACACTGTGTTATTAACTTTTCTTTTTTTTTACTATAAAATGATACTATGGCTGCTCTGCTGAAGTCACTCGTGAGAAAATAAGATTTTTTTCTGATTATTTTGTTTTTTCCTTTTTCAACATCAGTTTCCACCATGTTGTCTCAAATACCTCAAAATGCCGATGATTTTCAAGTGCTCATTCTCATCATATCTAAATATTGGTTTATGGATTCATGTCAAATTCGAGAAGAGGCAGATGTTGAAACCTTTAAAGATTGTTTTGAATGAGTTTGAGAAATACTGCAATCGTCTGTGTTTTGAAATCTTTACAGATGCCCTTATTGAAGTGCCATGATAAACAAAGTGATCTTCTGCACTCTACCCTGTGATCTTCTGGGATCTCCTCCTTTGGTATTCAACCTCATCCACCGTCCACACGGCGCCTTTCACGTTCTCCACGCGCACAAAACACTTGTGCAGGCTCAGGTTGTGTCTCACTGCGTTCTGATCCAGAGAAAATCAGAGTGAAGAGGATCATTACCGGGAACATGCTGCATAAATCAGGTACGACACACACGGGGATCAGGGAGGTAATTATCTGTAAGAGCGTGATACCTTCCATGTGGCAGCGTTTCTTCGGAAATAAGCGAACGTCCGTGTGAACCAGTTGTATATCTCGTTGAGTGTAAGCTGCATGTCTGATGTCTCCATAATGGCCTGAGGATGAAGAGGGAAACAATGAGGTGTATAAACAAGATCCAGTTGAAACCCTGACTTTTCAAATCCTGTTCAAACCACGAACAGAAAATAACAGATTTTAAAACTAATTTGTCAGAAAATCAACATTTTGGTACAGGTTATGTTACTTTTAGGGGGGAATAACTTGGTGATCATTATACTTAAACAATACAGGAGTTATTTTCATTAATAACTTTTAGTTTAATTTAAAAAATGAATAAAGAAAAAAACATGCTACAAAGGTTATAACCCGTTTTAGATATTTTTTTAAATAACCATCAATACTTCTGAAAAAAAGTTCATTTTCCTACCAAAGAAAACTGAAAGACTCCACAAAATATTATTACTATTATTATTTCTAAGTTTAAAAATAAATCAATAAATGAATAAAAACTAGTTTAGTGTTATTATCACCCAAATGTAGACATAGGATCAAAACAAGATCACATGGTTATACAATATTAACAGATATACATAAATTACCACTTAATTAGTTAGCGTCTATTATGATCAGAAGTTATTTTTTTAAGTATTATTTAAAGGAAATATCCAAATTATATTCTTTTAATGTCTCAAGTGTGATAAATTCATTTCTTTTTTATCTTCTGGTTTATATTAAATTGAATATCTTCCAGTTGTGGACAAGAAAAATAATACTTGAGATTATATTTGAGGACACCAATTGTGGCTTTGGTAAAGAGTGACCGACATTTAAGTATTTTCTATCATTATTTACTCAACAAGAAAAGCTGACTGAAAAAAGAAAATATCTAAAATTTTCATGCTATCTTTGAAGTTTGACTGAACGAAATACACTCACAAGACAAAAGACAAAAACTTCTGGATGTTTGACTGGATAAATATTAAATCTCAGATGCATAAATGATGTTTATATACCAGAGGAATCTTCGTCTCACTCTACCTGTCTTATTAGGGTTGCATAGGTGAAAGGGGGTCTGATATCGGTGTTCCTGTAGAGCTCAAATTCATTCTCTGAAACACAACAAAAAAAGCAGAAGTTATAAGAAAGCGAGTGCTCGACTTGCTGCTGAAGTTAAAACTTAAGTTCAAGTTTTACCCGAAGAAAGCAAGTAAACCAGAGGGTGATGACGACGTCTCATGGCCCCGGGACATGGTGTCTGAGTGGGGGACTCTTCCTCACTCCCCTGAGTGCCGACAGACCCCAGAGGTTGAGGGGACACCTGCGAAGAGTCTGATGGGCTCAGCGAGGACACGTTGTTGGCGACTGACTTTGAGCTGAGCTGGGAGTGAGACGAGCAGACAATTGAAGTTAACAAAGAAACAAGCGGAGTGAAAAGACCGACAGAGAGACAAAACAGAAGAGGGGGAGTGTAACAGAGCGATTGGATTCGCCTCTTCAGAGGTGATCCCGCTAATAACAACAGAAGAGTGAAGCCAATTATTGCTAATTAAAGGGTGAAATTGTTCGGCGAGTGTTGTGATTATGGAGCGATATTTGCAAGATTAACAAATGATTAGCTTCCACATTATCAAGAGCATGTCTGCTGTCTGAAAATACTGAGGCGGCCATCTGGTGCCAACAGCTGGGCAACAAAAGAAAAGGAGAGGAAGAGCATTCAGCGAGAAACACTCATTTCAAAGTTAGGGTCAAAAAGAGCAGAAAGTGAAAGTTTTTAAGAAATTCATTTGAAGATCAGGTGTGACACAGTTTGTGAGAGCAGGGTCGGATATTTACAACCTTTGTTTCTGCCCTTACATGATATCTTTTAAATCTTTGCACTTTTAGCACTTCTCCAGATCATTTACAGACTGCCAAACCTCCAACAGTTTCAAAGATGATATGATTGCATCTCCACTCTCTGCCACCACATCACTTGAGTTGTCCTCACTTCTCCAACATGCGACTCAGTTTGCAGATCACTTACTTTGTCTTTGTTGCTCTCAGAGCCACTTCTGAATATTATCTACCTGTAAATCATGCAGGTCAGCGGCTGTATCACATTGGGGTGACTGCAGACTCGCGGGTGCAGAGGCTGACTGAGCTTCTAGAGACGGAAGATGAAGGTGAGCCATCATCGCTCGCAGACGATCCCGTTCTTTGCAGAGCTGTTGGAGCAGATGAAAGGCCAAGGACAATGAACAAATATCACTGAAAGAGAAAGCTGTGAACCAAACAAACATTGCAGGGAATAACTCTCTGCAGTGTCAGAAATTAGGAGGAAGGCTACATGAATATTAACAGTTTGGAGGAGGAAGATATTTTGGTGAATTGCAAATGACAAACATCATGGAAAATCCACCTCGTACAAAGCAAACTCAACACCAGCAGTCGTGTCTATACATAAGTCTTGCATACCTGAAGCTCAAGTTGCTGAACTACTTGCATCTGGACTCTGCACTGCGCTGTACTCCTGTCATCCAGAGCATGCTCACTGCTTAAGTGCCTGAAACAAACATACACACACAAGGTCAGGAGAGATATATTACACTAGAAATCTATCTTTGAAATTGTAAATAAAGACTCTCAGTCGCTCTGAGTTTTTGCAGCTCCAATCAACTTTAAATCACAGCATTCATTATTCACCATATTGGATTTATGCAGATGCTTTTAAGTTAATATCCATACCTATGAACACACCTTTTTTCTCTGTAAAGAATGTGAAGTTTCTTCTTTAGAAGAATTTCCATTGAAAGTTTAATGTTGATGTTTTTAAGAAGAGGCTCAAGACTCACCTTTTTCACCAGGCTCTTCACTGATGGCCTTTTCATAATTCTCTTATGGCAAATTTTCATTTTAATCAAAGTTCTTAATGTTTCTTTTGTGTAATGTAATTAATTATCTCTGTTCTTAGTATTTTTCTTAACTCCTGCCTTCGAGGTTTTTACTTCTCCTTTTATATGGTAAAGAGCTCTTACTTTTTTGTTCATTTTATTTTATTTTCTTATTTTCGTCCATCAGGTTTTAGTCTTTCTTTTTACCTTTATTTATTTATTTATTTATTATTATTATTATTTATTTATTTTATTTTATTTTATTTTTTATTTATTTTAATCTTTTTTTATCTTTTATCTCCAGTGTTTCCTAAAGGTAGCTCTTTCCTCACGCAATGCCTCGGTGTCAGGCCATGTCTCTTAAACAATTTATCTTAAATTCTCACTCTATGTGCGCATGTGTGTGTGTCTGCGTGTATGTGTGGGTGAGTGTCTGTGTGAGTGTGGGTCCTTGGGTGGTTGTGTGGGTGGGAGGGTTGGGTTTTATTGTTGTTTAATTGTTGTTTTAGCCTCTGTGAGGCATTTTGAACTACAATTTTTTTGTCTGAAAAGTGCCATACAAATAGATTTTAATTTAAATAGACATTTGGTACTGCATCAGCTGTGTATATTCTACACTTTAAAATACATACATACAGCAAACATGCATAAGCTGTCATTGCATGCACTAGATGAATGCATCACTTTTAAGTTTGACAGTACTTGTTTAACTTTTTAGACTATTTATTTGTACTTTCAGTTTCAATATGACAGATACTTTTTCTTGTCATATTAAAAAAATAACATTGAGGCTATAATTACATAAGAGAAGCTGCGTGGAATCAGAAAGTGGAATGCATTAGGACTGAAGGAAAATCTTACCTGATGAACTGGCTGAGGTTTTCACACATCCACTCACATCCGGGCCAATTACACACACTGTGAGTGTAGAGAGCGTGTGTAGCTGTGCGCTGAGCTTTTACAGAGCTGGAGGAGCATAAAAAGAAGAATAGTGGTATTATTAAGATAAAAAAACAGCACTCAGATAACAACAACAACAAAAACAAAGTCATAAACACACATTATCTTTTTGTTTGCTGTACAGGCAGCAGAGAATGACAGAGAGAGGTGGACGGGATCACTGAAGAATAAATGGAGAACTATTTACTTTTGATTCGGGACATGAAGTCGAGTAAACTTTTTCTTTTGCTGAAGCACTTCAGGTGGCGAAACACAAAGCTAACAAACAAGGAAAAAATGTGTCGTCCCGAGGGGAATTAAAAGTGAAGTCTCGCCACAAGAACAAACACCTCCACGCCCGCAGCTCGAGAATAAGAAAACGTCTACAGATGACAGATCTTTGATGTTTACGACAAACAAGTATCATCTGAGCTCTCACGTTAAAAGCACAAACAGACGTATCGTACCTTTCTGCCCTGAGAGGAGGAGAAGTCTGCTGCTGGTCCGTCTTCACTTTCGCTGTGACTTTTGTTGACATGATGTTGTTGTCAGAAGAGTCCTGATTGACCTTCGATGAGGGTCTCTCTTCAGTTATCTCACTGGTGAGCTCTTTCCACAGCTGCTGCATCTCTGCAGGATTAAATGCACCTTAAACATTAAAAACACACTAACTTCAGATTTTGAGTGTTTTTAAAAGGCCACAAAGAGCTTTGTCTTATTCTTTATTAATACCTTAATATATACACAGAATATGCTGTAAATTCTCTTAAACAATTAACAAAAAAGACATGACAAACAGCTGACGTGTTTGCAATCAGCTAAAGGACTTTTGTTTAGTCTTTTGTGAGATCAGACAACTTCTCATAGTAAAACTAATCGTCCAAAATTAAACATTTAAACACCAATATAACATAAAATTCACGGCATATCAAATGGCTGATATCAACACTGCCTACGAAAGGTGCTGCAAAAGTGTGCCAGACTAAAACATGTAAACTTTTGTGTAAAATGTTAATCAGGGTGACCTGGAGAAAGGGCAGGTGAGGACAGGGCAGGTCTCTGCGCTCGAAGAAGCTGCTGCTGCTGCTGCTGGAGCTGCAGGAGCTGCTGAAACACGAGCTGCTGTGCAGGGAGCTGCAGAGTGGAGAGAGAGGAATAGTGAAAAATATTACTGAAAGACTTATCAAAAGACGCGCTATTCACCTTTTTTTCTACCTGTAGTTGTCACAAAAATGAAAGCATTTTAGTACTGACGTAAAGAAATCTGCAGTTATCACACCCAAGAGTATTTTACCGTAAAATGGATAAACTAAAGTACAAAATGATCAAACTAACCAGGATAAAATCTATAAAAATCAAAAAAGAGACACAAAATCTGCTGACCTCTCTGATCTTCTTGCTGGGCTGATGTTGAAGCAGCTGCAGGTGAATCTGTTGTTGTTGCTTCTTGTAAAACTCCTTTAGATGCTGCTTCAAATATTATGACATTTGAGTTATCAAACACAGAATTTAAGATAATTCATTATCACGTTTAATGAAATACAAATTCAAAAGATAAAAAGTATGATGAGTAATTAAAGGTTTAGGTCTTTGTATATAGAAAGGTCTAATAAGTAATGTCTATTTTGACATGTACCACAACTGTGAAAATCCGAGGTAGATGGTACAGCATCCCTGTGATATGCATTTAAAAATGGGACAATTTTACAAATATGAACACATAGACAACATTATTGTGAAGCAGAGTTAAACCTTACACAAGTTAGGTTGAACACTTGAATAACAAAATGAATTGAAGCTAAAATAATTCCTCTGAAGAAGAAGAAGTATTATACTGTATTAAGGTATGTTTTTAGTTTGTGTTTTTGCCTAAGCAGACTAGTTTACAGAGGCCTAATAATCAACAAGTTATTATCTCAGCATGAAGGAAATGTCTGTGTCCTTTCATGTCTAACATGTCTAAGCTGTTTTGTTTCCCATAGTACCCTGGTGGTACACATTGACCTGCTAATGGATCAACTTCACTTTGCAGAAAAGTTACAAGCTACAGTAATTGAAGGCTAGAGCTACTAGCTAGCTGGTTGGGTAGCTAGCTAACAGATATGAAAATTGATAGGAGAAAAAGTGAAATATTTGCATCATATAATCAATTGAAAATGCTAAACAGACACAATTAACCTTCGTCCTGTGTTAGCTTTTACTACACACCCACTATATTAAGGGTCGGTTTTGACCCGTGTCTTAAATCAGCTGTAAATTACACTCAAAACAATTCTCTATTATCCAATTTGGTTCTCATCTCTAGGTTAACTTGTTAGGCTTCATTATCCATGAAAATATTGCTTATAATATTTTTTGTTGTTGGATTCTGGGCCTTTCTTTGTCAGTATACCCCTCACACAGACATCTACACTGAATTGATCTCACATGTCTGGACATGCCTGTCGTTTTTTGTGCAGGGAAAAACATGAGAAAAATGAGAATTCGCTAAATCTTACATGATTGAAAGAGGATCTGACTGATAGTGCACATATGGTTTTAGTTTTTGCTTTAATCATTAGATATTGATCTAACTGGGTCAACAGCGACCCTAACCTGACAAGTGCCATAATTTTAACAAGAGCATTTTATAATTTAGTCAATTTAATTTTTATTTTTATTTTGTTGATGAAAAAAACTATTGATGCAAAAAAGCTAATTTAAGTGGTTCTTTTAAGCATTTAAAAACAGCAATGGGTTGGTGCAGACCCTAACACAGGAGGAGGGTTAGAGCTTGGATGAGTTTTAGTCTACTATCCTGGTACCATTACACAATTAAATTTTGATCTGAAACTACCTAGCTAACTACAAAACCAAACTGTATTCACTTCTTTACATACTTTTGTTTCAGTTTTTGTCTAAACTATAAGGACCTAGTTTAACCTTAAATAGAAAAATGTAAGCGAACAAAGATATATGGTATTATTATGCAGTTATATTATTCATGCTAATTTTTATTTCATAGTTACCTGCTGAAGCACGAAGGCTTGTTGCTTCTGTTGAATCAGAGCCTGTAGCTGATTAGGAGACAGAAGCTGCTGCATCTGCTGAGGAGCCATCATAGCCAGAAACACCTAAAACAGAAGAGGGAGAGTGAAATAACAAAGAGCAGGAATCTACAGAGAGAAGAACGAAGGATGAAGTGATGAAACAGAAGAGAAGAGTCAGGTACTTAACAGCTGTAAGATCAGGATAGGAGATCTCTCCAATCCAATTACAAAACAGCACAGTCCTCCCTTTGTGAACAACATCACGCTGGATTGTGTCATTGACCCTTAATGAGATGGGCGATAGGCTGACCAGTTAATTAGCAACACAATTACATGCTTGTTGTGACTCCTAATAGAAGTGTACGGTTATTAATAAAGGCAAACACTCAGAGAATAATAACTAATCTGCACAGAGACTGGTCTGAGTGACGGATAACAGAGTGATTGTCCCTTTAGTCTGGAGCAGAGGAAACACCAATTACCATGACTGCATTAAGAAACAACAAAAGCCACTTACAAACTCAACATGCCGTCTTACGAACAACATTTAAGAATTACCAGACGCTTACTGAAAACAGATTATTGAGGTGAAATAGTGTTTGGGACTTTTTCAAATGTCTAATTCTCCGCTGATCAAACATTAGCTGCTGAGACCTGACCCTCCAGTGAAGGCTGTCTCGTCTATATTGAAGTAATATCTCAGACGACTGCAGGATGAAATGAAACAAGAACTCATAAAGAACCTCAAATTTGTCATTTTTGTTGGTGGTCCTTTGAGATGATACCCTCTGTGTTTTGGAAATCTAACAACTGCAAAATAAGATCAAGAATTTGTTTTTTAAGGGAGTTGATTGACAGATTTGATAGATCTGATCAGCAAAAAACAAATTTTAGGGTGTTTCACTTTTCTTATTTATACCTATTTATATTTATAGCACAAATATTTTTATGCACAGAAGAAAAATATCGACATGTAGTGGGACAGAAATGAATTATATTGATGAGATAAACAGAACCAAACTAAATTAGATTAAAAAATCAGATTTTTTATGTCTATTCAGGAAAAAAAAACAGCAGAATGTTTTGAATTGAAAGCAAAACCAGTCCGGATACTTTTTCATCTTTGTCACTTCATTTTTGAAGAAAACGCTGATATGCAGCAGCTTTTATTATCCTGCTCCTCAGATCACTCAGTCATCATTTACAGTTTGTGAAATAGACGCTGCAGTGAGAAAAGAAGTGTGTTAAAGATGTGGGCTCCTTTCTTATTTTATAACAGAGATCCCTTTTCCTTCCATATTGTCCTCCTTCGTCACAGTTTTAGACTTTGCAGGTTGAAAATCTCTCATATCACTACCTCTTAATGTGTTTTTAAGAGTGAAATCACACCCCAGCAGACAGAAAACATTTCTACAGCGGTGTTATGACATTGCCATTTTCCATACTTTCTATGTTTTTGTTATATCTACAAAAATCTACATGAAAACTCAAATACAGCTCAAAGTTCTGTTTAACTGGATTATAAAGTGAATAAAGAGCAAAGTAAAGTTGAAATAAGCAAATAAGTACACGTAATTTTAGGCTCATGCATCTTTGTCTTTCACTTGCGTGTTTGGTGCAGATCTGGTCCTCCTTGGTTTTGTCCAACAAACTAATACTGAAGAACAAATAGAGCTCTCTGAATCAACCCCCTCAGATCACAACTCATAAAAAATCTCCTCACTGTCAACAAAGCTACAGGCCACAGGTTTGGTCAAGTGTCAGAGGATGTCCAATATGGAGCCCATGTGCTGTATTCCCCTTGACATCTGATTGTTTGACACTGTTATCTTTTTTTTTTCCGCTTATGAAGAGGAGGAGACCCAGGGGAGGAGATGAGGCTGAGAGGGAAGTTGAGGATAAGGATATACCTGTTTATGGTGGAGACTCTGCCAGTTGTCTCCATTCATACCGCTGCAGGGGTCCCCATTAGCTGCTCCCTCTCCTGCACCATTATCCGTGTGACTGAGGAGGCTGCTGGCCGGGGTCTGACGGGCGGCTGGAGGAGATTCAGGCATCACAGCTCAGGTACTAAAAGAAAACAGTCAGCAATAAATGAGACGAAGATTACAACACCGTAGATATGTTTGAAAAAAAAGAAAATTCAGTAGTTCACATTCTGTTTTCATAATACAGGGCTTCATATTTAGAGGACATATATACAAAATGCAAATAAACAAATTTGATAAAGTTTCTAAACCTGTTTTAAAAAGTATGAAACAGTTTGAAAATTGCATGTTAGAGAAAAAGGAAAGCAATAGAGGCATAATTCATTCTTAGAAGCACCACAACCATTGACTGGATGTTAGATTTTACAAAAAATCCAAATATAAGATTAAAAACATTTTAAATACATATTACTGCTTTCAATTCTTTTACACAGAAAAGTTTTTTTTTCTAAAGCCTTTCTTAAGCAACCAAAATTTTCATGAAACATGATTATACATTTAAAGGTACCTCAGATTAAAAATAATTGAATATAAAATGAAATACACGAACATACAGGAGACATGCCTCCATATTTTTGCACAAACATACACAAATATACACAAATATACACGTCCACTGTGACAAAAAGTTCCAGTTTTTGGGATCTGGCACGTTATTGTCAATTTACAATACATTAACTGATAAAAACTCGCATTTTAAGACATCCAAATTATCAAAACTGTAATTAGCCGGGTGAGAATACGAAAGAAAGTTGACAGATAAGAAAATTCAGTTTCCACCTGCACCAGCATGGAGTACCCAAGAGGTAAAAAAATTCTTAATACACAAGAAAGAAAGCAATAAAATATTGCAAAAACTTACAAGATTGGTCAGGAATAGACGTTTAGTTTAAAGATTTACTTCCACACACAAAGATGCAGAGTGATGATGACAGAAAATATCTGTTTTAGGTGTGAACATACCTTTCAGTAGTTGAATTCAGAGCAGCCAGGCTGAGTTGATGTCTCTAAGTCAGGCAGATTGAAGTGAGGATAGAAGAGGACTGATAGAGTTGAGTTTCTACCTGAGGGGGAGGAGTCAGTGTCACTCAGTGGATAGCAGGACAGCAGGAAACACAGAAATCAGAGTTGTTACCAAATCAGCTGCAGCCATTATCAGCATCATTAAATCCTTACAGTAATAGTGTTTACCCTGTCAGATTTTCTCCACGTTTGTAATAATAAACCAAATAAGTTCCCAGACATAATGTTTAATGTAGTCTTAGACACAGAAAGAAGTCTGTGTTCAATAATGTGGCATATCTTAAAGAAAAATGCTTCTTTTCAGGTGTTGATTTGCTTTGTTGATATTCATAGACATTTAAAGTCCAATAAAAAAACATAACGCCTGAATACAAGCATCATTTATTGTCTTTCATGCTTGAAACAAAGGGAGAGAAAAGACAAGTATAGTAGTCTGCGACTTTATTTAGATATGCGGTGAGTTTAGAGAAACAACAAAAAAAAAAGCTCTGTAGCTACACAACTGTCAAACTGTTATCAAAGAGCTATTTACAGTCCTGTCTGCACTTTTATTTGAAAAGCACATCGGTACATCTGTTAAAAAAACAAATAAAAGTGTTTTAATTTTGGCTGGTTATAAATGCCCTGTACCCAAGAGTGTAAAAGCTTAACACGGCTTGTCAAATGAAACCTGAAACGACTCCGACTCACTAAACTTTGTACAAACTTTTGTACAAGAAGACCTTTCTACACAGTCACCTCTCTGTGCTCTCTTCTCTTTCTCATGTTTATTCCTTTATTCTCTACTTTAGCGGACACCACCTTTATGTTTTATCCAACCTTAATCTCAGCAGGAGGTCCCTTATGATCCAAATTACGCTAAAGAAGGGGACCTGGGCGAGACAGCACACCAGGAACAGGTTAAAGTGAACATTTCAATTATGTATTATAATAATCTGGACACTCATCTATTATGTAAAGGTGAAGATATTTCCAACATAAAAATGTGGATTCATGATGTGCATTAGGAAGTGTTTGCAGCAGCCGTTTAATCTGTCTGAGCGCTCCCACGGTCATGAATAATATAACACAGAAATCAATAACATGTACACTACTAAAGACACACTTTAAGGCAGTTAACAAAAAACACAAGGAAAAAGAAATAAAATCAAAAACAAAGAAAACACACCATATTTACACTTTAGCACACACTCAAACCAACAATCAATCAATCAATCAATCGATATAACTATCTGTCTTAAGTTATATTGCACCAAATGTTCAATCAAGAAGCTTTAACAGGTGTAGACCATATACTTTGTTTTATTATATACAAAGACCCAACATTAAAATAGGATGAGATCAACAAGAAAATTCATGCACTCAAGGAAAAAGTCAGCTTTTGAGTGTAATTTCAAAGTTGAGGATGCATTTCTATAAGTAAAAGTCGAGCACAGAGAAATATAATATCTACACTTAACATATCATATCTGCAGAATAATTAATGATTGAACAGTAGCTACTGTTACCAAGGTAACTTTCTGCCACCTGCTGGATTAGTATTTACCTGCTTTTATGTTTCCATTAAAAGGAATAAGCTTAATACGTTTGTTCTGTTTGCTCAGGATCTGTAAATCCTCCTGAATAAAGTCCAAGTCCTCATTTACTCAGTTTAGGAGTGAATTTAAATTCTGTAAGGCAAAGGTTTCTCTGGAGACAAACACCAACAGCCAGGGAGCACAAAGGCTTGCAGTGGTGGTGTCACGAACCTCCCGTCATATGACTCTGTCATGCCTGTGAGAACCCGGTCAGTCATCTCCCGGCAGTGCAGGGGTCTGAAGGTCGTGGTTTGACTGCTGTGCCCTCTAACAGCTGTAGCCGTGCGATGAAAGTCTGGCAGCTTGATTCTGGCAGATTGTATCCAGCCCACATCAACACTTAAAGGCTGAAAGCGTGTTTGGATCCAGTCCCAAGAATAAATCTGATATCTTATTGGTTCCTGCAGAGGGCATTGTGGCTCCACCCAACCCAAAGATCTGCTCTCACAGAACCGTCCCACGAGGCTCTCCATCCACGCCACACACCTCACGGCTTTGTCACATCGCTCCTGCTCCCTCTCCTTCTCCCTCCTTCTTCTGGCCTTCAGCTTGAACCTCCCCTGCTGGAAGTCTCTCAGGTAAGCGTGGTGGATGCCCCAGTAATGACCTCGGCCATCCTCACAGCGGTTCACCTTCACAAAGCATTCATTCACAGACAAGTTGTGCCTCACGCTGTTTCTCCAGCCTGGACCCCGGCTCTTTAGATGGGGAAACTGCTCATCCATGGCTCTGTAGATGGAAGAGAGGTTGAGTTTTTTGGAAGGAGAGGCCAGGATGACTTTGGCTATCAAGGCAACATAAGAGAGTGCAGGCTTAGATAGGAGGTGAGTACCATCAGAGGAGTCATCTGGGTCGGTAAGGGTAGTCTTGACAGAATTTACACTTGAAGCCATTTCCTCTTGAGATGTCGTGTTGCTCTCCTGAATTCCTGCACAACAATTTAACATAAAGTATCCTGTTTGGATAAGATCCCAATTCATCCCTCCTCCAAGACCACTGCTATTATGCTCTTATATACTGTTCCTGTCTGAGTCAAGGGGGGTTTGCTGCTCCACAGTTCAGATAAATCACTGTTGCTCACTGTTGAAATATGTGTTTTATTTGCTCGGTAGGGTTAAGATTAACCACTTTTGACTCGGACATACCACTTTGTCACAGCTGTCAGATAAACACAGGAAGTTCAACAAAAACAGTGCATAACTTTCAGCTGGCTAATTCCTCAAATAAACCTCGATATGGGACAGAAATTGCACGATCACGGAGTCAAGAGTTGGACAAGTGGGTATTATTTTGTAGTTTTGACTGTATTTAAAGTCCCATTCGGATTGTTTTTTTTTTTTTTTAAGTGTTCTCAGTGGTCTTTAAATTGTGATTATGAAGTTTTTACCAAAAATCACGTTATTTGTGTCATTTTCAAGAGCTTTTCTTCTGCAGAGCTCCAGTAGATCATTAGAAATTCACCTCTGAGTCGTGGGCGGAGACAGCGCTGCTCTGCACTCTCGTCTTCATGCTATCTAGTAGCCTAACATTGCCGTTGGAGTAGAAGTGGCAGGTAACATAGGAGTTAATCAGCTCTTGGACACTAATGTCTTTCAGGACACGATGAAAGCTAATATCATAATAAGCTTTCTTACGAGCATTGCAATCCGCTAACGCACATGCTTGTTCCCCGACCGTCCTCTGTATTTCTCCTCAATATGCAGAGAGTGGTTATGTAGGAAATCTCACTGTTTCTAAACCTGCTGTCTGGGTCTGCCAAAGATTCACAGCGATTTGAATCAAGAAATACTCAGAAAAGCAATTTTGCCTTTAGTTTTCTTATGGTATATCCTGTAGCATCAGAAAAATGAGATATGAACATAAAAAAAAACAAGAAAAGAAATTATTTTCATTGGAGTGGGTCTTTAAAGATGATCTGTTCTTTTTAAATCTCATGTGACTCAGTGTGGCCCAAGAGTAATAATAGCATCCATGGTGATTCTCATGCTTTTTAAACAAAGAGCTCTGCAGCTCCTCAGAGAACACTGGGTTGAGTTATACTAGAAGCCACAGTGAGACGACTGTGGGGAAACTACTAATGCTGCAGCAAAACTTTGAGGTTTTAAGGCTTTCTTGCTGTTGAAAACTGGGATTAATATCAATCTTTATTATAGATTATACCCCACAAATGCTCTGGAGGAGGATATTTCTCCTCCTTCGCTCAGACTACTGTACATAGTTTAAGTCTCTTCTCTCCTATTTATAGCGTTGGCCCTTGCAACAATGTCATCCGTAACTCGACTCCATCTGTTAAGTCAGAGCATGCTGAATGTCAGTTGCCAGAAGCAGAAGCACTGCCGCTCACTTCCCGCTGAGTCTCTCGCAGGGAGCCCCATGGAGTTTGTGGGACAGCCGAGACCTGCCAGGGCCTGCAACCTCCTGGGAGTGCCGGGCCCCAGCTTGGTGGATTTGGACGATGATGAAGGTGAGATTGTGATAGGCATCAGGCCTAAATCTTCTCCTCTCCCGCGAAGAAAAAGCTCTCTGAGTGACGACGACTCAGAACCCATGCCGCCCCTGAGTGGATCCAGGAGAGTGTCATTTGCAGACGCCAAAGGCCTCAACTTGGTGCAAGTGAAGGAGTTTGACATTTGGGATATACCTAAGCTGCCAGATTTTGACTCCAGTGAGGGCAGAGACAAAGATTTGGAGGAATACTCTATAACTTCCCACAACTTCTCACCTCTTTTGCCTTCTGAGGAGCTGTTCGCCAAAGTCCGAGATCAGAAATTGGAGCTTGAATCGATTGAGTTACTCCCAGGGACGACAATACTGAGAGGGGTGATCCGTGTCCTCAACATCTCGTTCGACAAGATGGTGTACGTTCGAACCACTTTGGACTCCTGGTCCACCCACTTTGACCTCTTGGCAGAGTACATCCCTGGTTCCAGTGAAGGTCTGATGGACTGTTTCTCATTTAGACTCACCTTAGTTCCTCCATTTGGGGAGCAGGGAGCCAGGGTGGACTTCTGTTTACGGTACGAGACTCCATTTGGGGCGTTTTGGGCCAACAATAATGGCGGGAACTACGTGCTGTTCTGTAACAAGAGAGCTAAAGAGGAGACGGATAAACCACAGCAGGAAAGTGCGAAGAAGAAAGGCTGTCTTAAGATTGTTAGGTGAGGATATACACATTTTTTACTGGTATGAACTTGAAGAGGTCAGTTGTGAGGATGTTTTTTAGACAAAATTAAATGTATTTTATTTGAGGCCTAATGTTGAATAGAAACATCAAAATGTGCATGTGAGTAAATGGTAAGTTTGTTGAGGTCTACATCTTTCTACTTGAAATAACTGTTTCTCTGTGAGCGGTGGAAATATTTTCCTACTTTTCTGCCGAGTCACATACCTCTGCAGTCAAAACTGGATATTTATGAATGGAAAAACAAAAGTCAAACAAAATACGCAATATGGATCGTCACATTTTACACTCATGATCCATGATCATCAACCTTGTTGCCGTGTGTCATTCATTGATTGATGAAAGTCAGGAAATATGCGTTACAACAGACACATAGATTAAGTTTGACTGTTTGTTGTTTTATTGATCGACAGTCAGAACTTCTTCACTGTGGAAAACTTTTCAGGAATGGGAGCGTCATTTCAGGAAAATATCAAAACAGGTGAATACCTCCTTTACTGGTTGTGAATTTAAGTGGAAAACTAAGAAATTAAAAAAAAGTTGTAGTGCAGCTTGAATATCACTCTCATGTCCAATTTGTGTCTCCAGATGTGTCAAAACAAGGAGAGGAAGCCGAGACTTTGAAGGCCAAGCGAATCTTTGATGGTCAGTCAGGAACTTTAGAGGAAGATGATCAGAAAATACCGGTGAGTGAGTGAGTGAGCGAGTGAGTGAGTGAGTGAGTCACAGTCGTTCAGTTTGCTCAAACCTTCTAGTGTAGTCATCCAAGGCCAATTCAATGCATTTGTCTTTGCATCTCAGGAGTATTATCTGACACGGTTATATTTAAGTTACCGTGACTCATGAGGTACTCTAGACTATTTAAATGTCAGTATCTCTTCTCCCTGGATACCACTAAGTGCTTTGTGCAGAATGGAGAGTTATTTGTCAGTGAAAAGAAGCACCATCATCTGTCTTTACAAGAGGAGCAGAAACATTAACACGACCCCGGTGCAAGAATGTCACATGACCTGGACTTGAGCAGCACCAGTGTAACATAATGTACTGTACACCTAAAGGACACTTTGTGCTCTTCCATGTCCTGCAAACTGGAGTTTCTTAAATGTCGCTATGCATGCTTATTTATTTGTCAAAGTTTGTGTGTTTATATTTGTGTGAAATGCAGGCTGAGCATTTTACTGTGTGTCATGCATCTTTGAATATCGACTACTTCTCATGACTACTGTGTGTCCTTTGTTGTTGATGAACAGACGAAGAGCAGACGGAACTGCAGCCGAAGGAATCGTCGAAAAGCTGCACGCATGGCCCGAGTGAGGGAGTACTTTTCTGAAAGGAGTGGAGTAAATAACCCTGAGAAAGAAGATTTGTGGTCAGAGGTCAAACAAACCGCTGGAGAGGAACTGCCGTCAGATGCAAAGTCCCTTTCTGAGTGGAGCAGCAGAGCAGAAGATTCTAGGTTTGTGTCTGGATCAGTAGAAACAAACAGCGAGTCCCTCACTGACGTTCTCCAGGATATGTCACCAGCACATGACTACACCTCCAGCAGCCAGGCAGAGAAATCTGAGATCATCAGTTTGGCTGACTCACCAACATTAAAAGGAGGTGAGAGCGCCTCAGATATCCCAGATGACATTTTGAATTCAAAAGATGAATACCAGGACATCAACAAGTCTGTCTATGAAGCTGTAGAAAGCAGAAAGGACGAAGACGTGTGTCAGGAATGTACAAACGACTTCACACCTGAATCTCTGGACAGTTTTGTCTCAGCAGTGAGCGGTGAAAGCCTTGGTAGCGGGTCAAATAGCGTCACATTTGGAACTGTGGTGGCACCGCTGTATCACCAGGCGTTTGGCAGAGCTGGGACTGAAAGTGAAGGCACAGCTGATTTGGGAAACGCATCAAAAGATACACTGAATATTTGCCCTGAAAAACAAGTAACCAGATGCACTGCTACAACAGATACTAGTGAAAGCACTGACGCTGCTAAGGGAAATATGAACAAGGTTCGTGAAAGCTTAGATGCTTTTCTGAGAAGTTCCCCCATGGAAGAAGACGAAACAAGCCTCAGTACGACACCACAGGACATCCTGAACCGTGCAGAAAGTCTGCAGGTTCCCAATGAGATTACATATTCAAACCAAAGGATTCCAGCAGAAGCAGATCCAAACGCTGTTTACAGTTTAAATACAGATGTGTTGGACACGCTAATATTAGCTGGGAGTTCAGATCTCCAGGGAGAATCACAGGAAGAGACTCTAACCCGTGACCTCCGAAGCCAAACCACAGAAGAAATGGCAGAGGCTCAACCGTCAGAGCAAACAAGTACACAAGTCAAAACTAATCCAGATGAAACACACGCACAACCCGAAACCAAAGAAACCGTGACAAGTTTAGACACTTTTGGTGAATCAGAGCGTTTTAATCATGAGACAGGACAACAAACCAGCAGGAGGGGCGAGACGGAAGAAAACATCAGCAAAACACTGACCAGATCAGCAAGAATCGACGTCAAAGTTTCAGAAACTTTACACGACTTGAATCTTAACTTCATTAATAATTCAGACGGTAAAAGCGCTGTAGAAAGTTACGACTCTTGTTTGGAAGCGTTGCAGGGAAAGGATGTCACAACATGTCAGTTATCTCTCAAAACTAAGAAAGAAACTTACGATGCGGTAGAAGCAAACAAAGTGGCGAACAGCACGAAAGAAGCTGAGTCACTCGTGATGAGAAGTGATCGTCACATACGTGGTGATATAAATGTAGAAACGGAGGGAGGAGACACTCCAAAACAAGAAGAAATGAGTGGTTTAGGAAAAATAGAGCACCACAATCTGGCAGAGTTTTGTTCTGCAGATGTTACTGTGGTGAAAAACTGGGAAATGATGGTTGAAGAAGAGGAGATAAACATACTAACATATGAGGAGGAAAGTGAGGGGATAAGCATCCGAGCAGGAGACATCGAGGCAGTAGAAGAGGACCACATCGAACAGCTGTGGGATGTCGTGAAGGAGATGACGTCAGAAAATAGAGATACAGCAGAAGAGGAAGATGAGAAAACACATGATGAAGATGTGCAGGAGAGAGGGGAGGTAGAAAATGAGGCTGAAGCTGTAGATGTTTCAGAGGACAGAGAGGAACAGATAGTGGAGGGTGTTAAAGATCGGGCCAGAAAAATGGAGGAGACAGAACTAACTAAGAGGACTGATCCAGAGAGTAAAGACGATCCTAAGGAGAAAGAACAAGATTTTCCTAAGATAGAAGAAGTTAATTTTGAGAGGACAAATATTCAAGAGGAAGAGGAGATAGAGAAAGTAGAAGAACGACATTTGAGCTTTGAGGAGGAGGGTTTGGAGAATGAGGGGGTAAAAAGAAAAAGGGAAAAAACACAAGAGAATCCAGATAACACAGAGACGAGCCAAATCATTGATGCAGGAGATAAAGGGTCAGAGAACATGAGGGAAGAGGACAGGAAAAATGTAGCTGAGTGTTTTGAAGATAGGTCAGAAAGTTCACAAATAGAGGTCGAGGATGATTCATCTGCTCTAGTGAACAATGTGCCGGAAACTAGAGATACCGAAAAGGAAAATGCAAGAGAAGCACAATCTTCACACATCCAAAGTGAACCTTATACAGAGGGAGAGTTTCAGACGAATGAGGGTGTTGAACGTGTTTCACCAAAAGCTGATAGAGGTGAGAGTCAGTCCACTTTTGCAGGCGAAGGCTTGTGCATTTTCGACAACAAACCAGACAATGATCAAACAGGTCTGGATGACGCCGCTTCGTCTGAGTCAGACTCAGACGATGAGGTGGAGTTGTACATGCACTGTCTGAGGGCCGTTCACACCGGCGCACAGGCCGCCAAAGACGGGAACAAAGACGCAGGATTTGGTATGAGCAAAAAGCCGTCTGTAAACAGAAGCAAACTACTGTCCACCCCGATGCCCTCCATCACTGAGTCTGTGGATGAAGAACAAAACTTCAGCTGCCTTCAGGATGACATTGCAGACACAGAAACACTCGACTTCCAACCCACGGCTGCTCCTCCGGCTGCTGCAGGTGAACAGAAAAACATCAGCGGGAAAATGTCATGGTGGAAGGAGACTTTTTCCTGCAGGAACATCGGAAAAGCATTGTTATACGCTACATCAATCCTGGTATTTTTAGTCGTGGCCTACCATTATGACTTTCTTGCCTGTTTTGGGCTCTATTTAGTATCCCTGGTTTGGCTCTGGTTTCAAGGAGAGAGGCCGACAGTGAAACACAGCAAACGAATAGGATGAATTACAACTTTATACTTTATGTTTTCCTTTTTTTGACACTGACTCATTGTATGTGGTAAATTAGAAAACAATAGGGCTGCATGATATCCACGAGGGTCACTAGGTTTAGTAGATTTAAAATCAAATGTTTTTACCAGTGACGTACAGTGAGCTTCATGGCTGGTGAGGCACTGAGTTCATCGCAATCAGATTTTTAAACATGTGAACCCTACACAGCAGCTTATTAACCACTGGATTGGCAGCAGTAAAGGGGTTATCTTTCTTTACACGAACAAACTAGCACACAAAAAAGCACATATTATGGTCTTACCTTTACTGATACATGATGCGTACCTCCTGCTTGGATTAAAAGTCCAGTTTAGAAAACTGCTTGAGTTTAGATTAGTAATCCTCTATTTTGAAAGTAAGGCCAGAGGAGAGGAAAAAATAAATGGATGGCTGCACTTGACTTGCTAACTGGTTGATTGTAGATTGTAGTTTGCTGTGTCACTTACTCTGCAGTCGAGAAGTCGCAAGAGGAGTCACTGGGATCACAAGTGCCCCCTACTTTGAGGCAGGAGAACTGCATGCCTCACTTAGTGCCTTTTTGCAGTCGTTTTATGATTGCTCAGCACAGGAAACAAGTCACACATATTCGATTGTTGACACACACACACACACACACACACACACACACACACACACACACACACACACACACACACACACACACAAAAAAAACACTGTATGTTGTATACATCAGCTAAACTGTGAAGATTTAGTTCATATGGCTAAAGTGTTTGAATATTTTAATTACGACATACAGAGAAATAGCAATACGGTCTCACTGCACAGCATACCAGTACAATTTGCTGAGTCATTGCGCAATCCATGGTGAGGATTGCTGCTGCCTCACCCCACGTCACGTCTCAGTATTTGAACAGTAAATGCGAAAACTCAAAAAAATAATCAAAAACTGTTGAAGTTGAATGAAAAATACCTTTATAGTGCAAATCACTAGATTAATATAATCATTTGATTAATCTTTTCATTTTATATTTTTTTTCTTTCCGTGATGACAAGTGAGGCACGGCCTCTCCTTCTTTCCCTGAGTGCACGTCACTGCTTTTTTTTTTTACTATATTAGATAGGCACGACTGCTGGCTAATAAGAGACAACAAAGTACTAAGTAATGGTCAAAGTAGCTATGAGTATTAATGGGCATTGGTGTGAAGCACATGAGAGTTCTCTATATTCCCTATGGGAGGATGCTACTCTCTGTTGTCAAGAGTGATAACTAGGTTTTTTATGCTTTAATGTACATAAAAGCACAGTGTGTGGACTCACGTTATGGACCATTTCTCACATTGATCACCCCTGCACAGAGCTGCATATGAAGCTTAATGCAGGTGTAAATAAAAAATCATCAGTGTGGCGTGTGTGTGTTTGTGTGAAGGTTAGATTTACTGTGAAGTCTGGGTCAAATAAATTAAAATGAACAACTTTTTGTTGAATGATTTTTTAATGTTTTCTGTGTTTACAGTAGAGGACTTGCTTTTTTATAACATTGGTTGTTTTTTTAAGTCAGAAAACTAATGAGCATCTGCGTTAAAAAGTGGGCTGATGAGGAGGTCTGCCTGATGGAACCATGAGATTGACATAGAGCTGCAAACCAAGCAGATGTTTTGACACATGAATAAAACGTCTGTCCAGTCTCCACAAATGACAGATGGTGTTGTGGTTGTGAAACAGACACTTATGGAAAGTTCTAGGATTCTTGAGTCTGTGTTCATATGTTTTCTGTTTTCACCCCTCTTCCTCCACTCTGCTTCTAAATAACATAGCTTAACTTTTAGCAAATTGTGTTTTATCTATGTTTGTTAGCCCATCACTTAGCAATAAACTCTAAATATTAAGTATTACACAAAGTACTGCTCGTGGTTCTACAAGAAATGACAGGGGATCTGACTCAAATGAAAATAAATGCAGGTTGTTTTATTTCTTCTTAAAGTCTGCAGGTTAGGAGTAGATCACAGTGATATTAGAGATCACACACAAGTGCCATCAGGGGAAGTTTGTGAGAGATCTGTGGCTACAGTAGAACTCTACAAAAACCCACATCCGGATCCTGACCTTATTGTTTGGGTTCTTATGTGGTGAAATGTTTGTTTTTTTCGTTTTAAAATCTTTGGCTGCATTCTGATCAGTCCTGGTATTCTGTTATCAGCACTTATCAGTGTCAAAATATGTTTGGCATCATTTTGACCTACAGAAGTATTAACCTGGGCTTTCATACCATTTAGTTGTCATGTATTAGACTTCGAGTGGTAGCTTTAGAATCAATATTGACACTTGGACAAACAGTCAAGGGTGGAATAAAAGCCAGAAGTGTTCAAAGATTGTGCCTTACAGTCAAGGGGTTCTTTTCTTTTACTTTGAGACAACAAACCTTTTAATTTCACTCACAACTAACAACTTAAAAATTAAAGAGGAACGCGGAGCTGGTTGTGTTTTTGTCATGCTGTCCTAAATTTCAGTCTATGACCAAAAAAAAAAGTCTATTTAGGCTCTCTTCTGACAGCTGGATTTTTACTGTTTGAGTGTTAGAATGAATGGACAGAGAGTCACATCAAGACAGTTTTAGCATTCATCCTGCTTTGTTGAACTTTGGCTTTTGGTTTTTCAGCTGAACACAGCTGCAGTAATGTTCTTGCCAGGGGATTTCCAGCTAGTCCTCTGTGAGGATTACCACTCTCTTTTCTGAGATGAACAGTTTTAGCAAGCAGAAAAAAAACATGACAACATTTTAGACAGCTGAGGGGAACGTCCATCTCTGCACAAAATGCACATTTTATGTAGTTTGCAGGGGGTTATCTAGGTGTTCTTTTCACAACAACCTTTTCCCCATGAACTTGAATTCTGAGTTATTTCTTCATCTGGTCTCTCAATCTTTCTGAGGTTGTAAATTAGGCCTTCAACCATTATAATATGGCAGAGCAATTGGATATATGGTTAAAACTATTTCTATCAGGATGGTTATATAATTTGTTTACGTGTTAACATGAACGTTGTTTGGAGTAGCATGATTGCTGTTTGGAGTAGCGTGATTGCTGTTGCCTTTGCAACAACACCCAAGAGTACAAACATAATTAATTTTTATCAGCTGTGCAGGTGGAGCCTATTTTGGCTTCATATTATCAGAGCATGTTGGCTGAACCTTACACCGATCCCTCTACATATTCTGATAACATTAACAGTAATATTTAACAGTGATCAACAGCTTCTGCACACAGCAGATACATAAATATCTTTGTTTTTAAATGGACAGATGTCCATCTGAAATCTATCAGGACCTATATTTTGGGAGTAAGTGCAATTAAAAGCACCGAGAGGGAAGAAATCAACTCTTAAAGCCTTTATTTTACAGTTGCTGTACAGAGGAAATATAGAAGAATTTTTCAATTTCTTTCAACAAAGAGTTCCAATGAAATTACTGTTAATTATTTAAATTAATACATTTTTCCATTCATGATATATGACAAAATATGTGGTTTAGGAAGGCTTTAATTAATTATGTGTTAAAAGAAACTTTAACCTAGATTCATGATATATATTTACATTAAAAAGTACCACGGTGCATAAAGCTTCAGCTACAGTTCAAAAGGAACAATGATGTTACCATCATGTGCTATGCGTTATTTTTGGAATAGAGGGATAATTATGTTCTGGTAGAGGGTTTCGAAGAATTTATGAATGACGGCTGGTCAATGCATTTGCGAAAGCAGCTAATGTGACCCTGTGTGAAATTGGATCCACAGTCAAGACAAAGTCATGCGGTCTTTGAGCGACAAGATATCTTTCTTTAAAGCTGTTCAGGTTTTCATGGCTGCAGGAGTCCAACTCAAAGGAAATGAAGAGGTCATTGTGAAGGCAGATTGATTTTAATGTCAAACAAAAATGGGTTTATTACACTTCTGTTATTTTCCGCACTTTGTTGTACAAGCCTCTTGTACATCTTTTTTTTTTTTTTTTGGGGGGGGGGGGATGTTTTGAAGCTTCAAACGAAGGCAGAAACTCAAGTGATCCTGTGTGTTGTCACTCAAACCAAACTAAGTATCTCTATAAACTCCAATCTTCAGTTTATTTGAATCTACAATTATCTTGTTAACTGTTTTTGTTAGCTTTTTTGTGATTGAATTTGCATTTAAACACCAAAGAATCTTAAAACTGACTGTAAACAGTGAAGATCTTAAAAATTGGTTCAAGTAATCATTTATTTCTGTTGTTGTGTAACAGTTATTTTGAATGAAATAGCCTACTGCTACAATAGACAACCTTTATTTCAGACCGTGCAACCTGGAGCATTTAAACTTTAAGGGTGCATATCTATTCATGACTTCCACAAAAAACTCATACTAACAAGAAATACTATGTCAATCCTTAACAATTACAGCTCTAGTTATAAAATATCTATAACAAACTGTTGTATTTGTACATGGTGTCAAAATAATTTCAGGAGTGTTAGGATTTACATTATGTACTTGAACGCTCCACAACGTGCACTCAGCATAGACATAATATACGTAGACGCCTCATAGACTGATGCTGCCTGTTGGAGCTCACATATCAGCGTGGCCACCATCTTGGATGGGTCACCCTTGCGGCCCTAGTGCGTTTATTTCTAATGAGGAAGATAGGAATGTCCAACTCATAGACTGTATACACTATGGACAACTTCGTTCCTCCCGCCAGTCTACGGATTTGAAGCCAAAAAGGCTCTTGGTAATTCAACGTTTTCTCTCCATTTCCTGAAACCAACATTGCGCAGTAGCGTTGTACGCATTCAACTGGAGAGTTGCCGAGAGTCGCTGTTCTGTGTAATTAATTTCTAAAGTTTGTCCACAGCTCCATAGGGATTGCTGGCGGAGGCGGAATTTATGACCTACAGTATACTGCAGCCAGTCAACAGAGAGTGCTGTTTTCGGAGTGGCTTCACCCAGCGAGGACGCAGACACTGTCTATTCTACATATAGTCTATGGTCCAACTATATTATCAACCGAACTCCCTGAATTTTTATCCGATTTTCACACAAATTATTATTTTAAATACAGCAGAGATGTAACTACATGATACAGTACGCTGTCACAGATTAAAAATAATAAAAATTACGTTTAATTTCTCTTGTGAAATATAATCTTCGTCATTTGGTTTCAACATTGCGTCAGTTTTCTCAACCGTAGGGTACACAAAATACGGGCATAGTTGCTCATTCTCTCTTGACTCCATTGCGAGCCAAGCGTGAGTAGACCTTTCCAATATGGCGGCGACTCCGGATTATACGCTAACACGTAATGAGGCGTCTACGCACAATATGTCTATGGCACTCAGTACCGGGTACGCTTCTAGACCTGTCATTGGACGGAGCGCTGTCAGTTCTGAGGCGTGTTCGTCAAAGTCAGCCAATCAGCTCACGCGTTGTTGCCCGGTACGCCGGTTCGCCGGTCCGTTTGCAGCTGGGAAAAGGGGAAGCCAGTGGCCGAGGTCGGAGGAAGGCAGCATCGGCGGCGCGGTGCGGTGCTATGGACCTCAGGGACAATGTCGAGACAGGGGAGACAGAAAACCAGCAGGAGATGTTCTACATGCCAATCCCTGATGAAGCGCCGTGCAAGAAGGAGCAGGAGAAGCTGTCCGGGGTCGTCAAAAACGTTCACAGAAAACTGCGCAGGAAATACAGAGAGGGTAAGCAGCTGCGGTGGGCCCCTCTCTCTTTCTCTGTGGCCCTGCAACCGATGAGCTAACTGACTTACAGCTCAGACATACAAAAACAAAGTCATTTTTATTGACATGAATGTGGCACAGACAGTGTACTTTGCTCGCTAACATTAGCCTTAAAGCTAACTGTGCAGCTTTACTGCAGACCACAGTTCAGGTTACACTCAGCAAGCGAGGCCTTTAAAACTGCTGCAACAATAACACTAGACATACTGCAACTTTTACTCCTGTTTTTGAACATGTAGGGGTAAATAAGAGTTATCTCTGTGAAACCAGTCAACTGACAACAGAGTCATTAATAGGTAACTAATGTGAGATACTACCAAAGCCTGTCGGCTGATAATGAAGGACTTTCTATCACCTCTCTGTGGGCTCAGCAAACAGTAGGTGCAACTTTTGCAACCAAATTGGCTTTATGTTGAATATATTTGAGTTGTTGCATGAGATAAAGGTCTATAAAGAAGTCGAGATACACTAATGGGGATTGTACAGACACTGTCTTATACATAGTAAAGACATGAGACTGAAGCTTGCATGAGTGAATTTAAACTGAGGGGATGGTTAGGGCTGTGCAATATTGACAGAAATTAAAACAAAACAACAGAAGAAAATAAATAAATAAATTTGCAGTTAATGATTATTGATGACATTTGCATCCCTCAACAAAGTTTCAAACACAAAAATATGTTCAACATCTTGCAGGGTTTGGTGCTGGAAATCCGGCGTGGCGTAGCGTGGCACAATTTTTTTTTTTTTTTTACACCCATGTAAACCGGGACAGCATGTACGCATTGCTGATTTCTACCCAGAAAGCAGGGGGTACAGATACGAGGAAATATGATCTTGTAGCATGGCAACAGTGGAGGAGGCTACCAGAGTGCTTGGAGGTTCGTAAAGAGACAGTGGCTAAAATGAAGTGTTTCAGTCAGAAGCTGAATTGACTTTTTTCAGAAACACCAGCCTGGAATAGATTAAGAATTTTTTTTTAGCTCTAAATTATGAACCTCAGTCGGGTCAAAAACTGACTCTTCATATGCCTCTGTAGGGACGATTTTCTTCTGCTTTTACAATTTGAGGAAGTACAAAAAAAAAAACTTCGGATAAAGATCAGATGACACTGAATCCTGTGAAGTGATTTCTCATACAAAAAGTGTATCAGAGAGATTCTTTTGGCCTATAATAGATCAATATTCGTGCTTAAGTACTTGCAAATAAAATTGGCAAGAACCTAAAATTCCTGCACTGATCAGAAAAATTACTGAAAGCAGGTTAGTGATTCAAAAAGAGCTTATAGATCTGTAATATCAGGGTTGTATATCCACAAATGTCCAGTTTCTGTCCTGGCAGCAATCATTTTTTATCTCTTTTCTGTTATGAGTCAACTTGCATGATGTAAACTGGGAAGTTTGGAAAAACCCTTTCGCAATACTAAGCACTGACATATGACATCTGAGCAGCAGTCTGAGTGAATTTGAAGAAATAAACATTGTTATACTAAAGCTCTTAGACAAATGTATATTTTAGCTCTGAGCCATTTTAAGTAGAGGACTGATCGTAGATGTAGTTGTGGTCGGTCCAGTTCTTCTAGGAAACTAAAAATACTTACACATACTCTTTTCAGGGAAATGTTAAGTCCTACTAGAAAAGAGAAAATTTCAAACGAGCAGGTGCCAAGTGTTTATTCTGTGAAAAGAGACCTGGCATTTATTCATCATTATCTAACTGTGGAGGAGCAATGTCCAGGTTCTAACTTGTTTTTTAACATCGCAGTGATAAAAGTTACAATCCTTATGGCTTAAAATGTATCTGTTAGGAATAAAAAAATATAGCTTTTGTAATATTTCTGCCTACGGTCTAAATGTTAACAGCAAAAAAAAGAAAACCTTGCTTCAGTCAGCCTGTAATGGTTGGAAAATAAACCAGAAAAACAACACCTGAGTAGTTTCAGATATGTGTTTGTGCTTTAGTAATCACTGAAGTTCAAAAGTCAGAAAGGGGAAAAAATGTTGTTTTTTGTCCAAGCTCTGTGCTTCTTTTTGGTTTTACAAAAACCTGCATGATCCTGTGTGTTGGATCAAGTCGTGTTTTGAATAAACTATTTACAGTCTGGTAACGTTATGTCTCTAACAGACAATCAGGTTGTTTCAGAGTCCAGAGCAGCACAGAGGAGCCGTCGTGCGAGCAGACCTCATGATTGGTTAATAAGTAAAGCATGATCTGGAAGGCTTGGCATTGAATCACAGCAGTCATGCCTCCAGTGCGCTGCTGTTTACCACCGCTCCTGTTGTTGTGCTTTCATTTCTGTAAAATCTGATAAAGAGTTTTCCCTTGTGGTCATGGGATTTCTCCCTCAGCAGCCTGTTTGCCTTTGCTACGGGCCATAAACTTCTCAGTAGCTGCAGAGATGTGCTAAAGGGATTTTTACGTGTTGATTACAATGATAGAGAAACAGTTTGCCTACTGTGCTGGCAGAGATGAGTAAACATGACTGAGAGTGTTTTTGAAGCTGTTTTCTTCAAGGCGTGCTGTCCAAAGGTGGCGAGTAAGTTTTTGGATATTTTTGGCTCTTTTTGAAAACCTCTATTGACTCCTCCAGGCTGTGAGATCTGTCATTTACTTTCTGTGTTGCTTTTTTGTTCCTTCGCTCTGTCCTGATTTTTTTCCATTTGTCTTCCCAGTGGGTGACTTTGACAAGATCTGGCGTGAGCACTGTGAGGACGAGCAGACACTGAGTGAGTATGCCCTCGCCATGAAGAATCTCGCAGACAACCACTGGACCAAAAACTGTGAAGGAGAGGGACGCATCGAATGGTGTCGCAGGTACAGTTTGACTTCAGATGTCTTCAAACTGCAGGTTTAGGGTGTGCTCTTTTCACTTTCACGGTAAGGTTTGTTTGTTTTTTTCTTTTTCACAGTGTCTGTCAAGAATATTTCTTGGATGGTGGGATGAAGAGAATGTTAGAAAAGGATGAGAAAAGTGCAGCACTTGCCATGGGGCTGACTGCAGCGTCTGTGAGTACCCAGCCACACACCACCATCCCCAGGTAAGCTCCACTCTGAAATTTCTTCTGTACTAAACACAAGTCCTAGAATTTCTCTTACAAATCCTAACTACATACTGGGTCTGCAAAATGTATACCACAATTTCATCTGTACTGCTGTACGGTTTGGAAACTAGAAAGTTCAACTTTCCTATTTAACAATAATGGAAAGTGAAACTTCACTGCCGTTTGAATTTGGGTTACAATTTTATCTCAACAAAACACAAGCAGGTTTTTTCTTAAATTTGTTTCTTCTGTTTTCTGCTTGAGATATACATTCATTTGTACATATATTTAAATGTATATAGTGAAAAATAATTGTCTCTTTTGTAATCTGTGACTTTTTCTTTGACAAAACAAAATTTTGCTTTTATTCTTAACACACTTTGTTTAGCCCTGTGCAAACAAAACTGACACCAGGCCTGCACCGTGCTTAAAAAACAGTACTATGTACGATAACATTGTTCAGAATTGGGAAACAGTATAAAGTGTAATAAATGGACAAATACTAAAGAGTTCATGCTAAAATATTTCACTTTATACTGACTCTGTTGATCTTTTTGCTTTATAAAATACCTTTTTTTGCAACATGGTTCTCCTTAATCAGACATTCAGAAAACATTATTATCATCTTGAAATGATCTCCAACTACTCTGAGGTCAGCTGACAGCTATCAAACAGGCAAACTGTACAAGCTGAGTGAGAATACATTAATTGTATCCACTGATTTAGTTCTTTGATTTATTGTGATGAATTAAGAATTTGAGTTGTGTATATTGCTAATGCTCATAATAAATCTGGAGAGGTTTCTGAAAGAGTTAAAATAAAACTTAAAATTACTACAGATCGCAGAGAAAATGACTGGAATAACATTTTTTGCCGTTTCTGAAAGGCGTGAAAATTTGCTATTTAAACACTTCAGCGGCATCATAAACTATTCAGACGACACACTTCCTATCCTCATGTAAATGAAAGTGTATGAGTGGAAAGAGACAGGTGAAAATACTCAGATTGATTTGCCTTTAACACTTTTCATGCTGCAAAATACGAGATGTTTTCTATTTGGGCTTATTTTGGCCATGCTTAAAAAAGATTTTTAATTAAGTGTCTGTAATAAAATCCCATTATGAAAGTAACAGCCTACATCTGTATTTATCATTCTTGTGCCTATAATAATATAGTAATTCTATACGTACATTAAAGATGAATATTATTGCTAATACTGAATTATGGTGTTTTTTCTTTCTTGCTTTTTTAACATCCTCCTTGTAACTCATGTTTAAAACTCAGCCAGAATTTAGTATGGGCATCTTGAACCTTATTGTACACATGCTTTATGATACAGACCAGCATAATAGGTCTCCTTTTGCATGCAATGTCGTCTGTTTTTGTTGGAGAGAGAAATATGAAATATCTCTTTGTATTTTTAAAAGAGTGTGAATGTTACCAAACAGAGTCACCCTTGGATCAAGTTTTGGCATCTTTGCACGTTGGGTCTAAACTGCACTGTTAGCACTGACATTTTACCCACATTTGTTTTGTAGCTCAATCTCTCAGCTGGGAAAAATGCGCCTTCTAGATGTGGGAAGTTGCTTCAACCCTTTTCTGAAGTTTGACGAGTTCCTCACAGTCGGTATTGACATAGTGCCTGCAGTTGAGGTATGAATCCTTTTTTTTTAATTCTGTTGATGTTTTTCCTGTTTGGTAACTCACTGTTGGTGTGATAGAGCAAATGCAAAACTTGAAATGAATCATGCTGCGGCATCAGTCTCGTGGTTTGACGGTCTGTGTGAGCAAATGCAGCAGAAAGCGGAACAAAGAGCGGCTTTTAATCTGCAGCTGCAAGAAGAGAAACGTCTTGTGTGCAAAGAAAAACTCAAGTTCAAGGAGAGAGCACAGAAAACTCCCCTTCAACCACTTGAAAGTGCTGACTCTGCATATTTTCCCCCTCTGCAGAGTGTGTACAAGTGCGACTTCCTCAACCTTCAGCTTCAGCAGCCTCTACAGTTGGCAGGCGACGCGGTCGAAGCTTTCCTCCGCCAGCTTCAGAACCCTATCGACACACTGCCTTCCCAGCTGTTCCATGTGGTGGTCTTCTCCCTGCTCCTCTCTTACTTCCCCTCACCATATCAGCGCTGGATCTGCTGCAAAAAGGCCCACGAGCTGCTGGAGCTGCACGGCCTGCTGCTCATCATCACACCCGACTCTTCCCACCAAAACCGCCATGCCCTCATGATGCGCAGCTGGCGCGTAGCCGTCGAGTCCCTCGGCTTCAAGCGCTACAAGTACATCAAGTATTCTCACATGCATCTCATCGCCTTCCGTAAGGTCTGTCTGGCCACCACCAGCGATCTGGTGTCACGCAATTACCCTGAGATGCTCTACATCCCTCAGGACTTTCACTCCAACGAGGAGGAGGAGTGTGCTGATGTGCCCGTGCAGGTGCGCTCCGAGTTTGAGGAGGACCAGCTGGCTTGGGGCTTCACGGAGCTACCTGACACGCCCTACGATTCAGATTCTGGGGAGAGCCAGAGCAGTTCAGTGCCTGGCTTCCATGAGCTAGAAGACCCCATCCTGCTGCAGAGCTAGGCTAAACCAGCAACCCCCCCGTCTCTGCGCCTCCTCCTCCTTACCCCCCTTCTCTACCAAACTGTCACTTCCCCTTCAACTGCTGCGCTGCCAAATTTAACCTGCTGCATTCTTCTCCCTCTTCTCCCCCGTCTCCTCTAACTAATGCAGTTTGCACAGTGTGAAAGAGCAAAGTTTACAGATTATTTTCTCAAATCCACACTCCTCTGTGAGTACACACACACAGACACGCACACAGATACACATAACACACACTAAGATGGATATATTTTGATAAATATCTAGGTTTTTTAAAGTTGGAAAGCGAATGCCCTTAAGATTTCGAGACTCCCTTCTCCTTGATTTCAATCCCATCTTCCAAACAGCACTCAGCATCAAAAGTCAGCTTGTCTACATCCTGTACTCTATTTGAATAAGCTAGTGTGGCGGGCGGATAAGTACAAAAGACAAATGCATACATCAACCAGAGCAGAGTGACAGGAGTGTGATTGCACTGGAGAGACTGAGGTGAGACTGAGATGACTGGACTGGTACGCTTGCTTCTGTCACAGCCATGCAGCTCGACTTTGTGAAACCTCTCGATGTGCATTTAGTTTTCCAACACAACAACAAAAACAACAACAACAACAAGAAAAGATATTCATGCTTTTGAAATTCATATTCTCAACAGTTAAAACATTGGTGTCGTCCAGTGTTGAGTGTGGCAGTGCCATTTTTAATATGGTATCAACTGAATGATTTGTGTATCTTTTACAAGAAAGTGGTATTTGTAGCATTTTAAACATTTTCAGAACCATACAGTAGGAGTATTACTGGTTTACTAATGTGAAACTGTAACTGTGTTGATTCATGTGTAACAAGGTACGAGTGTTTCAAAGTAGGTATTACCCTTTTCCCTCCTCGTTGTCTTTGCAGATATTAATACTGAATGATCTCCTGTTGAATTTAAGATACTTTTTTTTTCTCAGGCAGAAAAACGTTCAACACTGCAAGTCAGTGACCCTTATCAAATTTAATTTACAGCATCGGTATCCTTCACATTCATTTTGTAACTGTGATGTGAAGACCTATTGAGTATCCTGCCTCCAAAATGATCCGAGCTCCTAACAGTGAGAAAATTCACCTCCACTAAAGAGATTTGCACTAATTTATTGTTTTTTTTGTCATACTGAACCTCCAAAACAGGTGACAATCTAGATTTTAGCAATACAAGCGAGACTATATCTGGAGATACTGAATCTAACATGGGGGAGATTTTAGCTAAAGACACTACCTGGTGATTTTCAAGAGTGTGTTTCTGCTTGTCACTGAACAGGCTGAATGTGTGGCTGTGGTTGGGTTTGTAGGTGTGAATGAAGGAATGAATTGTCGATGTGTTTTTAATCAGTGGCACTTTATAATTGAACCCAAAGGGTGCCACAAAATGTAATTATTTTCCTGTGATGACTATTTCACAAACAAGCGTAGGGGCCCACAAAATAACAGGAGAAAGTATAAGGTGCCTTCTGTGTTCTTATCTACTGTATGATGTGAGTAGACTGTCATGAGCCTGGAGAAAATGAAACTCACACCTTTTTAACAAAATAATATCGAGCTTCTTTGGCCAAACAATCCACACAAACTACCACTTCTCTGTAATGTCATCGAAATGGACAACAAGATACATTTCCTGTTTTGATGTTGCGCAGTGTGTTGTTGCCATTCCCATATCATTTTCCAGTTAACCTTTCTCTCTGCTGATATCTCCTCTCTGTTCACAGGACAAAAGAAAATATTTCACAGTACCACACATATTCAGACTTTGAAGAAGCGTGTTTTGTGATTAAATGGTGCATTTGTCTTCCAGTGTTTCTTCTGGCCCATTTGCATGAAATGGTTCATCTACATTATCAACATTTTCATCAATTCAGAACAATGTGTGCTTATAGTATGGTTGTATTTCTCTTTTATAAATGAATGTAAATGCTAAGTGTCTGTGTGTTCTTTGTTTAGTAACCTCATGGTTTTAAAACATCAAACATTTTGATTTTAAACTGCTGCTTTTTAGGTAATGAGGGGTTGTGTGTGCCTTTTTAATTCATTTATTGACAGGTTAGTATGGAGATTAATGGTCAGCCAGTATCAGTTTTTCAGTCATATACACCGTATATATTATTTATAGATATATTTAAAGCATGTGCCAAGGGAAATGTACTCATTCTTGTTTTCCACTTCAACATGAACCCTGGTATGTTCAAAATGTCACTGTTGGCCTGTAAACCTTTGGTTAGCACTTATAACACTTCATTTAGCTGCTTTCTATGTGAGCATTGTTAAAAGATGTGCTACAGCAGTAAACAGAAATAACTCAGGACTATAGCCAGAAAGCTGTCAAAACAGGAACCCAGGTTAGGCATAAACAGACATGGTATGACTGTGCCAAAAGCCAGTTATGAGTGTAAAAGTTCACCCTTGATCCTTAAACAAAACAACCCAAGGTCTATATTAGATGAATAAAACTGAATACACAGTATGAGGGCTTTTGAGTGTATCCTTACACTCAAACCAAACCATTGTAGCTGGATTTGAAAGCAACTAATTACATGAACTCATGTTACTATTATGAAGTAACTTTTTTTTTTTCCTGCACTTTTCCGAGTAAAATCAGTACATTTGTTTTTACTTTACTTTCTGTTGTGCTACATTTTACAGAGTATCCGCCACTGCGTAAAAAATAGATAAAAACATACAAGCTTTCCGTTAACTGCATCATAGCCAGACGATTGTATACTATGTAAAAGGATAAAGGCCACTGGAAAAAAGGTCCAGTAGGAGAGAGTGGGGTAAGATGAGCCATTTTTCATATTTCGGATCACTACTTCAAGGCAATCATAATTTTGTCTCTAACTCATGTATCTGCATATATTTCAAGATGTTGTGCATCCCTGCAAACCAGCAGAATGAGTGTAAACATAACTGTCTTGATAATATAGCATGCCAAAAAAAAGTGGTCTCCTATGGTCAATTTACCCGGTGTATGGGGTAAGTTGACCATAGGACCATAAAAGTCACTTCTTCACATTTTTATTTTTATCTATTATACGCAATTTAACTGGTACAATAATTCTCATTATTATTGCGTATAACTGATAAAAAGCTTTTTTTTTTTTTTTTATAAAAAGCCATTTTAACTTGAGAATGTCTTTAAGTGATTCAGAACATTCACAGCTGTATTTTTGAAAAGAAAAAGTAAAACATTTCAACAATCCGAACTGAAACTGTGATCCTCTCATCAGACTAGTTTACTTTCTCAGTTCAGCCACTGACTAAATTTACCCCAGAACTACTATTATGATTTTATTAGTCCTCTAAGCTAAAATGGTGGACTTTTATGCTAGGTTTTTGACCTCATGTTGTAGCTCATAAATACCACAATTGATGTATAAAACAAATTTAAAATTATCCTTTTTGGTCTGAACACAATTCTAATAAAACTTTTGACAGACTAAATTCACTTTCACCCATGTGCTTCTAACCTTCACAGACTCCATGAATTGATGGCCATCTCCTAAATATTTGGTCACACGATCAATTTCTTTTACCATTTACAAGAAACAGGGGGTGGCTCAACTTACCCTTTGGCTCAACTTACCCCACTCTCCCCTATGTATTTTTTATTATCATTATTATTCCGAAAAAAAGTCTCTCAGAATCTACTCTAACCCTAACCTGACACTCGTCCCGTTTCAGTTTTTGTCCCTCGGCGCTTGTCGTAGTCAGAGAGGGAGCGTCATGGCGCCCATCATCTGACTCCAAACTTTTGACGTGACAAACTTTTTTTAAATGTTTTTCCAGCAAGTAGCCGGGTCCGGGCCGCTCCACCTTCCTGTTATCACGCCAAATCGGAAAACAATAGACGGACCGGCAGCGACGACGGTGAAAATGTAACCGGTAATCCGTGCTACGTTTGACCGGCGCGAGGATGCGTCGCTAACGGCTAACGGACTCTAAGCTAGCTACTTTCAACAAGTTAGCTTAGTTTTGTCGACGCGATATCTGGACCTGACAGACGGTTATAACTCGTCAAAGTTCATATTTTGGTGAAAATGTTTCGTTTTCTTCGCTACTGTGTGAGTCACTGCCTCCACGCATCGATGACCCGGCTGGAGGAGGTGAACGGGGAGGTGAGCGTGTGGTCGTCGGTCCGGTGGTTGGGTTACCTGTCCGGGGTCAACCTGCTGGTCGCTCTGTGTTTGGGTCTCTACACTCGCTGGGAGAAAACAGCCGAGTCCACTCTTCTCGTCATCCTCGTCTTGGCTCTGGTTGTCCTTGGAGTTGCGTGTGTTGTGTACTATCACTTCAGCATGGAGAGGGTCAGTCTGGGCCTCCTCCACCTCTGGTTCGGCTTCTTGTTGGGTCTGCAGTGTTTCCTCAACAGCCCCGCTCTGGAGGGGGACTTGAAGGAGCAGGTTGCCAACTACCTGCTGCTGGTCAGTGTGGTTCTGAGGACGCTGTGGGCGCTCCTGGACAGGCTCTTTGGATGCACACGGTACCGCCCTGCCTTTCTGACCTCTGCGGAAAGGTTGGAGCTGGCGGGTTTCGCCACCGCCAGCACGGTTCTGCTCATCCAGAAGTCCATCAGCGTGATGGTGTTGGTGGTGGCTCTAGGCATGGTCATGGTTGCCCTCAGGATGAAAGCTCTCCTGGCTCTTGCCAACTTGGTCTGCTTTGGTGTCATCACAGGCGTGCTCTTCTTCAAGTCCCTCAACATCAGTACCAACCCTTATGCCCTCGCCTGCTTCTTCAGCCAGCTCATCTGTGACCCTCTACTGGATGTCTACTTCAGTGGTCTTTCTGTGACTGAGCGCTGGCAGCCCTTCTTGGTGTGGAGGGGGTTCTTGCGCCGGCTGTCCCTTCTTCCTGTGCTGGTACTGGAGGGGACCTTCATCACTCTGGCCGCGCGGAAACTGACAGACCTGGACCAGTGGTACCTGATGATCCCAGGCTTCGTGGTCTGTGCGCTCTTCTGGTTCATCTGCCACATGGTGTTTGTCATCACGGTGTGGGGTTTTCACAGCAAGCTCAGTGACTGCCAGAGGCTCTGCGTGTTTCAGGGGGCGGGGGTCAACGGCCTAGACAAAGTGATGTCTTCCAAGGGCATGAGACACTTTTGCCTCATCTCTGAACGCCTGGTGCTTTTCACACTCGTTTCAACTGTTGCTCTGGCTGCTCTCTGCTGGCAGGTAAAGGCAACCAGACGTAAAGATGTGTATGTTACTCTGTTAATGTGAGATACCAAATAACATCATAGTCAGGTGCAAATATGACTTGACCCCCCCAAAAAAAATTCTAACAAAAGGTTGCTTAACTGTTTTTTATAGTATTGGATGTCTTTAATAACATACTAAAAGTTTACCAAGGTTGGACCGGTAGAAAAGGTGTCATTTTTATTTTGAGCTTTGAGCTTTTTTCGATTGCGCCTTTTAACCAAGGTTAAGCCTTTCCTCAGCAGGAAGGATCTTGAAATGGCCAGTCCGTGCTTTTATCAATGCCAGGTTAGATTATTGTAATTCCTTATACTTTGGTATCAAGCAATCTTCTCTTTCTCGTAATCTTCCTCCAACTGGTACAAAATGCTGCAGCACGCCTTTTAACCAGCAACCCCGTCACAGTTACATCACTCCTGTTCTTCTTCTCTCCCTGCATTGGCTCCCAGTTAGATTCAGGATCATTTTTAAACTTTTAATGTTTGTTTTCAAAGCTATCCATGGTCTTGCTCCAGTATATCTGTATAACATTTAGACAACACTGTAGAGCCCTCCGGTCCTCAGAACAACCGCAGATGGAGATTCCTTTCTCAAATTTTTAACGGTGGGGGGATTGTGACTTTTCAATAACAGCCCCGACATTATGGAACTCTCTACCCCCCTGAACTACCTATTATTAATGACTTATTTATTATTTGACTGTGTAAAGCACTTTGTTCATCTTTCCAGATGTTGTAAGGTGCCATATACATAAACATTATTATTATAGTTATGATTATTATTATTTTCACGATGGCATCCATAATGGGTTGGAAGCCCGGGGAGACTCCACAGGTGAATAGGGTAAAAATTTTAACAAACAGATATCAACATGAAACTTCCCCAGTTTATACCTTACATTAAGACAAATATTTTTTGTATTACAAGTTTTGTCAGATGTTATGTTTGAATGTGTAAATGATGTAATATCTAATTAAATATGCACTAATTTGAATACATTTCCAGAACCAAAAACTGCACAATGGAAAAAGCCCTTTTCAAAATTCTTGTTCTATTTTGTTGACATACTAGAGTAAGAAGGGGGGAAGACGGACACTTTGGATCTCTCTTTTTATCACTCTGTAACGAGAAAATACTATCACCACCCCTGAAAATTCAAGTATCTCTATGTGTTTTTTTTTTTCAGGTCCTTAAAATGACCATCATTCCTTTGTATTCATTCTAGGCCAGGAATACTGGCGCCTGATACATGTTTCCACCATGTAATATTCTAGTTTGCATATTTGTTAGATAGATAAGTGATAACAAGTACAACTAGTGCCCCACGGGCAGTCTCTCATGGAGATATTTGAATTTTTAGGGGTGGTGAGAGTATTTTCTCATTTACAGAGTCTCCTCCTCCCCCCTTCTGACTCTAGTATGTCAACAAAATAAAACAAGAATTTTGATAAGGGGTCTTATCCATTGTTCAGTTTTTGGTTCTGGAAATATATGCAAATTAGTGCATATTTCATTAGATATTAACTCATTTACATATTCAAACAAAACATCTGACAAAACTTGTAATACAAAAAATATTTGTCTAAATGTAAGTTATAAACTTGGAAAGTTTCATGGTGATATCTGTTAGTTAAAAATTTTACCCTATTCACCTGAGGTGTCTCCCTGGGCTTCCAACCTATCATGGACGCCATCGTGAAAATGACACCTTTTTAGTGATCAAACTTGGGTAAACTTTTAGTGTGTTATTAAGGATATCTAATACTATAAAAACAGCTAAGAAACCTGTTGTTAGAATTTTTTTAGGGTTAGGTTTTTATTTTTTTTTATAAATGCACCCACCTGTCAGTCAAATGTTATAACACTGTTTGTTTGCAGCCTGTGCGTACAAAGCTTTCCAGTTAAATGAGCTTCATTTGCTCTGTGGTTATGACAGTAAGTCAATAACGAGGTCTGAAACAGAATCCAGACAGATGTATCAAACAGCAGATGTAGATTTACCAAGGAAATAGTTGTATAAATTATTTATAATTGTCAGTAATAATGACCATAAATCCTGATTGTGCTCTGCAGGCATCCAGCAGCATCTTTGTCAGCCTGTTTCTGCTCATTCTGCCTCTGGAGTCTCTCTTCCACGGACTTTTCCATGAGCTCGGTAACAGCCTGGGAGGAACCTGTGTGGGCTATGCAGTGGTCATCCCCACTAACTATTGCAGGTACTTAGTAATATATTTATACCAGAAGATAGGGCTGGGCGATATGGGAAAAGGTTGATCACGATATATTTTCAGGTTCCGTAATCCTGCAGTAAGAGGTGGCTGAGTTTTTATTTTTTAATCAGTGAGTTGTAGTTCTACACTTTGTATATTCCACACATTGTCTGGTCTGTGCTGAGTGACTGAGCCAAACAGATGAGACTGATCACCTTCACTATCTTCCTCCCTGTCTCAGTCCTGACGGTCAGCCCATGCTGCTGCCTCCCGAACAGGTGAACGATCTGAACAAGCGCTCCACCGGCATGTTGAACAACGTGCAGCGCTTCTTCGCTCATCACCTCATCGAGGCTTTCGGTTGCGACTACTCCACCAGCGGGGTGACTCTGGAGGCGCTGCAGGCCAAGATTAAATCCTTCTTGGAGCTTCGCACAGCAGACGGGCCTAGGCACGACACCTACATCATCTTCTACAGCGGGCACAGTCACCGCTCGGGAGAGTGGGCGCTGGCAGGTGAAAGTCACACTGAAGCAGTTGTTATGAGTCAAAGTTGATGAAACAACCAGTTACATGGAAATAACAGAGTAATTGGGGTACTGTTATATGTATTTAGTTTCACATATAGTGTTTGAGTTTGTAACGAGAGCTTTGTTGTATTCCAGTAATCAGAGGATCTCATTGATATGTGTTTTCTGAAAATACGATATTTACTTGTTTACGTATTCCTGCAGTCAAGTTTGTGTCTGTGTTCCCCATCAGGTGGAGACACTCTGCGTCTGGATCAGATCTTGGAGTGGTGGAGGGAGAAAAACGGCGCTTCCTGCTCACGCCTCATCTTTGTGCTCGACTGCGACAACTCGCCTCCGTGGGTGAAGGAGGTCGGGAGGGTGGAGGGCCTGTACGTGGCCGTGCAGGGGGCGACGCTCGCTAGAGTGACGGACGTGGAGCATCAGGACCCCCCACAGCTCGGGGACTTCACCGCTCAGTGGGTGGAGTACAACTGCAATCCAAATAGCAACATCCAATGGTTGGAGAGGGGGAGGGCGGTTTCTGCCACTTACGGCATCTCCAAACATTGGAGCGACTACACCCTGCACCTGCCGACAGGAAGCGACGTCACCAACCACTGGAGCATGTACTTCCCTAGGGTGACCTATCCGGTGGTGCAGCTGGCACTGTGGTGTGGCGGTCTGAACTTGCTGTGGTTCTGCGGCGTCTGCCTTCGATGTCTCAAGAGAGTCAAACTCAACTGGTTTCCTCCAGCCATACTGGACACCGGCCAGGGCTTCAAACTGGTCAGATCCTAAAAAACGCAAGATCTCCCTTTATTGACAAGATTTTTAAAGATATGATTATTTTCTTAATATCGACGTGTTGATGGACCTTGGACATAGGCAGCTATTGGATTGTAAATTTTATCATTAACCAGCAGCTTGTTATTTTCTGTAAAACTAATTTCTTAGTTACTGATGATGATTTTTTTTAAAATACCAGCTTTTTAAATATTATTTGCAAGTTATTCTATATTTGTTTAAATATTTTAGCTTTGATGTAGAGATCCAAACGTCCCTGAAAAACTCAAGGGCTGAAAACAAGCACATTGACACTCTTTTGCACAGTTGTACAATATTCGCTGTCTTATTCCACCGTGATTTCCAGAGCATACGCGTTGTGCCTTTTACTCTAAAATCAAGCTCATTTGACTGATCTTTTTAACCTTAAACCAAAGTGGCCGAGGTACATTTTCAGAGGAAGATCTCAGGCTAAAATAATATATTTTCTAAGATGTCTGTTTCTTTCCTGAAGAATTTTATACTGTTGATTTCATAAGGATGTGAAATGACTCCACTTTTCTGCACTATGCATCCTCCGCTTCATGCCTTGAGTTAGGTCAATGCACTGCTTTGCATCTATCGTAACAGCCTTTTGTCAAGCTTTCAGGGGTGTTATATGAGTACTATGCAGCTGCTTCTTCAGGGAGTCCTGTACTGATGATTGCACTACAAGCAGACACGCATGAGAACTACAGTATTTATGTGATAATAAACCTCAGGAATCAACTGTAACACGTGAGGGGGTTTAATTCTCTTCCTGGGGTTTATTGCTGACTGTGATATGCATTATTTTTTATCAGTTTGATGTGTTTACAAAAGGCTTGAAGTGAGAAAATGAGATGAAAGATGTAAAAACTATGCAATAAAGGAGACGTGGGACTTCGCTGCTTTAACGATGGATTTGATTGGCTCTTCATTTGATTTATAATATTAAAAATTTAACGAGATTTATAATCATGTTGGTCGTTTCCCTCAAATACATTCTGTAATCTGACAATACTCATCTGTAAAAGGTGGATCATAATACAAAGATATTCAACAGATTGTTCAGATTTAAGGACTTGATAGTTAATAATTACATGCAGTATAGTTCCTTTTAAACACAAATAAGTGTTATGCTTCCTTCATTGTTATTTTACATTTTAATCTTAATACAGTTTTTCATTGAAAAAAATTATCTTGTAAGGTATGACGGGGAATGAGCTCATAATAATCACTGAACACCTGTCACTGTGTTGAAAGAAGTTTATATTTTAAAAATAGTTCTTCAAAATAAAAAAATATAAATATACTAGTGGGGAATTTTAAAAAAAGATTGTACGGGAAGCACATCCTGATGGATCTGAAGGACAATGGCTAATTCTGTCAGGTAGGGTATTTTATTTTACCTGATTTTTCGAACAGATGGGGTCGCTCATGTAATCCCATCCCTTTTAGATATATGGAACAAAAACAAAACTTGTAATGAATGTTTGACTTCTACCTTTAAAATTACAGATGAAAACTAAGATTTTTAATACCTTAGGAGACAGACTACCGGTATACAGTACAGGCCAAAAGTTTGGACACACTTTCTCATTCAGTGCATTTCCTTTATTCTCATTACTATTTAAATTGTAGATTCTCACTGAGGGCATCAAAACTATGATTTGACGTAATTCAAGGTAATAAAGTTTTCTGCCATTGTATTCCTCTTGAAGGTCTTTTGAAGTGTTCAAATAACTGCAAAAAAAACATGCTTCCTAAAATATAATGTAGGACAATGAACAGAGCTGAACAGTGAAACAGCAGCGTGAGAAGTCACAGTTTAGGGTTGAGATCAACAGCGAAATGTTTGTTAGATGAAGTCGACGTACGGGAAACACCGGAATATGTTTGAAGCGCACCTCTTTTCCTGATTCTTGCAGTTGGTATCAGATAGTGAGAAAGAGAAAATGCTTCAATATTTACAACTCAACATTGTCAGCAGGGGTTCATGGCAGTCCCATTAGTTTGTTGAACTTGTCAAACCTGCATGCATATCAGTAAGCCCTCATCTGCAAGAGGAAGTTTTTCACAGACTGAAAGTCACTGACAAAGCGATCATGGGGGACAAACAGCAAGACAAACAAAAATTCAGGCTAAAATACTTTTGCAATAAAACTTTCAAAAATACAAAAACAGGCTCATCTTTTGGGTTTTCAAGTAGATTTTATTGAAAACATTATAAAATTATGTGGTGCAGCAGCATATTTCAGTTCATATGATCTTTAACATGTTCACATTTACACAAACCATGTTGAAAATGGCTTTTACAGCAAGTTGTAAGAGATCATTGCCAGACAGAGACAATGCAGGGCAAAGACAGAGAGGTGAAAATACATCTACTGCCCTCATGTGGCTGCAGGAGAAACTACACTGAACACTCGTAAGGAAAAGGTCTTCTTTGGGGAGGGGGGGCCACTTCATCATTTATTTCCACAGCTGAAACATGAACTCAGAGTCTGACACCACAGTTATGTTTAGTCAGAGCTGATGTGCAAAGTTATGACTCAAGTTGGATTTAAGTTTTCGGTGATTTTGAACAAAAGCATATCCACTCAAACCAAGGCATGGAGACAGGTACACAGTGAATCCCCAACATACATGTACAAAGATGTTGCTGAATTTTTACAGCACAGGATAGCAACTATGATGTCTCAGTTAAACATCGATTACAGGGGCTTATTTTGCAGCTTCTGGAAAACAGAGAAGAGTGAAAATCTGAGACATCTGCAGCCAAGTTTGAAAGAAAAATAAACCTTGCATGAATAACAATCATTGGTTTACAGTTTAATGGCAAAACAAGCTGTTAAATGATCACCAGGCCATCTCCATGGACGGAGGATAGCTGGTTTTACATTCACAGGAAACAATTACAATGCAGTTTGTTTTTACTTTGGAGTGTGTAGTCAGAGGGACGCAATGATTAACACGAAACAATTAACCGATTCTCTGACAGCAACAAGACCTGAAAACAAAAGTAAGAGCAAAGCTTTCGAAGTGAGAAGCGAGTGTTCAAAAACGATGAAACTCTATAACAGTAGACAGCAGATTTCACTTGCTTTGTTAATAGTTCAATTTCCCGCCTTTTTGATTATCTTTTCTTTTTTCTTTAAAAGATAAGGAGGAAAAAAGGATAACACATTTTCATAATTTCAGTTCTAAATTCTACTCGTCAGCCCAAGAGTCCAAAAAGATTCTTAGTTCATCATAATGAAAGACAAAAGATATCAGCAAATTCTTAACGAACAGAAGCTTTGTCCACCAATTATCTTATAACTTTACTCTCCATATTTGGTGAATTTACATATAACCATGGATTTACGCTGCGTTCAAGTTACCTCAAAAGTCTGATGTCCGAGCTGGGTATGACGTCACACCCGAGTTCCAAGCGTTTCAGTTATCAAGTCAGAAAAAAGCAAAATCGGAGGCGGAAACAAGATGGCTACATCTACAAAAGTTATTTTAGCGCTTGTTATTTAAACAATTCTAAGTTATTTTTGCATCCTCTTTCGTAGATGTAGCCATCTTGTCTCCGCCTCCGATTTTGCTTTTTTCCGACTTGGTAAGTGAATTGCTGGGAACTCGGGTGTGACGTCATTCACAGCTCGGACACCTGACTTCTGAGGAAACTCAAACACAGCGTTTCATTGTACAGCTTTGTAACTAACAAATAAATATACACTGAGATAATTCCAATTTGGGACTAAGAGACATTCAAGAAGCAGAGATCAGAGAAGTACGAAGGACATAAAAAACCGAACGCTGACATGAGGACCCTGGTGGCTTTGGGACTTGGTTGGAATTTGAGAGGAGTGTAAATGAGGTTTAGCAGCAGTTTGAAAAGTTCAGGTGAGTTTAGATGGCATTTATGGCTTAAGCAAAAATGAAATCGAAGCTTTGGCTTGGTGCATGTGCAACATGGCAGCCCACCAGGGCTGGAAAAGATGCTTCTCTTCCCAAACCAAAACACACAGAAACCTAAATCTTCATTTCCCTCTGCCCAAAGAGGAGGACAGTTTTTTTTCATCAGCTCATTCAGACACTACAGATCCTTTCATTTGAATAAAACTTAACATTTAAATAAAAACATTTGGCATAAAAGGAATCAGACGTCAAATAAAGGCTCTGATGCGGCTGAATGAGCTGTCAGTCTAGCATTGTTGTACAGTCGTGTTAAAGCGGAGGACCGTCCAGATCTCTGCTGTATGTGAGCCAACATGTCTCAGCCAACAGAGAGCACAGCTTCCTGTCAGCATGATTGTCATGGAAGTGTTCAGTTGAGTGCTGCTCAGCACCTTGTTTAGCAAAACAAAGAAAAAAAAAGAAACGAGTACAATCTAGTGTTCAGAAGTCATTTAACCGAGTGATAACAAAAACATCTACAAAACAAAACACCCAGACTTTATCCCGTATATCGTGTATAATATCGACAGTTAAATACCTCGAATATGGTACATCTTGGTTTTAGTCTTCTTCGTCTTTTTTTTTTTTACACAAAAGTTGTCATTCATTTACAGAAAAATGAGAGAAAGGCTTTGGGCAGTTCTTCAGACTGAAGGGGGACCCTCAGCAGTAACAAGGACCCCCACACTCCTCCCTGAACTAGAACGGAAAAGCTGATATTGTCTTCTACATTTCCTTTCAACAAATAATCACCAGCCTGGAGCCATAGCTAAGACAAGAGTGCTCGAAAATGTCACAACTGGAAGGTGGTGTTTTTAAACCGAACAAAAACAGAGGAAATGTTTCCTCATGAACCAAGCTGTACGTCGTTGCTGCTCGGCTACGTTAGGACCAAAACTGAAGCTGATACTGAACTTTAGTGACCTTCAGAAACTTCTCCAAATACTCTCCTTTCTCTCACCTGCACAACACAGAAGAAAGCTTATTTACATTTGTGGACATGTCCCTGATGTCCTGTCTCATTTTTAGAGACAAAGTGCAGCAGAGTTAAAGGAAAACGTCCACGATTATTGGTCAAGAGTCTACCTACTTCCCTGTTCATCTTTGTCAGCCTTTCTTTATTTTTCCTCCCTCGTCAACCAACATCCAAAGTATCGTATAAATAACACAAAAACGAATCTACTTGTCTACGATTCCCCAAATGTCCATCAAAAATAGAATGAGGTAAATCCCTGTAGTAAGACAATTACTATACAATGCACTGAATGAAAACTCCCCCTGCACCTCTCCTCTCTGGTGAATGACAACTCGGTTCATGTAGGCACAAAAAAGTCTACACAGCACGTCCATGTGTCCATCTCTTTGTCTCTACATGTGCTTCTTTCAGTCTGCTCAAACCTCTCCTCTTTCTCCTCCGGCTGCTGATGACTGGACGGTCAGGTCTGGTCTGGGGTCCCTCCTGTCTCAGGACTTCCTCTGCCGAACTGTCTCAGAGCTGCCGTTCAGTTTGCTCCGGCCAGACGGCGTTGCTGTGCTGCCATTACCCAGCGGACGCTCCCGCTCTGTGGGGACCTCCTGTTTGCGTCGACGGGTCTCTTTGTACCGGAGTGTGATATCTCTGCGAGGAGACGGAGGGGAAGTTTTTAATGGGGAATCAGGCTTCAGATCCTCTCAGCTCTGTTTTTATTACTTGTGTTTTTAAAGAGCATTTTGAGAAACTAATCACATTCTTGTTTTTTTCTTTTTTTTTTTTGTCAATTTTTAAGCAAAATACTTACCCTGTCAACTGTTTGGAGTTATAACTATGAAAGAGGATACGGGCCAAAAGAAGAGAAAAATAATAATTACAGGAGGGAGATTTTTTTAATTTCCATTTTGCAATTAAAGTCAAAATTTCGACTTTGTCAAAATTTTGACATTATTCACATTTTGTGATCTCGAAATTTTGACTTTAATCTAATTTTTGTATTTTTAATCTCGGAATTTATGCCTTTATTGACATAATTTTAAATTTTTTTTTAACTCAAAATTTCGACTTTAATCTCAAAGTTTAGTCTTTAATCTTGAAATTTCAATTTTTAATCTCAAAATTTTGACTTCATTGGCATAATTTTGATTTTTTAATCTCAAAATTTCAACTTAAATCTCGAAATTTGACTTTAATCTACTTCCTGTAATTATTATTTTCCTCTTTATGTGGCCCTAATCCTCATCCATGTATAACACCCTTACACCCATCACAACAAAGGCAACAATTTAAGTACCTCTAAAATTAAAAAAAAAAAAAAGTTTTGTGTATAATGTTGGTACAAAAACATCTGGATGGTTTGCAAAAGAATTTGTTTCTTAAAAAATGTTGCCTTGAGCTTGACGCCAGCAGCACATTTAAAAAAGTGACACTGTGAACAGCCTCGTCAGTGTAGCAGCAGTCCAGCAGCGTCAACATCTTTTTTACTTGTAACACATTAAATGACAGCAGCTCAAATCTAACTGTGACTGTGTCTCTATGATATGCATTCTTCTATGATTTATAGAGTAATGGAGTTTCATATTACCTCTATTCCAATATCTATAACAAAGTCTGATGTATTTTTCCTTCATTTCTTGACTTGACTCACATTTGTTTCTGGCTACAATTGTACAATATCATTTAGCAGGCGCTTTTATCCAAAGCAATGTACATTTGAGAGCAAGAACAAAACAAGCAAAGATCTAGACAAGAAGAAAAGATCAGTAAGAACTACTAAGTGCTTCAAGTCCATTTGGACACAGGTACTGTCACGCAGTGTTGAAGCCAATGCACAGAGTCAATCAAGTCAACATCAACAATGAAGCAGCCAATCATCAATTTAAGAACTTTCCTTGTCACCATCAGCAAAATTGTCTTTTCCACAGTAATGATATATCGACATATCGACCACTAGCAATTAGAATAAATAGCATGATTTTAACATAAGTGGGTACAGAAAAGGGGCATTTAAAGGTTTGGAAATGACACATCGCTCTGTGAGAGGCTGTGTGAGTTAATAATACAACAGTTTTACAACAATATTTCTCAGTGTTAGTTTACAAAAAAACTTTCAGCATCCAAAAATTCAGAGAATCTGTAGAAATCTCTGTACAAAAAGACAAGGTCAAAAACCAGTAATGTATGGCCTTCACCTTCAGACCCACTGCATTAAAAAACAGCCATGACTCTGTAGTGGAAGTCACTGCATGGGCTCAAAATCCCTCTCAAAACATCACTGTCTTTAATCACAGTTTGCTCCTGCATCCACGGAAGTGGCTAAAACTGTACCATGCAAAGAGGAAATCTAAATCAACCAGAAACACCAGTGACTTCTCTAACCCTGAGCTGAGATCCCACATCAGGTGAGAATATAACTGGATCGCTCTCAAAACCTTCAGAGACCGGTCTCAAACTCAGATTCAGATTCAGACAACTTTATAAATCCCCAAAGGTCAACTCATTTCACTGTTAACCTTCCTTATTATTTAACAATCAGGGAACAAACAAATGCGAGACATTCACAGCAGCAAACATTCCCCCTGTAAGCACCACAGATCAGCAATTAATAAAAAAGAACATTTCGAAAGTGTTGTTCAAAAAGAGGTGATGCAACACAACTTTTTTAAACATATTGCCATCTTCAAATTCAAAACAAGCATAAATCTTTCATAAAACACTATATATATATAAATATATATATAATTTTTTTAACATTGTTGCCTCTGCTCTTTTTTTCTATTACATATTGAATTTAAAGGATTTGCAAACCACCATCAGTTCTAATTTTTCAGCATTTTACACAACATCAGATTCTACCTTTAAGTATCCACAGCTTTTAAGTCTTTTCATGAGTGTCTGATTGCACCCCCATGGTTGGAGGCTTTGTATGGGTAGTGAGTGAGTGAGTGAAGGACAGATTGAATAAACACAGTCGTAATGATATAAATTAGGATACGAGATAATCATTGACAAATACTGCACATTAATAAACACTTCAAAGTAATCTCCCTGCTTACAACAATATCAGTATATTGTGATATAAACTATAAAGCTTCTCAGCCTGTTTGCTGGCACACAGAGCAGTTTTCAACATCACCTACTGCTCTTCCTCCTTCCTGTCAGAAAACCCTAAAATGTAGTGAAGTAATACCTTTTTATGGGATAAGACAGAACTTTATAAATCCTAAAGGAAATCCCATGTTGCTAATGTGAATAGAGTTTCACCAAGATGTGAGAGAGTATTAATGGCATGCGTCAGTGTCCTTAATGCACTGCAGAGTACGAATGGAGAGGGTGCACTGTGAGATACAGAGTTGAGATGATGGGTAGCTCAGCAGAAAGAGCTGGCATGCTGACTGACGTCAAGTCTGTGTGTGTGCGAGGTACTCAGTTTTTCTGTCCTATCTACGGTGTCAGCATCAGCTGGCTGCTGTCTGAGTTTGTTAACTTCAGCGAAGGGTAAGAAAAATGAAAATGAAGATGATCGGTCCAACACAGCAAAAAAAAAAAAAAAAACACAAAACAAAAAAGAAGTGTCATGCAGGTGAAGAGTTATCTGTGTTGATCTCAAAGATCCTCTGAATAAGTCAATGATCTCCACAGTGATTCATTTAAAAAGAAATACAACGCTGGTGATACATGGGAGCAGCTCTCTCATATACCTACCTCAGTGTGCATGGACACTACTGCTGAGCAAAAGAAAGACAGAGTTCAGGAGAAGGGAAAGGAAAAAGAGAAAGGATGGGAGAGAGACAGATGAGAAGCTTACCATGCTGGGAAAATCAGGAACAGAGCTCAACAGAAGGTGGACCAAACAAAAAAGTAGCTGAGGATATATCGCTGCTGACGGTTATGCGCCGAAAAGAAAATCTATAAATATTATTGAATAAGATCCCATGCATCTAAAGTCATAAAATCCAGTGGGCTACTCTGAAAGAAACTGATTCTGGCAATTCAATGAGAGGAATAACATTTGAGCTTCCTGAGTGTAGAGGCAGGGCAGCTGAAGTGCATCCCTTTATTTTGTGAAAGTCTTCTTTATAAAAACAACAATTATGAGCTCCCTCCTCACAGAAACCCTATTTTCCCCTCTGAATAAAAAGATGATAACACTTTTGCACTGCTAGAATAATCTTGGCTGGAAAATCAGCTCAAACTGAGTCTGGGTCAGTACATTTCACAGTTGTAGAACGCTGTCAAAGCTTCTGTGTAGGTATTATTATTATTATTTGCATCAAAACACTGCAGAGTCTCTGAAGTTTTTATAAGAAATTAGGTTACCCCTGGTAACATCCCACTTCTTACCGGATGAAGAACCTCCATAAGGTCCAGGTAAAGATGAGGATGAGTCCTAAAAACCAGCACTGCATGACGAAGAAGGGGATAGGCAGCATGATGGTGTTGGGATCGTACTTGACGACTATGAGGAACTCGGTTACAGTGATGGCTGCCACCAGCCAGGCCTGCTGACCCAGCTTCTTGTGGAACTTCCTGAAAGAAAGAAAGAAAGAAAGAAAGAAAGAAAGAAAGAAAGAAAGAAAGAAAGAAAGAAAGAAAGAAAGAAAGAAAGAAAAATAAAATGAATGAATAAAGAAAGAAAGAGAAAAAAATAAATGAATAAAGAACAAAAGAAAGAAGGAAAGAGAAAAAATAAAAGAAGAAAGAAAGAAAGAAAGAAAGAAAGAAAAGAAAAACGAAAAGAAAGAAAGAAAGAAAGAAAAAAGATTGAGAAGGAAAAGAAAGAGAGAAAGAAAGAAAGAAAAAAGATTGAGAAAGAAAAGAAAGAGAGATAGAAATAAAGAAAGAAAGAAAGAGAGAAAAAGAGGGAAAAGAGAAAGAAAAAGAAGGAAAAAAGAAAGAAAGACAAGGCGAAGAGAGAGAAGGAAATGAAAGACAGAAAAAAAAAGTGAAAAAAAAAAGTGGACATAGAAAAATTTGGTTTCTAAGTTTGCTTGTGATGTTTGTCTTTGTTCAACCATCTCTTCCTTTGGTTTTCAGATGACTAAGAATTGTAATAAATCTTCACAGTAAGGATGTGGAACGCAAACATTTGGGTAATATCTTTAAAAAAATGACACGGACTATTAGCAACATGCCGTTTAAACTAATCATATCATATTAGCTCAAGAGCAGCTGAAGAAAAAGCTTTCTACAAATTTGTCAATCTAACTCCTATGCTAACCCCACCAGCCCACCTCACGCTAACGCTACTCACGGGTCATCCATGAAGTCGTAGATTTCCCTCATGGCTACACCTCCCACGTTGACAAAAAAGACCAGACGGAGCAGCACCAGGTAGTGTTCAGGAGGCATCCACAACACAAACTTCAGATAGAAGGTGTTCAACTCAGCCAAGAGGAACTGAGGAGGGAAGAGAAAGCGAACACAAGTCCGCACTGAGTTCAAAAAAGGGTGATAAACCCAAGATAACAATTTATTAAGTAACTTTTATACTTGTACGTCATATAATCTCAGATTTGGTCCCCTGATACTTCTTCTTACCATGAAGATGATTCCTAGAACAGCAAGCCAGCGGCGAAGGTTTGATGCAGGTTTCCACTCAAACTTCACCCAGCTGTAGGGTGTGAACTGGAATGCGATACGCTTGATCTTTCCCCTACAAGAAGCACAACAGAGTCAAATTACAAACACACAAAATACAGAAATAAACACAATTTATCTTCATGCATTTCTTTCAGGGGCCTTGTCTTAGGTTCTTAGGTTAGGTACATCTTCAAATAGACCAAATCCAGTTTTAAAGGTACGTTTGTTATTGGTGTTTTGAGGCAGTGAGTTTGAAGTCGTACTTGTATGTAGGAATGTTCCACAGGCCCTGCCACTGGTAGGGCTTCATCGACAACCAGGCTAAGGTCTTCATCCCGCAGTAGATCCCCAGACCGTTACACACCAACACATCCATAATCCACTAGAAAAAGAGAAACAACTTTATCAAGCTGTAAAGAAAGAATAAAGAAAATAAGTAAAGCACTTAATTCTCATCCAGGTCTAAATTTGTTGTTATAGTCAACATATTACAACTCGGCTGTCTGTCCTTGCTTTTAATGATCCCAGCACAATCGCTCCTGCAATCACTAACTCCTTTATAAGCTTTCCAATGTTTTACTGGCGTACCATAAAGCTCTTATCATGTGAATAAATGACCACATAATGACACTTGTAACTCTCAGGGAGCGAACTGAACAGCTTTGACAGTAAAGCAGCTGCGTTCATGTAGCAAGACGCGACAAAATGACTCTGATGGAGTTCATTTGCTGCAATATCTTCATCAACACCAATCCAAAGGCATGGCATGTTTGGTTCAGACCTTATCTAAGATGAAAACAATGTCAGTGTTTGATTTGGGAGTGTCTTATTGGCTGCCTTATTTGTGCCTTTTTGCTCAAAAGGTTTTACTTCATGAATCATGAAGTACTAAAGAAGGATGTACTCCATATTTAATGTGAATACAGTGTTTCCCCTAGCGTTTCCGTGTTGGCAGGGGGGACGGGGATGCAACAGGTAGACATATATCACCCCTGAATGACATAGGGGTGGTGGGAGATGAACCAGCGCTGCTTTTGGGGCTGGGAGGGATGCTCAAGCTAGCATCTACAAGAGAATGTGTGGCGTCCTCAACGTACCGTCCTCTACGTACCGTCACTACGTACCATCCTCATACCGTCTTTTTGAGGAATTCAGGTATGTTCAATCGGGCTGCTGAACATTCGCGGACAGTTCGGTGCTCCATGCCCAGTTATTTTTGTTGTTCTGGTGGCGGAAAACATGATGGAAAGGAGCCAGAACCCCAGGTTTTCAAAACCATCCTGTGGCAAACTGGCAGAGTATGTGCCGCAAGCGTTCACGACCAGAATACCAGAATCAGTGGTGCTGACATGACGCGCCCTGAACTACGCGGCGTGGCATGTCGGCGTGTCTATATGTTGTGAGATAGAGAGCGAGTGGTGAGATTAATTTCGCTTGAAAGTAATGAAACGATTGCTAGCTTTAGAGTCTGAAATTGCGCAAATTATATTTTATAGGCCGTTTTTATAAAAATAACAATCAACCGTATTAATCTACGCCTTTAATTTCTGGGGAAATAGAGGAAACACTAGAATATTGTTCAAATGATAAAGAAGTTTCATTTTAATAGTCTTCAATTAGCAAACACCACAATTCACCAGTTTAGAATCTATCTTTGTCTTTTTTATGGTCAAAGACCTGAGAATCCAATCCAGGTTATAATCCTGAGTTCAATCTAAAAAGAGCAGTGATATTTATACATACGTGGTCCCACCAGCACTCAGAGAAGTTAGGTAACTGGTGTTCTAGGCTGTATTCCAGGAACTCGAACATGACACTGATTATCATACACATCCACCAATCGCGAATCATCAGAGTCTGAGGAAGAGGAGAGAGCAAAAGGAGAGGGTGAGTAGGAGGAGAAGAGTGGCGGGGAGTGGGAGGAGGTCAGAGAGATACCATAGAAAGACAGGGAACATTTTCCCACTGCTGTAAATGTTTCAGAGAACACTGATACTGCTGAGCCTTCTGCTGTATGAAAAACACTGTCACAGAAAAAATGCCTGATCATGATTTGTTTTTGTGGCTTAACCCTAAAATTTCACAACACACCAGTGAACTCTTTGTGATTTCGGTTCTCGCAATCTTCCAGGTCAGGATTGTGAAAAACTCTTTATCTTCAGTGGACTTAAATGTGTGTCATGTGCTATCAGAAATAGTTACCATTCCTCGCATGCTGACAGAACGTGCCAAATACTTCTCTCAAAACACAGTCACTGACACTAATTCACTCTAAACTTGGCAGCTGACACAGTTACAGTTCAGTCAGTAAGTGCACACAGATGTCACATGACCTGCCTGCTCCATTAACACCTACCTTAATGTACCATCCCAGGAAGTGAGCTGGAACAAAGCCATCCATCTTATCCTGCAGAGACAAAATATAACAAGATTAATTTAGTTCAAATTTTCTTCATGTAAAAAACTCATATGGGCCTCATGCAGCACACAAATGAACTACGTCTAACTGTCCCTGTTTCTTATTCCTAACATCACGGTCCATCTGATGAGTATTTTTGTCCGGTTCCACAACACCGCTATGTTTTTTTTTAACCTTTAATCCAAACTACCCTGTAGCTGCAAATCCCTTCCATGTTTGACTGACGGCAGTGCTAAATATCTGGTCTTAATTTGACATCTGAGGAGGGTTATTTACATGGATGATCTGTAACTCAGTGGAGGAGGATGTGGTGGTTTGACCCACTCTGACAGACTGAAATCAGGCCAACGGTAGAAATGGACTGTGGGTCATGATGGTAGCAGCAGCAGCAGCAGACTTCCCCGCGGGGGAAAAAGGGTCTGGTTCTACTGACGGGCTGTAATATGCACCAGCAGACACAAACCCCTGGAGCAAAGCGGCATGCAGACACACCAACTATGTGTTTGTGTGTGTGAGTGAGAGAGGACCACAGGAGAAAGTGAGACAGGGGTGGAGTGCTAGTGTGACAGAGGGGCATGAGTGTATGCCTGAGTAAGAGAGCGAATGAAGATAGGAAATAACTGGTCATTTTACAGACAGGCAGATGACTGCAAACGGACTTGCAATGGCTTCTGGGCTATTTATTCTACTATTCTATTCCACATCTACAACATTTACCCTACTTTTCAATTTAAGGATCATAAATGTTGCTGCAAACTCAAAACTTGTTTGTAAAATTTGAGCTGGAGTGAGTCAGAGGGATTCAAGAGTCTTACCCAGATGTTGTGGAAAGGGTCGGTGGTGTTTCCAGGGTCGTACATGAGGCAGTTTCCTCCATAGTCGCGCTCAGGGAGAGGCACCCCGAGTTTGGGGTCAATGTACTTCATGAACTGTCGGCCATCATGCACAGTCTAAAAGAGAAGTAAAGAAACCATCAGCGAAAGCTCATTGTCCCTAAAGGCAGTTCTTTAATGAAGACACAGAGACATATACAAAAACAGTCTGCGTTGCAATAGTCGTCAAATTAGACGGTGTAAGTGATTTTAGTTCTTTAGAAAGGATCCAGACCTGATTAAGATACTCTGACAGCTGTTAAGTGTTTCTACTTTGTTGTGAAGCATCTGGCTCAGATTTGGATGTTTTGATTAAACTGGGAGAAAATAAAAAGTACTTCCAGGGATTGGAGATTCGTTTTAAATCCTACTCTTTGGCATCTGTTTGGCATTGGTCTTTAAAATGTTGCACCATGCCTGCTTTTAACAGATAAATCCCACGATTCTAGAAAGTTTTCCCTCCTTGCTCTGGGACTGGAGAGTCCATTTTAAAAAGGTTTGGTGACGAGATAAGAGGATTAATCGGTCAGCCCATTAATCGCAAATCAGCGTACTATCAGCATAGACTTTTACAAGGCTGATACCCCAATTGATTAGCAAGAATGGCCAATATTAGCAGAGCTTTCACAACCAGCCTACAGTCCTCTTTAAGGGGGAGCGACCACAGACTTTTACTGGACACGCATTACTCCTGCTGACTGGTTATATACCAGTTTGACCAGATACCACCTACAAACAACTTTATCTCCATTTTCTCGATGTTAATACTGCCAATAAGATGCAATCTTTGCTTGTTTTCATCCAAATAGTAAAGCATTATTATAGCATTAGAGCAGCCACCACTAACAGGAGCTACAGCCTTGGCTAGCAGTGGGTGGTTGTGATGAATCTTAAAGACACTGTATGCCAAACATTTCAGGCCTACAGTAATATTTGTTCTCAGCACCATAATATCATCTTGATTATTGATTGAGCGAGGTTTTGTCATGTGATACATGAAAGGTATGTTGCTTTTCCTTATTTAATTGTTTTTATTTTTTACTCTCAGTGTTGTTTTTGTCTTTTAATTGACATTGTGAGTAATTGAGATTGTAAATATTGTGTTTTGTATGCATTGTCTGGACCTCAGGAAGACTAGCTGTCGTCTTGGGGTCAGTTAATGGGGATCCTTTTAAATAAACAAACAAACAATAATCTGAAATGTCAATAATATGTTTAACAGATTCTGGAGTCCACTAGCAAGGGGGACAATGATTGTTTGGTGATCGACTAAACATACACATCCTCATTGATGAATGTGTTCAATCTCACTACGAATGTTTCCGCCCATCATGGCTCCAGTACCGTAGAGATACCTACCTGGAAAAGGATGAATATCAGGAACAGCTCGTAGACGACGGTGACACAAAGCCAGAATCTCCAGTAAGCTGTGGGAAGACGAAGAGAAGGAGTGATGGTTTGAGTGGAAGCAACAGCTATAAAAAGCAGCTTTTGACATCCAGTCAATGATATGACTCAAAACTTGGTTGATGTCACATTCGCTCAGCTGCTTCCTTCAGTCAAAGCATTTTTTTGGCTGATATTATATGACTAAGTGACTTTGAGCTGACAAATTAAAGCATGCTTTGAGATAAGAGTGAGAGTCAAGAACTCCCATTCAGCCTCTTGACATGAAAAAATTAAACTCCAACTGTTGCTTTAAGTTTATTGTAAGTTGATGCATACCCGCTCTGTTTGCTTTGACACTCCCAGCCTGTGAACCGTGGAGAGTTTCTGCCTATAAACTTAAACGTCCCTCTGGGTCTTTTCCCAGGATACAGACGTGTGATGCAACCGCAACAAGGTGCACGGCAACTGAACCTACTTGGCTGGCTGAACAGGTCACAGAAATGACATAGACAATGGAAACACAAACACTCTGAAACAAACCCTTCGCTTGTCTTTCCATTCACACAAGAAGGGGGCAAGAAAGGACAAGTAATGTAACAACAGGACAGGAGACCATATTCTTGTTTAGATACTTCACGCCTTTGATAACCAGCAACATTCGACGCACACGTCTCCATGTGACCTCCACACCCTGTTATCTTCCTTCCTTTCTATGTTTCCTCTGGAGCAAATAGGGAAACATGTTGTGTGAGGCAGGAGAGGAGCCTTATGTTAAAAAATGTAACTGTTTGAACTGAGGGCAGAGTCACTATAACAGAAATCACAGGTACTGTATAGACAAGGTTCAGTGACAGTATCAGTGTAACAAAGCAGACTCTAACTTCAAACCAAACGGTAGTTTTGCTTCTGGTGCAGGTTTATCTTAAACAATCATGGGAAGTTTTGTTTTTTACAAACTCTGTTTAAGCCTGGAAAAACAGTGTTTGTGGAAAACTTGCGTGTTTAGGTTAGAAATAATGCCTGACAAGTCTGACCGCTTTCTCTTTGTCCCTTCTCTGCAGCTCTCCCTTAACGCAACCAGTGAACACAGTACGGGTGGGAATCACCAGTGGCTCCATGATACAATATTATCACGATATTTAAGCCCCGATACAGTATTTTTATGATTTTTTTCTGTGTAATTTAAGTTTTTATTCAACTTTTATAAATTAAAAATTATACAGAAGATATCAAACTTCAGCACAAACAAAACAACCATATTGATCACAATTACACCAGAAACAGAGTATGCATATATATTCAGACAGAGCCCAACCCATAAACATAACAGCACATTGCTCAACACTAAAACAGTGTCTATAAAAGAACAGGAATATATGATAATATACCTATACATACACACATTTGCCTGCTCATATATACATACTCACATAAGTCATCATCTCCTCACATGTCATACGCACCTATTCCCTTTTACATAACTCAGAAAATGGCCCCAGACCTGGTTACATTTCTCTTTGTTATCATTAAACCTTGCTATCATTAGTTCATATGCAGCATTATCCATCATCAGTCTGACTTATTTTTGCAGTTTTAACATTTTTCAATACAGTGAGTATTAGGATACAATATAGTACGATTTATACCTTTTTTTTTTTTTACTGTTTAGCTAATTTAGCGTTTGTCTTTCCTTTATGTTTGTCTTATTTATGCTGTTTTTTATTTTCATGTAGCACATCTTGCAAACCTTTTATATATATTTGTTGCACTAACTTTCTCCTGCTCTATGATTTCACCTCTGCCAACCTCACCGGACAAACAGTTGATTTTATTTTTCAATAATCATAGATTTGACTTCATGTTAGCAATTAATTTGAAAAATCAATACTTGATAAATTAGACGATACGATATATCAATATAGGCAATACTTTGCGGTATCGATTGTTTCTCCCACCCCTACAACACAGCTCCAAACTCTCCACTCAGGCTGCACTATTGCTGTCTTAGGAACCTCTCTGCAGCCGTGGGACTGTTTGTTTTAGGTTATAGCTGTAAATTATTATACAAACAGTGTGTCATAAAAACCTCAAGTTTCATTCTTATCTTACATTTAAACAGCAGCTCTCTGATCAGTGGGAGCGGTGCTTGTGTTTCAGAGGGGTTGCATTGTTTTCATGTTGTTTTTTTTCTTTTCTATTCACTGAAGACCGCAGAGTTCTGGATTTAATAAGGGCAGCAGAGACCCCATGTGATGGAGGTGCTCACCCTGTGTAGGCTTGTTTGTTTCTTTCACTTATTCTCTGAGGGATCCGAGTGGAAAAACACTCAGCCTACCACCCTGAATTCTTGATTTACTCAGTTGTCTTTTTTAATTCGACTCTAATTTCTCTGTATTGATTAGCAGCACTCAGAAGAGCTTGATTTCATTTTTGAGTCAACATAAGCCTCTCAGATGTTCCTATTGATCAAATTAGTGGTAACTGCTCTTAGGTTCTCTTACATCTCCGTGCAGGAAATAAACAGAGAAACAATCAATAAATAGGTCAATAAAACCTCAGACTGAATACCTGGGCTTCTTATGATAACTGTATGTTATATATGTGGTGTTCAGGTTGTGTCTCTTGCTCTTTTTTTAATACTTAAGACATTTTCAATAGATGCATCAACTGATTAGCATGTTTTTCTTACCTGGATGTGGTCTGGTGAAGGGTCCATCTTTGGCTTGAGTAACACCAAAACAGAGAAACACCAGGATGCTGGCCACGATCCCTCTGTACAGAAAAAAAGGAGATACAATTTAGTTAGATAGAAGTTTCATTACAGATCAATATGATGTTTTCAATTCAGATACTGAAGCTGACACTAACAGCATAAACATTTGGGTTAGTCACAGCTGACAGTCAAATCCAGTCTGCTACCTCTCTGTCTATCTTCCAACACGATTATGGACTCAGTGTATGTTTATTTTTAGCACAACATCTTTATTTATTTTTATTTTTTTTAAGATATTTGTTTATTATCACTTCAGGTTTAGTGTGGCAGCCCTGGTTCAAAATTCCAGTTATCAGCTTCATTAACTGCAAAAACTCAGAAGGGATGTCTCAATATGATATTGATATTAGGTATGGGTCTGATATCGGTAAAAAACGAATATCGAATTATGTCGGCCAACAGTGTGTTCTAAGGGGAAAAAAAGTAGCAAGGAGTAGGAGTGATGTTGGCCATGTAGCAGTATTTTTCATTAAAGTCCGAAAAAGATGTTGCAGCTGAGTGCAAAACTTGTCATGCACAAGTTTGTGCCAATATCAGATCAATATCGGTATCAGACAGTACCGAAGGCTACAATATTGGTGTCATATCTGAAGTAAAATAGTTGTATCGGGTCACCCCTGAAATCAGTCCTGGCATAAAGCCCTAAAAAAAAATCTGTGGATGATATCCCGTAGCTCTTTTGCATGTGATAACCCGCAGTACTAGACACATGCTCTGCAGGTGATCAAAGATAGAGAGGTCCTGCAGTATCTCTCCTGTTCATGCACTGATTCATGCACAACATTACATGTTAGATATAAACCTCCTTTTGCTTCTTGCTTCTGAAAGTTATTTCCAGCCGCTGCGGTCGACAACTCAATGCTATTTCTGTCTCTGTCACTGAAAAGCCCTGTCCACACCTTCATAACTTATCAAGTGTATACTGTGATAACGCCTTATCAAGTGAAATGCTGTAATTTCTCAGTTGCATTGTTAGGGTATCTTTGTAAATGAGCTGCTGATAAGTATGGTCGAAAAAGAAGAGAAAGCATGGGAGGACGAATGAGAGACACTGCTCGGTGCATTAAGACACAGAGTAGCAAAGCAAATACTCCAAGAACATTTCAAGTGTGTATATAATCTTTTCTTAAAAAAAGATATTCAGCCAATATTCATTTTTTCATGAGACTGGACTCATTTAAAGGCTTTTCAGGAGAAAATTTGATGTCAGTGATCTAAAAATAAGTACAAAGAGCAGGAAGAGGAGTTCAATGCAGCGTAATAAGATTTAGCATGAATCTGGGGGCCTGTCTCAGCAGCTGAGCCGCTATTATTGACCTCATTATAATTCCCTCTGTGTTTACTCAGAGAGGAGATGAATCTGAACCTGCTGCCCCGTGGTGTCGCCTTTAATCTCCGCTGTGTTGACATCTGAAAAGCAGGAGACCAGACCTTAACTCACAAATGAACAGAAGGCTTGGCAACTGGACACAATGAGATTTCAGCTCAGGCCTGCCAACAAGTGTGGGCGCATTAATGTGAGCGAGTGACTGAGTGACACATTGTGAAACTGCGAGTGTGTGTTTCTGTGCATGAGCTGGTGGTAGTATCGAGTTGGTCAAAAGGATGATGATATTCTAAGAGGAGTGGAAGAGGATCAGTGGACCCATTAGCGTGTAAATGCACATATAAGTGAGACTGTGTGTGTGTGTGTGTGTGTGTGGGTGTGTGTTTTTGCGTGTGTACGAGTGTCCTTTGCTGCCAGGAAGAAGCTCTAGGGTCTTTATCCTGGAGAGCCAGACTGCGCTGACTACAGCAAATCCTGTTAAGAACCATCCCACAATCCCTCACAAACACAACCTCCGATCACTCACTCACTCACTGTCGCAGACACACACTCACACGTCGTTTGTGCAGCTCGCTAATGATTTCGCTGCATTTTACTATTCCATTGAAACTCCCACACACACCTATCTAAAGGCTGATCAGAATATGAAACGATTTCAGCATCAAGAGTCTCAAACTACTGAACTGTTTTTCACAGTTGGTTCACACTAATCATGGGGATTTGGGGATATTTAATAACCATTAAACTCCTGAGAGTTGTAGGACGTAAAGCTCAAATTCAGACCATCATCAGATTTCTCCAAATCAGACACAAACTCACATGAAGAAGAAGCACAGGCAGACAAAGTGAAAAAATCTGGGTCAGCTCTAGCAACTCTGTCTAAAAAGGTTAAAATGATTTGTGAGATGTTTGTGTAACACCCTGAGAAGAGGAATTAGGAGCACAGCAAATCAAAAGCAGGAGATGAGTGCAATTTGCCAAAACTAATGCACTTTTTCCTCACTGCTTTACCACAGCAGCACAGAGGGATGTTAGGCCTCTATAAAAAACTTTTTCTGAAATCAGTGGATTGGCTTGTGTACTTAATTTCCATTACGCTATTGCTTAAATTGAGCTTACATAATTCAGTTTCTGACCAGCTGTGGTTTGAGAGAGTTGAAAGAAAAGAGAACTTTTACATGCAGATAAAAAAAGCTCTGTTAAATATCATTTTATAAAACTCTGTCCTGTCAGACTGGAGACACCACAAACACAGCTTTATTATTTATCTAAAAAAAAAAGTTTTTTTACCTTGACCTCACTTGAAATACATCCTGCTAAGCCCCTGGTATCATTTTGGGATTAAGCCCGGATGCTCTCATTGAAGAATTTTATATTATTTTTTATTTTATTTGGAGGAGAAACTTTCAGTTTATATATGAGTAAGGATAAGTGTAAGTCTGTATATGGCTGTACTCATGATTGTAATTTAATATTGTATCAATTCATATTGATAAGGAAGCAAAGTAATATGCAATATGGATAAAGGGTGGGATTAAATAAGAACTACTTCTTCCCACTTCTTTTTGGATATGTAAAGTATAGCTGTTTTTTTTTTTTATTCATAATATTTTTTTCTTTATATTTGTCTACTTTGTATTGTATTGTAAAAATCTCCACTATTGTATGATAACAATAGTCATTTATTTTATTTTTATATGATTATTATTATTTACATGTAACGCATATAAAGAAACAAACAAACAGAAGAAGTTATAGTTTGTCTTTTTTTCTTTATATTTATAAACTTTGTATTTTATTGTATTGTTAAGTCTCTCCACTATTGTATGATAACAAAAGTAATTTATTTTATTTTACTCTTAATTCTATTATTATTATTATTATTATTATTATTAATAATGTTATCATTATTACTATTATTATTATTTAACATGTCACAAAATAAAAAGAAACAAACAAACAAAATAACACTAAAGCAAATCCTATCGATAATTCCCTGCTGCTGGAGCTTAAATCAATGACAGAGGTGGTCAATTTGCACTTTTTATTTATATATTTCAGTTATGAACAGGGACACCTATGCTGTACGACTAGGCAGCATGTTTTTGTACACCAGTATGAAACTTTAAAAAAAGATTTTCAGAGAGGTGTATGTCTTCAGACCAGTATCCTGTCAAATGCAGTACAGTCAGGTAAATTTCCAGGTAAGAGCCCCTGAAATTTGTCTGAAATTTTCCAGAGTGCATGCCTAAAGAGGGCTACACTAGCACCAAATCAGACGGTGGAAATTGAGTTAAGTCAGACCTTTTAATCCATCTTCATTTTACACTAATATGACTTTCAAAAACTAATTGGAAGACTGCTTACTCAGTTTTGATGCTCGGCGTAATGAGCTGCAAACAGCGCTGAGAGTACAGTTAATCTAAGAAGACTCTTAATGCATCATAATGGCTTTATAACTGCAAGAAAAAGCACTCGCATTTTATTACTTTCAATAACTCAAATGCATCACACAGCTGTACTCCATGGAGAAACAGAGTAGCAGTATGCTCTGTTCATTTGCAGTAGCAAAATCTTACTTATGGGGCTAACAAATGAAAAAACTGGACTCAAGGCTGATGATGCTGAAAAAGGCAGTCATTAGATATGAAACAGTGAATTCTGGGCCTCACCCTTTTTGCTTTAGTCTTGCAGATTCACTCCAAATCATGTTAAAAGTGAGATAAAAAGCTGCTGCTTATCTGTTGATTTTGTCACAAATTCTCAGTAATGCAACATGACCCCAAAAGAAATAAACTCAGAAAATATAGATATTTCCCTACCTACTTCCTATGATAAAATCAAAACTTAATCAGTCTGACTCTACATCCAAAAAGCAATATCTGAACAAAGCTTGAAACATTTGTCCTTGTTTGCTAATAAAGGACATTTCCTGAGTGAATTCGAGGACACTAAGGAAGTGACGCATGAAGATTACTGACCTCTTGGTGTTGTAGGCTGTATCCTGGGGTGTTTCCTCCAACAGTGTGACGTAGACAAGAGCACAGGTCAGAATGAACAGCACTGTCACAGTATGGGCTCTCCTGAAGAGGAAAATGAGACACAGAGGGAGCTTAGAAACAAAGAGCTACTAAAAAGTAAATCAGTGCCCCGCTGAAACTTGAGGGTGTCATAGAAGCAAAACTGTTTAGTCATGTTACTATAAAGTATCATAGAAAAGCTTTTACACTTGGCGCTAGGGTCCTTACATCTCTGTGTTGATTAATCATATTTTATATGAAGCAGGAAGTGGCGGAGAGATAAAACAGCTGAGTTGAAACAGATTTGTGTCGAGAAACTGGGTTACTGCAGCAGGAAATAGTTTAAAAAGGGTTTTCAACAAACAAACCACGGGAGAGATGATTTTACGAGACACTTCCACATATTCTAAATAAAGGACTGTAAGACAGAGAGTAGCTTCTGCGTCAATTTGCCCGGGGATCGGTATTATTAAAGGCAGTGACATTTCAGCATACCTATATATATAATGCCTGCATACCTTTGTGGACTGGGGTCTAAAGTCCATGGCATTCATATATACCTCTGTGTTATCTGTGAGGTTATCTCAACTCAAAGGGCAAAGATTGAGACAAGTTACAAGGACATATGGTACACAAAGAAGGACCTCCAAAATTCCAAACTGCAAAGTAGGTAAAGGTGCATGTTCAGGACTTCAATGTGGCCAATGTAGAGAAGAAGAAAATGAGTTTATTTTGATGCTTTACTTTGGATGCCCAAACTAATCAGACAACCCTAACATTAACTAATAACTACAATCATCCTCTATTTCCAAATAGCACCAAACAATGAATCATGATTTCATTCTTATCCCAATGTGGGTATTTTTAATAAACACACCCTGAAAAGTCTAAATTCAACAGACAAAAGGAGGGAAATGACTGTGTGTCTCAGGGTGCTGTGCAGACATTTTCCTGTTAGATGAAAGTCTGGGTAAAGAGGCGATGTTTCCACGTGTTTGGAAGCACTCAGATAAAACTGAGAACAGCTATGAGCTGAATTAAGTGGTGGTAAAAGCTTTGGTTGGTTAGGAGAAACTTGATGCAAATACAGGTGTTTTGTGAAACATACAGTAACTAAGAGCAGAGAAACTAAATACAGCAATTACACAGATCCCTTTAAAACGATTGCCCTTAAAGCTGTTGTCATAATATTAAACAATGTGAACTGGTGCTGTACAATAACGCCTCAAATAACAGGTTTATTATGATACCTTACCTCGTTTATGATAAATGATAAAGTACATAGTTTATTTACAGTATTTAACCTTATAGCTTACTAAGAAGGTTTGGTGTTTTTATGCTAGACGATTCTCAGGGTTTTAAGTTCATGTTCAAACCCTCTAAGGGAGCCATATCCTTCACACTTGTTGCTGAGTGCCTGTCAGTCCCTATCCTTATTTGAACCACCCTCCGGTCATGTTTGGTAACGTGATTGTGCTCCGAGTGGTGAAACAGATTGGTGGTATTACATTTTGTTACTGAAACTGTTTTTCCACAGAGTTGCTATTTGTCATCTCTTTACAGCTAAACTGTGTCCTGCCAACAGCGGACACAGCGTTTTTCTTTAGTACAAGTTGCTCAAGCAGTGAACCCTGAGACTGAGGTCTCTTTGCTGTTGCTTTCATGTCCCACACAGTACAGGTCATGTGACTACACATGCACTTGTATGTTTTTAAGGGGATGGTAAGGAAAGTATTGGCAAAATCTTACAATGTAATGACAAAAATTTGATGGGCAAGATCACGTCAGTGAGAGGTTTTGAATGTTGGTTTCAATTACCCAAAATGAGGGTGTCATTTTGGACTTCCGGGTAACACTGACTTACATTTTTTCAAACTGTTTTATGGTATTTTGTGGACAAAAAGCGCATCTGTAAAAGAGAAAAATGTCAACTGATTGGTTATCAATAGAACCATTAGTTGTAGCCACATATTAATCATTAATGGTACGACCCAAAGCAAACCATGGGATTCAGCTCAGAGTCGATGTGTGCACTTTTAAAAGGCTTGCCCTCTTGCTGATGTTGTGTTTGATTTGCTTGCGGGGGATGTCAGCTGTCAAAATCACAGCAGTCGGCTCAATTCAAACATCAGCGTGCTCGGTGGGTCACTGTCAGGTAAATAAACTTCCATTACTATTTTGTTTTTCCTTTCTAACAGAGGCACAATCAATACTCTCTGGGTACAATTTGTGACAAACTGCAGACCATGAACTCCAAGTGTTGTCATTCCCCTCAGCTAAAAAGGCACAAACATGAAACCATTTCCCTCGAGCATGCTCTGTGACAGAACTGCTCTCCGGAGATGAAAAAGAATAGCAGTCACAATGAGTTGCCTGAGAAAAAATAAACATTTCATGTCTCCTAGCATTAGTAAAATATTGGGCAACACAGTTCAATTCTTTTTAGTGTTTTTAATTGTTTTGTAGGTCAGCAGCACAGTCAGTGACATTGGCTATTTTAGTCTGTAGCAACTCTCACACACACACTAGAAATCATAAATTAAAAAAAACCTGTCTTGTTGTCCAATGGAACCTAATTATTGTCACGAGGCCACAGCTGTCATCTATCACACTAGTGTCACCCCACCTACCCGCCAACCTTTTTGCCCAGAATCTGAGTCAGAGAGACGGTGAGCCGGGTGTCATTAGCATGTTCTCCCTGCTCTAGCTCCTTATCCAACCTGTTTGGCAGGAGACACAGGGGAGGGCTTGGCTTCTCCCTTGCCTGACAACTATGCACAAGTGTAGAGGGAAGGCAGATGCAGCGGAAACACAAGTCTTTTAACTGATTAACAAGCTGAACTTACAATAAAATTTGTGGTCTAAATGTTTGTTAAAAATACTGATTCAAAGAAAAGTGCCTTTATCAAAAAACTACATTAACAGTCCACTGGGTTTGACCACAGCAGGCTCAAGTTTCCATGATGACAGTAAATTACGAGTCACAGGTTCACAGCCCTTGTGACATTTAGATAACATCAAATCCAGTGGTGTCATACCCTGACTTTTCAATTCTTGATTTAAAATTATGTTAAAAATAAAACTTTTTCCAAGGTATTTTTAGAAGTCTGAAATCATTGTCAGAAGTGCTTTGGAGCTGTGTGGGCAGCAGTGCTATTTAGGGAAAAACCAAATGCAGTGTACCAGCATAAATGTTTGCTTCGTCAGGCTCAGTTCTATAAAAGGTTTATCTATACTCTTCCCCTTTTATCAGGAGAAAAACACTTCCCCAACTCCACTCTGTGCTAATAAGACATCTTGCATGACATACAAGAAACCTCTTAAATAACAACCTGAGGAAGCTGCTTCCGTAAACAGACGGCTCTTTGGAGTATTGCTGTTATACAATCCGACCAATATGCTTCAGTACAGACTGACAACAAACCTAGTCTTTGGTTTTAAGTGAGGAAGCTTTGTAAACATATTACACCGATAGGCCTAAATACACCATAACAGTATTATACAACCCCAATTCCATTAAGATTTTATAGTTCGCAAATCATGAAAAGCCTGTATGTATCTGGAAATAATGCAAAGAGGACAAATCAAATGTTGAAATGGGAATGTTAGATTGTTTATGAAAATATGAGCTCATTTTAAAATTTGATGCCAGCAACATCATGTTTCAAAACACAGAAAAGTTTTGTAATGCAAATAAATAAATTGATTATTTATAGTTGTTCCTGAGTGTGAATGTGCAACGAATTAGATGATTTCACAACACACAATATCATCAAAAGATTAAAAAAATCAAGAGAAATCTCTGTACTAAAACCACAAGGCCCCAAACCAGTACCAGATGGCAGTGATCTTTGGGCCCTTAGGCAGCAGTGCATTAAAAGCAGACATGATTCTGGAGTGGAAATCACTGCATGAGCTCAAGGCCACATCTGAAAATATGTCCTGTGAATAGTTCCTTATGAGAAAACTGTACATAAACATGATCAGAAAATACCAGTGACTTCTCTGGGCCTGAAGTGGAAAACTTTGCATGGTTGAATTCTGACATTCTTTTTGGAAATTATGGACAATACATCCGTTGTTCTAAAAGGTAGAGGGACCACTTAGTGCATACTTCAAAAGCCAGCATCCACGATGGCATGGGTAGCAGCTTATACATCAGAGAAGGCACCTTACATCAGAGTTATTGTGCTTAACTGGCCTGCCTCCAGTCCAAACGTGTCTCCTTTTATAAGATAAAAAGGGGACCCCTAACTGTGGTGAAGTTAAAATCTCACATCAGGCAAGAATGGGACAACATTTAACTATCGAAACCCAGAAACTGGTTTCCTAGGTTACCAAACATTTACAGTGTTGTTATAAGAAGAGATGGTGCAACACCATGGCAAACATGCCCCTGTTTCATTTTTTAATGTGCTGCATCAACTTTTAAATGTGAGCCATTGAACATTCATAATGTTTTTAGCTTCAACATTTGACGTGTGTTCAAATTTAAGTTTGTTTTTTTTCCCCTCACTACATCACAGCCATTCCTACCCTCAGCTGCGCTTACACTACAGGCCGTAGACACTAATTTTCAAGGTCTAATCATATGTATTTTTTCAGTTATCCTAAAAAATTCATAAAGTAGATTGCTATGAAGAAGTGGCCACCAGTATGCAAGTTCACCACGAGGAAAGCAGCTGCAGACATTCTTCGTTGTCAGTGCGCTATTGTGATGGACTAGGAGAGACAGTCAACCACTGTGAGGCTTAATTCTTAACTCAGCACATACTGAAAATGCACAGGCAGAATGGTGCAAACATAGGAAGGATGAGCAATAACTAGTATTGTGATGGTATGACATGCAAAAAATGTACTGTTACTGATGCTTGTCTATTTGATCAAATTTACAGTTCTATGTCTATGATGTAATCCGGTTGTTTTTGTATAAAGGTCCATAGTTCTGACAGCATTCCTCCCCTCTGAATTGAAGGTTGTGTATGGTCATATTGTAATGATGAAAATGCAGCCATAAACCAGAGCTGGAGCTTTGTGACAAATTTAAGTGAGCTTCAGTCAATATCATAATGAAATCTTGAAACAGTATCTCAATACTACGTCTTCTGGAGCAACGGTTCCTAACCCAGGGTTACCCAGGTTTCATCTGCCATGAGTTTGACCAAATTAGATTTATACATATCATCTAAAATCACAACAGTGCACTTGCTGCGTGGTTTAGTCAACTTTCTGTTGGTCAGACTGTGTCAAAAACTAAGTTTCCCTCCCTCCTATTGGTAAAAACATGAAAATGTATGTTTATTATTCCAGCAGTGCATCACTCTTTTCCTGTGAAAGTCCTGTAGGGGGTCATTTTCCATGGGGTCAGTGGTTCCATGGAAAATGGAACCGCTGCTTTAATAAAGTAGTTGTACACTGTTGCCAGTCATGTGTGCACCTAAAGCCAATACAGTTAAATACAAAAACTACATCAGTTTTTACTTCTCTAACAGTTACAATAACCAGTATGTGCTCAAACTGCTTGTACAGTTGCTTAACTATACCCTATGGAGTAAACTGTGTTTCTATTTGTTAGTCTACTCTTATTGACATCAATAGGGTTGGCCATTTACAGGAAACTTCTTTTCATACTTAAGGATGCTGGCCCACTTTAATAACTTACCTAATATACAAAGGTATCTCAGCATCTAAGTTCCTGCTAATTCCCTGAGTAAAACAATAACAGGAAACCTGGATGCTAAGGTCCTCACACTGTAATGAGAAACTCTCATTAAGGCTCCTCTCTGCTGTCAAAGATATTGGACAGCTTAGCAGTTTCTTCCTGCCCACTTGCTTTTGCACACAGAGCAGAGATAAAAGGCATGCACTATATACATGCACTCAGGTTTAAATGTTCTCGACAGGTTGAAGGGTCAGTGTTGGATATATTAAAGAATGTCACTTTTCCAGCCTTTCCTCATGCCCTCATGATCTCACATCATAGCACATACACCCCGCACACGCCACCATGCTCTGTACAGACTTGAGTGTGAATTTGTGTCAGTAGGTGCATGCATAACTCACAAGTGCAGTTCTCTGCATAGAAAGAGTATCTGTCCTGACCTCAAGTGTGCCATGTAACTCTCTCCTCAAGGTCTATGCGGGGGGATAGTAATATTGGCTTGTAACAATATGCCCTTAGCAAAGATGTCAATTTGAAGTATCATTTTCAGCCAGGGAGTCATGACAAGGACACTTAAAAAACTATTTGACGCAATAAAGATATGTCACAACATTTTGTTTTGAAATGGAGGTCATACAGGTCTGTCTTTCAGTTCACCTTGAAAGCTTTCAAACACCCTGCTGTAACCATAACACATGCATTTATCTGCAGTTTTCCCTCCAGGTAAAATAGCACTGTTATTCTAAAGGCTGCAGCGTTCACTGTTTGACTTTGTACTGTTGACATTACCAGACAAGCACTCACCAGAAAAAGGTGTTGGTCCCGTCGTCAAAGACTTCACACTCCGTGTTTTTCCGGTGCAGGCTCTCTCTGGAGGTCTGCTTCATCACACTGGCTCTGCTCTGCGCGCCCGGATTCGGACTGCCCGACTCGACGGAGCCGTTCTTGACCTGCTCGACGGCGGCGGTGGTGGCGGCGGATGAGGCAGTGGCGCACTTGGTTGCGGCGTTGATCGCTGCCACGCCGCTTTTCTTTGACTCGGACTTGGTCATGGCTTTACCGACAATCCGCTCCCTCCTTTTCTTAACCCTGATCCTGAGCGGTGTGGTTTATCCCTGGGCTCTGCTCCCGTGTACTGTCATCCGCGTCAGCCCCACCCAACTGACTGTCAGCATCCTGGGGTGGTCGGAGGAAATGAGCGTTTTAGAGTTGCTGAGACGTTATGAAGGGAGAATAACCTGAAAATCACGTCCTGCAGTGGCTTTAACTGCTGACTCCCGAACACCGCCCAACAAGGCACAACACATTTCATACATGCATGTCAGGACTAATTCTCTGCTGCCAGTTACTCATGGGCAGGGGCGTGTCCAGATTTTTTTATTTGAGGTGGCCCAGCAGGGACAAGGAATGGAATGCACTTTACTACTCTTTCTCTCTTCACTAATACACTTCTACTTTGATCACCAAATTTTAAGCATCACACAGATATCTGATATGCCACTTCTGTGTATATAATTTACTGAGGCAAGCCAACCCCCTCCTCTCCCTGTCAGGATTATTGTTTTTTCACCAGTTCAACTAATAGTGATAATAACATAAATAATAATAAAACAGACACATTAAAAACAACCAGGTGAGTTAACTTAAGATGGTTATTACAGTTACAGTGCGCAGTGTGTGCCACACTATGGTATTATAATGCTGTGTTCGAGTTACCTCGGAAGTCAGATGTCGGAGCTGAAAATGATGTCACGCCTGAGTTACCAGTGTTTCAGTTACCAAGTCAGAAAAAAGCTAAATCGGAGGTGGAAAAAAGATGGCTACATCTACCAAAGTTATTTTAGCGCTTGCCTTATGTTCGGACAAGGCAAGCGCTAAAATATTATTCGTAGATGTAGCCATCTTGTTTCCGCCTCCGATTTTGCTTTTTGCCTCATGTTCGGACAAGGCAAGCGCCAAAATATCATTCGTAGATGTAGCCATCTTATTTTCGCCTTCGATTTTGCTATTTTCCGACTTGGTAACTGAAACGCTTGTAACTTGGGTGTGACGTTTTTTTCAGCTCGGACTTCTGACTTCCGTGGTACGCAGTAAGTCTTGGCTTTTTGTCAGCTGTTAAGCATTTCTGCTTGGTGGTTTTTCTGTAAACGAAAATAAAAATTTATAAATAATTTTTTAAAAAGCATTTTGATTTCAATTCAGTTGTTGAAACTTGTTCTGCATTTATGCTGCTTAGCCAGGGTTTACCAAGTCCCTCCAGCTTTCATCCCTCCCATATGGTAGCATGAGTGATGTCTGGTCTTATGCTGCCTTCCAGTTGTACTCGGAAGTCAGAATTTCCGACTGCAACATCCCCCTGAAGTCGGGGGTTTTCTGACTCAGAAAGTCGGACGATCCTCACCATTATCTAAGATGGCAGCGCAGTGCATCAACAGTAAAGAGTAACAGTGAAAGCTCTCGTAATGTATCATTTAGTATCATTTATTAACAACTTCTTTAGGCATCCATCTTGGTTTTCTGAGTTGTTAACTGGAACACCATCAACTCGTGTGTAGCGTCATTCCCAGCTCCCACATCCGACTTCCGAGGTAACTGGAACGCAGTATTAGTCATGTCCCTTGAGAATTTAAGACAACCCCACTTGTCTCAGGTGTACTTAAACAGGACATAAAAAATATCAATCATATCTAAGGATATTGGTATAACCCTGGGTGGCCTATCAGGCTTCAAAGAGGCCCCATGCCATCACTGATCACCCTTCCGGGCACGCTCCTGCTCCTGGTCAACAAAACCAGCAGGGTATTACTGTTTTGTGTTAGGAGGGCAACCTCTATCTGACGTATTACTGAAGGTGTATGTGACTAATAGCTCTCAGGTGGTAAATAAACCACGGTAACAAGGCTGCCAAACCTTGGAGTCAGACAGTTTGGCTTATAGCTACATTAGCTATTTGTAGCTGTCTATTTTCTGTTCATTTGACCTCGCTAACAAGGCTAAGCTTGCTAATACACACCCGCAGTCTTCACAAGATATAGTGCTTAATTCAGACGTACACATTAGCTGTACACAAGCTGATATTGTGATTTAACATTAGATTTAAGACAGCATCACTTACCAGTCAAATTTACGAGTAACACCAAATATTACAGACCGGATGAGTTCAGGGCATGCTAACATCAGGCTACAACAGAACCAAAGCCTCAGACCAGTTTTTAGTTATCCAGAAGAAAGAAAGGCAGTCTAGTCGTAAAATGTGTCATATTCCGTCTGTGGACCTCATCAACAGCACTAACAAACAGAGAAACCGCTCTGGACAGGCTGTGCAGGCTACACTCCAGACACACATCAAATCACATGGGTACGGAGGCGGTTTGCTAACAAGCTCAATGCAACAACTACACAACATCCGGTCGTTGTCTTTCAAAATAAAATAAGAGTAACCTGCAAACCGTACCAAGCCATCAGCGAGGTTGTTCATAAGTCGGACATCTGACTTCCGAGGTAGCTTGAACGCAGCACCGCGAAATCAATTTCTAGTTTTGTCCAATCACCGCGAATTTCCCGCAATTTTGGCCAATAAACTTATGGCGCGTTTGAGTTACCTCGGAAGTCAGAGGTCGGAGCTGAAGATTACATCACAATCAAGTTCCTAGCGTTTCAATCACCAAGTCGGGAAAAGGAAAATCGGAGGCCTGAAACAAGAAGGCTACATCTACGAAAGTTATTTTAGCGTGTGCCTTATGTTCGGACAAGCCATCTTGCCATCTTGTTTTCGCCTCCGATTTTGCTTTTTTCTGACTTGGTAACTGAAACGCTGGTAACTCGGTTGTGACGTCATTTTCAGCTCGGACTTCTGACTTCCGAGGTAAACTGAACGCAGCATTAGCGCTCTTTCGCCCACGCATCTACGTGACATGTACGTCATCATATTCACTTCCTTGTTCCGTTCTTGTCATACACTGATCTTATGGATCTTATAAAAACTCACAAAAGCTTGTTTTTAGCTAATTTTCAGTTGCGTTTGTTCCCGTGATTGTTGAAAAAGAAGCCATAAATGATCGCAACTTTTTTTTTTTTTTTAAAAAGAAGCTGCCCCCAAATCATGCATTTTAGGCCGCAGCAATCACAAAAAGCCCGCGAAATCCTGGAGGGACTGAATTGTGTCTCATAATGTGTGTTTACTGACCACTTGTGACCATATCTGATTTTCCCGCACCGATTGCAATGCAATTACGGACATTAACCTTTGAGAACCTTTGGACATTAAAAACTTCAACAGTGGATGAAGAGTTCATGGATAGGAGGTCTGGAGAGGACAAATACAGGTAAGGTGATCATGATATCAAACTGTGATTTTGTAATGCAGACTTGGGGTTGCCAACTGAGAAAAAAAATCATGATAAAAATCATCATCATGATCTATTGATGATCATGTCCCGTTTGAATCGAAATGAATTGAAAACATTTTACTTTGAAACTAGAAATAACAGAAAGGAAGTCCTTTTTCTTCTCATTTCCGTGTTCTCATTTCAGCCAGTCTGACCTCCTCGGCGGGTTTAGTTGAGGTCGTATAATCTGTTTATGCGCTTTATTTTTAACAGGTAACTAGTTAATTAAAATAATAATAATAAATACCATTTTAAATGAAGTTTACGGGTGTTACGGTCTTAAAGCGGTGTTTAAACTCAGCTGAAAAATTTGTTTTCATCCAAACCGTCTTGTTGCAACATGTTTTTGTAATTTTATGTCGTCACTTCCGCTCAGCCTCCTTCTAAGACGTTATTTTTCCATGTCGAGTTAAACAAAGACAGAGGTGATTAAAATGTTTATGTTTAGAATAAAATAAACTGTTTATTATTCTTTTATTTATTTTTCATTGTTTATGAATTTCTCATCCACTTATTCATTAATTATCTTCTTGAAGAATAAAGATAAAAATAGAGTAATCTCAGGGCAGAAATATGCTGATTTCTCTAATCTCTTTTGCCACAGAGTACAGAGACGCTTGCTTTATGATTTGCTCTTTAATAATTCAGAATAAAGGTAAAAGGGTCCTGTAACTAAACAAATAAAACAGTTTTAAGAGAAAATGAGGACATGTATTACAAAATTCAGGTAAAATTACTGTAATGGAGCAGTTCATAAAAGTTACTGGGATATATTTCATAATAGGAAAGACTGGTATAAATAAAATTCATTAACATAACCTTAAAATTAGATACTTTTGAAGAATAACATTGTTCTTGTTTTGAAATTTCTGTTTACAATACCCCAACCCATGTGGTTAATATAACTGCTTAATTGCTTTAGATTTACTGTTAGAATTGATGGAGAAAAAACAAAGTTATAAACAAACATGTTTTGGTTCATGTTTTAAAATACTAATGTTAAGAAACGTTGGCGGCATCTAGAGGTATAATGGCAAATTGCAGTAACCTGCTGACCCTTTACCTTCCTCTTCTAAAGAGGTGCAGCTTGATGTATGTTTGCATTGCATTAATATTTATATTAACATTCATGATTTGGTTTGCCCATTCTGAGCTTCTGTAGACAAGTGGTGGTGCATGTGGGAGTGGAGATTTATGCAAGTGCTCAATAACTGGAAGTGGAAGCTCAATTCTTTACCCACTTTGGCATCAGCATAAATTATGTAAACTTTGAAATATTAATGGCCTTTTTCAATTCCGCTAATGAGTGTACCAATAGACTTCATGCATTAACACACCTAACATGATAGTAAAATTATCTAATAGAGACGCTTATTCGGTGAGGACACCAAATTCAGCCTATAATTTCTGTTAGTCAGTGGTTTCTACTCACCAGTTTTTTAATGGCTTAGCTCACTCATCCACATATGTTTCAACCTGAAATCCTCATGTTATGTCCTCTCTGTTGCTTTCTGTCTGTTTTAAACCACTAGAGGAGTTTTCCGCTGCTTAGAAAGAAGGCACTGTTGGGCAATAATAACCTTTGCTTGGACTGCATTACCATGTTTTGCTTGTTAAAGATCCTTTTTATAAAATTCTCCCTGAGACTGAAATTTGCAGCTGGGAAAATCCCTCAGCTGACAACACATGGCATTTTATCTTTCACTTTCTCTCTTGTGCAACCAGAGTTTAGGACTGCGGGCCAGAGGTAAAGAGAAGAAAAGGCTTTTGTCTGCAAGGGTTTTGATTTTAATAGACCTAATATCCAAACATAACTACATCACATCCAAGTAGTCCATCTTTTAGTCCATTTTCAAGAATTGTTTTGTTGGTGTAAATACTAATGGCTTTTGGTATAGGCTCCAGCAGGTCCTGTAACCCTGCACAGGATAAGTGAAGATAATTGATGGATGGACATATAGATCAAGGAGAGAGGGAGAGACAGATCATAAGCATGCCAGTTCCTCATGTAGTCTAATTCTAACCTAGCAGAACAAATGGTGCGTTTCTGCCCAGTGGTACTTCAGTTCAGTACAGTTTGATGCAATTTGGTATACTTGGTAATCCAACAGAAAGATGCCTAAAATAACAGGACAATACGGGTTGAAAATTGTGTTACTTTTACCAATTGATGACGATGAAAACACAAACTTTTTTTGTACCATCCTGTACCATCTGAATCATACTGCTTGGTGGAAAAGCTGCATAAGAGTTGGTCTAACCGTGAGCCACCCCAGCTCTGAGCTTTATCAATAAGTAAAGTTTTTAGCCTACTCTCAAAAGCACAGTATGCACAGGAGGCGGAATCTATTCTAGTTTTTGTTGTTGTTGTTGTGTGTTTGTTTGTTTTGTTTTATTTGGGACTTGTGAAGAAAAGTAAACATAGGACAGATGTTCTCTCTTTCTTCAGTTCCAGTTTACAACAATCTCACTGCCCCATTATTAGGATAATCACAGCTCTGTTACGATATGCACTCAAACCATTTGATTCTGGAGCTCCGTGGACAATGCTTCATGACTACCTGACTGAGTACAGTATGTGTGGGTGTGTCTCCATGTGTTTGATTGTAGCTGAAGGCAACAGTTTTGTCTGTAGGCTGGATGAGGCTGTAAGGCCTGAGATCTACTGTCGGTCATAAAGTGCAGACAGAGGACAGACGTATTGTCATTGTAAGGGGAAATGAATGGGAGTCGCCTGAGGCTGTGAGTATTTATCTGAACTCAGTTTATATCGTCTATCTGCATGGGAAATAAAACATTTAGCATTCAAAACAAAGCCTTCCACAATGCTGCTCCTTTGAAGAACTCTTTTTGTCACTGAACAAAGGTTATCCTTTTGATATTTTATAGTTGCCCTTAGTTGAGAACATAAAAAAATCATAATCCCCAATTAGAAAGACTTGAAACAGCAAAGCTTACCATGATACAAATCTGCCCTTCACCAAAAACACCCTGCAACTCATATTGGGACAGGGTAAGTTTAATTATTTTCTGTGGGCAGCGAAACAAAAGCTTTTGGCTAAATGTTTTATCTTCAAAGGAGCAGTTAGGCACAAGGAGAAGCCTTTTTTGTATTTTCTTTTCATTTAGAGCTCTGCCTCTGCAAAAATATTGCACAAGCATTCAAAGAGCTATTTTTACTGTCTTAATAAGCAGCTCGGTCTCCATGTTTTTGCAGCACTGTCTGGACACAGGTCATTGCAGTGCAGTGCGTGTTTTGGCTGAGACTGGACAGGCTGCTTGCAAACTGTTTAAATTAATGTTAGAAAATAGACTTGTTCCTAAGGAGAGATGGATTTAAAAGATTCTTTCATTCTCCGTTGTACTAATTTGGAAAACAATCTTTTTGCTGTCATGGTTGTTTGATTTTCTAATATGAGCGAACAAACTCAACAGGAGGCCTTCTTCTGAACTATTTTTATTAAGAAAAATAACCACCATAGATAAAAGCAGTGGCGATAACAGCTGTCATCTCTCGTCTACACTTAGTAAAACCACAGCTGTCCTCAAAGCCTCGATGTGTCATTTGCAGTACATCCAAATGAAAGCAGGATTTATGAAAAATCAAAGCAAACACAGAAATAGCTACAGGGCTTTAGTCAAATAAACATGTTTGATATTTGCTGAAATCTGGATCAGTCAGGGCTGTCAGAACTGCTGGCTTTTTCAGTGAGATGCACTGAAACTACTGTGATTTGACAAATTAACAGATATAAATACATTACTGCAAATGGTTCTGTTAGATTTTTGCATTTAATGATAAACTGAGCTAAAATAGCCCATCCTTTGTTTTGTTATTTTCAATTTTTGCACATTTGAAGTCAGATCTTAGAGAAATAAGTCGAGCTCGTTGCTATTGAGAAAGTTTTCTTCAGATTAACCTAGATAATTTGGCGGAGGGGATCATTAGGAAGGAAACAGTCGCAAACTCATCGAGGAAATCCCTTCAGCCGGGTGTGTCAAGCGATCACCAACTTCATAAAGGCAGCATGCAGAGAAGCACTTTTATAGGTGTCACATATGGCTAGGGGATCAAATGACTGTTTATCCTCTCTCTAAAGGGCCCCTCAGTGGTGCCTGCAGCACCTTAGAGACATCAAAAGGATCAGACTGTTCAGGTGAGGTAAGGGTGGGGGGTTAGCAGAGTATTTCAAATGGCTATTTAGTTCAAAACAAGACCACTTAAGCTCAGCAGCAAAAAGATCCTATAGCATTCATCATGGAGTTGGCCTTGTGTTTGAGCAGAGGGCATGTAAGATTTAGGATTCAAATAGTGTAAATACCCTGTTTATTTTATTATAAAGAACAAAAGAGTACCAATTTTGAAGTAATGAGGCATCTTTAAAATAGGTTTATGTTTTTAGAAGATTATCAAGCAACCTTAAAATGGGAAGTAATCCTTTTTTATGACCAACTAAATTAAAGAAAACCTACAGCAATGAGATTGACCATTTCAGTGTTACACTTTCAGATGCCTGAGGACGGACAGCACACTTAAGAAAGCTTTAACTTACCACCAGTTTAGTTATATGCCTAAAGTCGAATGATAACTTGATTGTATTAATTTTATATTAATTGTATTCTATTTATATTCGAGAAAAACTTTCAAAATCAAAAATCTAGAATGTCCTTCAACTTCTTCCATCACTTTGTGCTCTAAAATTCACACCCTCCCCACGCTGTTTACTCCTTACAGAAACGCACAACAACAGTGTGGTCACGAGTGTCATTGAGGGGACCGTTCCCAAAAGCAACACAATGCCACAGTCTTGTCAGTCATTCAGAACTAGTTCTGTGTTGCAGTGTTAAACCTTGAAAAACCACAGCCCACTGCAATGTTTGTTTAAAGGCTGTTGCAGCTTACAGCAACAGCAAGACCAATTTTTTTCAACATCGTAAACAGAGGCATGCATCTTTGTCGGAGAAATGTGTCTCACTACAAGACACCCAAGACTATTACAGCCCACAAACAACTGATAAGAAAGCAGCCAACATTCACAGACTTATGAACCCATTATAGTGCCTTTTAAAAGTGATGGAAAGCTATTTCTGATGCAGTTGCACTTAATATCCCTTTAGACATGTTGCTCATGTATACAGTAAGTCCTGGGTTTATCCACATGTTTAAAACTGTCAATCAAAGATATGTGAAACTACAAGAAGCATTTTTAAAGACAACTTTAAAGCTTGCACTAGAACTCAGTAGTCAACCGATCTTAGATTTTAAAGGCAGATGCTGATAATGAGAGAGCAGAGTGCTGTTGATATGCACACAAAATCACCATAATAGTAACAGGTCAATTCTTGTACAGGGGGGACCTGGTGCTATTGCCAAAGAAATAAAAATATGTGTGTTAAACTATATATCAGTATTTTGCAAAATGTGATTAAATTTTCTGCTGACCAGATATTAGCAAACATCCGTTATCATGCATCTTTTGTAAATGAAGTATAATCTGTTTATACAGTCTGAGTTCAATCATTGCTATGAGATAAAAGTTCAGCAGAAGAGTTGATTTGTCCTTTGGTTTCCTCTGCGTACAATCCTGTGTCCTAAGACAAGGACTTGAACAAGTTATTGGATCTTCAGCAGTTTATTCTGAGTTTTTCAGACTATCGAGTGTCGAGTGTCCAGACATGTTTCTGGTTGTCTGGTTGTCTGCCATGGACACAAGAGTGTGGAGAGCTGCAGTGTTTTTAAAAATGCATTTAGCCCTTGGGGTCTTTCCATTTCTGTCAGAGAGCAAGTTAAGCCAGTTGTGTGTGTGTGTGTGTGTGTGTGTGTGTGTGTGTGTGTGTGTGTGTGTGTGTGTGTGTGTGTGTGTGTGTGTGTGTGTGTGTGGAGATCAAAGAAGCGTACTGCTGCCTTTGACAGAGACAGGTCAGAGGACTTCATACTGGCTGACTACCGGTACCTGCTCCTCTGATTAAGCTGTGAGATTATTATTCATGAATGAAGACTTTCTTTTGCTTTTCACTGCCTTTAAAACATTGGCTACTGCTGATTTATGTTTCTGAAAGTGTGCCTGAGGAGCTGAAGGCTGTGAGGCTCATTTGCAACTAGATGTGTAAGAAGAGGATAATGTCTTATATCAGGTTTTATGTGACATAAAAATCACACTACAAACTGATGGAATAAAGTTCAGTTTATAATATAAAACAGGTTATACTTAATTGTATATTTCTGCACGATAACAGTCCAAATTAGACTCACTCACTCACTCACTCACTCACTCAGAAGTCCCTATTTGGCAGGTATCTTTCACCACTAGGGGGAGCTAAAAGCCAAGACACATTACTGCCTACACTGGTGTATTTTTGTGCAAAGATCAGATCCAGTGTTCAAGGAATAGATGGGACAAGCATCCTTAAACTTGAGACACTAACAAAGTCATTAAAATTTAACAGTTACTAACAGTGCTAATCTTAAGAGACACTCGTAACTGCTGATCCATACTACTTGTCCCATCACAGCTCAATCATAGTACCACCAACCTGGACCTCAATTATCAGTCACTTGCAGTGTGGATGTTTCTGTACAATAGTTTTCTAGTGTCATATTATCCTATTTAGTAGAAAAGGTGGAACATGGCTGCTGGTAACAGTCCTGACTCCCTTCCTCAAGTGGTCTCAACCTAAATTAATTTAACACCACCAGCTCTCACATGTAAAACTTTGACATCTATTCAAAAATGATTAACTGATCGAGTGACAGTATTTTAACCTTACATACGTGTTTTTGTTGTTGTTGTTTTGGATCTTGCATTAAGCGCTTTTACAAAAATAACACACTGATATACTAAGAACTTGCTACAAACGCACAACAATACTAGTAATACCATTTCCAAGGGTTAAGTTTTGCTGAATTTGCAAATTTACATGGTGCAGTACCAGTTTTCGCCGCTGGGTGTCGCTATGCCCCTTCTATCTACTGTGAAGGCGTTGTCTGTCTGCCGAGTGTTTAACTCCGATGCATATAGATAAGAATCTCCGCAGCCTCAGAGTTCTCAAAGAGTTTCAAATAAAGTCAGATTGAAATGGGAGAAAATATCAAAGATATTGAGGTAGCCTTTGGTTTGAGCAACTGTTGACTACAAAAAGCCGTGTATACCCTACTTTAGACCTAACGTCCTCTAGGATGTTGGCCTGATTGTGTCACGGCTGCTTTGATTTAAACCTGTGTCCACTATTTAAGGGTGAAACTGGACACCTATGTCAATCGACTGAAACACCAAAGGAGAAAAGACCTTGACATGCTTTTTGAAGCCTAATGCAAGTGTCGTGTTTGTCACTGAAGGACTGTTGGAGAGATTTGTTGTTGTTTTTTTAACCAAAGAAAATACAGTAAAGAAATGGAAGGGGGATGATTTAATAAGAAATTGCAACGTCTGGTCTTTGAAACTTCGTGTACCCTGGTGTTGATTTTCAGCTGTGTTTTTGTCTTTGCTCGATGTTGTACGTAAAGCCCAACAGTTCTGACGGTGCAAAATCTCGAGTGCTGGGTGTAGACACTGCAGGACCTGGGGAGGGAGAAGAATTTGCTGTTGTGGTGAGAGGAAAAAAGAGGAGGGTGCATACTGTTGATGTGCAGAGAAACATAAAGGGGTCAAACATCGGCCAAGGAGACCCTCTTTGATTAACTCCTTTGTAAGGTTGGGCTTTAAAAATGGGAGTTTTGGATAGTTAGCGTGTTTCTTGTGATCGTAGCCCTTCTTTAGATCCATAATCAGACGCGTATCTCCGATCATCGTCCGGTGATAGATGCGCACCCAGCAGCTGCTCTTGTAGGCTAAGTACCCATAGGCACCCTGAGAGTGCAGCTCCGACACTTGGACGCTGACATCTGGGAAACTCCACTCGGTGTTCAAATCGCTGCGCTTTGCTCGGCGCACAGCCAAATGGGCATCAGAGGCCGACGGGAAATCAGGGTGGGGGTTGTGCGTCCTTCTTGGAGGGGGTTGGACGACACGACGGGACAGCCAATGAGAGTAACGCAAGAGACTGTTGCTTTGACTGACGAGTTGTAGGGAGCTTATATACGCCACATCTCCTTGAAAAGGTACATTTAAACAGAACAGAGAGGAGCAGTAACGCGTCAGGGCGAGTAAAAGGAGACACGCACGTATTTTCGGGTCAAACAACAACAATACCTGATACTCACACCTGGAAACGAATTCTGATTTTGTCGGGAAACATTTGGAGATGTCTAACGTTCAGTTATCGAGCATCGCTCTGGAGAGGCTGGTGGCCCGGAGGACCTTTCCTCTCCACCGGCGCACCAGCGTCTGCCGCAACCTCTTCGGCCCGGTGGACCACGACGAGCTGAACCGGGAGATGAAAGACAAACTCCGGGAGATTTCTGATCGAGACCAGCAGAGATGGAACTTTAATTTCGAGACCAACACTCCGCTGGATGGGGATTACGCATGGGAAGAGGTGTCCGTAGATAAGACCCCGGAGTTTTATCAGGACTCTGTACAGAACGAGAGGACCAGGGTGCCGGCGACGCCCGTCAAGCAGACACCCACCCACTCGGACTCTGCTTTCCCAGAGACCCCTCGCTCAGACGCACTGGAGCGCTTGGCTCTGCCGGACTGCAGCAGCACTCCTTGTCCGGTCGAGGTCAACCAGGAGAACCGCACGGATAAGCTGAACTCAGGGAAAAGGACTTACAGACAAACCCAGTGTGTCAGACGCAAGGGGACGACCACCGCTGACAACAACAACACACACATCACAGGTAAAAACGGCTTTATAACGCTCAAGTATTGTAACAATCTAATCACATTTCTGCTTTGTAGCCTAGGTCTAATGTTACTAATTCGACCTTACGTTGAATCGTTTGTATTTACCTATTTTTCGTCCTTTTATAACAGACTATTTCGTGAAACGAAAGAGGGCTGCCGGCACTTGCCACCTTTCCAAATCTCCAATCCCGTTGGAGCAGACTCCAAGAAAAAGGATTCGTTGAAGGTATGAAAATGAATCACTTGTTTGTTTTTCTCAAAATTTCAAGGATTGGTATTAAAGTGACATTTCTGTATTTTCTGACAGTTAAACTGATATTTTTTAATTCATTAGACTACATCAATTATTGTAATTTGTAGCGTTTGTAAGTAGATGGCGAAACGCTCTTCTGTGCCTCTATTGCGTAGAATGACTCCGCTGGCCAGCCAGAGTTATCTGTGAGGGGGGGCAGGGGAGAGTTTGTGGTGGTGAAATCGCAGTAGTAGTGATAGTAGAGGCAGTAGTAACGCTGGTGGTTGGGGGAGGGGAATGTGCGTCACGTTGTGGCGGGAAAAAGCTCTGCTAAAGGGTGACGCCTTCTGCTGACTTCGTCTTTCTCCAGAATGACTGTTCCTCGGAAAACTCACGGTGTTTTATTTCTCCTTTTTCTTTCTCAGGTGGTTTTTGCACTATATGCCAGCGCAATTTTTAAAGTTACAAGAAAGGAACGACGCTCCTTCCGACAACTTATTCGCCGGAGACGGGAGCGCTGTCCGAGGACGGTGTATGGGGAGACAATAGCCCGACCTGCCGGCTCCTCCGCTCTGGATTGACTCACTCCGGAGGAGCGGAACCTGAACTCCGGAGCAGACTCTCAGGACTGTACGGTTTGGGGTGGGAAAAGAGAAAATTCGCTGAATGACTTATATCCAGTACAAATGTAGCATTGTTGCTTTTGCATACAGCCACTCGACAGTGTTAAATGTTTTAACATCTGTGCAATCCTAAAGAAATGTCTACACTGGCCAAAAGTGTACAGCTTTATAGAGATGGTAGCTGAAAATGTTTATTTCGGTTCTGGTTTTTCTGTTAATGTATATTTTTAAGACTATTTTAACTTATAATTTATTTATGTTTCATTATATTTGTGAAATGCCCTGTTGATTTAGCCACACGGCATACTTTTATTTTATTTTGTTATATTATTGTTTCAAATTTTTGTATTTTGATGTTTCTGCAATCATGTAGCTTCTCTATAATAGTGAACACTTGAAATATTAGGTTTCTTTGTGTTTCTGAGCCGTTTTTTGTGTGTTGTGTGCGTAATTGTCTCTCAAGAACTGAGAATAAAAGAATTTTCACTTCAACTTAAAAGAGATGTGATTGTGATTTTATTGTGGCCTCTTGTTTAATGTGGTCCAAGTTAAATTGGTCTTGATAGTGAAACCGAGACTGGAGACGTCGGTGCGTTGTTCCGGTTTCAGTCTCATCCTTTGTTTAGTAGAGTAAGATCATAATCGACTCGCTGCCTGGAATTTTCTGCTGTAAATAAGTAGATTTATGACCTTCGATTTTGGTTTACTTTCGTTCCTTTTACAACGAAGAAAATGAAACGTGCGGACGTTGCGGTCTGCCTCAGCGCACGCAGGTACTTCACTCTTGGGGGTTCATCTGCCGTCTGCCTCCTTATGCTCACATAGGCTACCTTGCGGGGGACAAACGCATTGAGACGTACAGCCTTGGGCAGCGTGGCAGCTGCGGGATATAGGCTGGGATTTAAAGGCCCTTTCGCCTCTCTAAAAGAAGCAGCAGCTGCCTTTGGATCCCCGCTTTGTGCGCCACGTAGACACCCCCACATGCAACCCGCACTCAACAAGCCCTCTAAAGACCCACTCACACACCCTGTTTACCCCGGCGTGGATACACCGGGCGTGGAGGCCACCTGCCAGAGCTGCAAAAAGAAAACTACTAGTCTTTGTAATTGTGCTCGTCTATTGAAACAAACCATTCAACAGGTCATACTTGCAAGTTTAGCCTTAATTGAAAGAAGCCAAATGCAGCAGCAGCAGAGAGGGAATGTGCATGGGGCCTTCAAGCCTGGCATTGCCCAAGAAAAAGAAAAAAAACAACACATTTTTATCCCCTTTTACTTTGAATCACTTCAACTATGTCACATTGATGTTATAATGAAAATGGAGACTTTTGATGGCAGGAGTGACTTTGTCAGCACCATGCAGCCATAAGCTCTGACGGTCTTGTTCTGATTTCCAACACAAAGCGCTCTCTGGCTCCATTCTTTCCTTTTTGTTGCCATATGGCAAATCCATGTAGACATAGCCAAGACCCATTCAGTCGGCCACAGAATGTCCTGCATCAGAGAACAAAAGACACTTTGTCTGGCTGCTCCATTGATACGGATTGGCTAAAAAAAATATTATAATTAATCTATGGCTATATCCAGCTAATTAACGCCCATATGCCTACAGGGAGCTACAGGGCTATTCAGCAGAGTTTTAAAATCTCAATAGTTTACATGTTAAAGACAACAGCTGTTCATGTGTTACTTTAATGAAGTCCCCTCTGTGCTGGGGACTGGACACATTTGGGGGCTCAAGTCCCTCCTCTGAGTTAAAAGGGTCATCTTCTTTTATTTGTCTCTACAGCTGTGTAACTATCTAAAATTTGTCCCAATAAGTAGAACTTTAAATCATATTCATTCTCTAAGAGGTTTTGAATTTCTGCCTTTGCAGGAAAGGTCAGAGGTTAAGGCTTGAAATTCTAACCAGCAAGCTTCCCATGAGACAGGAAAATTATGTTCATGTATTAGACAATAAAACATTGTATTTAGTCTGTCCATACAGCAATGAAATATACATTTATTCTCAAATTATTCTAGTTTCACTGTGTAGGCCTTTGTAGGACCTGATGGGTTTGTTAAAATTCTGTTCAAATAGTCCCTATGGAACTCCCGTTGAACAACTATGACTCAATTCAGCCTGTTTGAGTGTATGATGGACATAAAGGAAGAAGATGACAGCTTACATAATGTGCTCATTAACAAGCCATCGGCAGGTGAATATAATTACAGCAGCAGCTGCTGATGGACAGGGTCAGCCCTTCCTGACCTTTATCACACACACCAGTTAGTCTTAGACTTCAGTACAATCATCATTAAATTTAATTATTTAACTCCATTGATGAATTCACTATTGGAAATATTAAAATCATTGTTATTTTTTGAAGTAAGACAAAATAAACAACAATATCAAATGTGCCTCATTTATGATGTTCCACAAACAAAAACTAGGATCCACATTTTTGTAGACAACAAAGAATCATGCTTGTTATCATTGCAAGACGATATGAATTGACCCAGATCAATTGATTAACCCCACTTAAAGATATTTTTTAAACACATTAGCCTATTTAACATATAAGAGTTTGCATAAAAATATGTAGCCAATATAAAATTAAGAGTAAAATTGTCTTTGGATTGTTGTACAAGAAAAAATTACATTGAGATTTGAAGGTAATGAAATCCTTTTATCACTGCCTGAAGAATAATATATTATAACTTAGACATAATTCTATTAAAAACAGGATGTAAAGGAGACACAATGGGGCCTCTGTTCACCCTGCAGACTTACTAATGCTCCAATATTTAATTTGTAAATTTCCTAAATCTGCAGCCACAATTAAAATGCACCAGAGTGAAGTTTATTCAAACATATGCTCATGAACTGGCCAAAAATAAATAAATACAAATCATTTAAACCACTTGGGCAGGAGCACTTGTTTTTGAGGCCTCCTGCAAATGTTGCAACCAAATATAATTTTAGACACTAAAAACAACCAAACCTAAATCTCGTTTTCCTCCCTAAACACACAATTAACGGGACAGTCTGCAAAGGCTGCAATTAAACACAGAAAGGAGGGAAATCAGCCAAGAAGAATTAGCATTTTCCATGACCATCTGGCATCGGCGCAGGCGACAGGGAACAAAGGCGAGCTGGATGGAGAGGAGAGGCGAGTGTGCCATCGCATTGACCTGCAAATGAGGCTTTGTCACCGAGTTAAAGCTCCCTGACCCCCTTTACCCCCCTCACCAAAACAAGAAAAAAAAAAAACTACTATTTTGACGTATGGGCGATCCGAGGCCTTGAATTTAGCTCTGCGTGTGTTTAAATACAACAGGCCATATTCACAAAAGCTGCCTATAAAGTAAAGTCCAATATCTTATTTAATTTTATAAATAAAGTACACTTTTGTCTAAATTCAGCTCTATACCAAAGGATTTTTTAAAACTTTTTAAGAGTTATTCAGATGAAACGACGATAATAACTGGTCCCATGTGACTGTTTTTATGATCAAACAGCATAAAAGATTAAACAGGCTTAAAGATTGATATCTACGTTGATTTGTTTTACTGTCGGCTGAGATCTAAACTCATTACGTAGCACAGCCTGTTAAGCTTTTATCTTGCCACGGCGCGGTAATCAAAGTATTGTGATTAATGAGAGTAAAACGTCATAAAGCAGTGGATTAGTTACAATAAGATCCTTGTGATGTTTCTCTCTCTTTGTGTCGTATTGATGCCGCGTTGATGCGTCACTCTTGGTGTGTGTGTGTGTGTGTGTGTGTGTGTGTGTGTGTGTGTGTGTGTGTGTGTGTGTGTGTGTGTGTGTGTGTGTGTGTGTGTGTGAAAGTGTTAGTGTGTTGGCGTGCAGAGGGTTCTTGGGGCGGTAGGTGGGTGGGTTGGGGGACACCTGTGCACCCCCACCCCACACCTCCCACCCCCCCTCCCACTCCACGATTGAAGTGGGCAGACAGAGGCCCACGTGTTTGCATAAAGATGATCGTATCCGGAGGGGGGATCTGGTGTTTTTGCGTCTCTCTCTCTCTCTCTCTCTCTCTCTCTCTCTCTCTCTCTCTCTCTCTCTCTCTCTCCTTCTCTCTATCAGCTTTGCATTGATTTTATAGTTAAAACGTGTTGCTGAGGTCTAAGAATAACTTTATTGAAACTGTGATTTTTCTGGGGGCTATTTCCACGTTGGCACCGCATAGGCTACCTCAACATATTAAACATCGGTGTCAAATCTGACCGGAGAGCCTCCAAACGACTGCTCCAGTTTTGTGGGTCAAATCATCTTCTTTCGAGCTTTCTCCATGCAGACATGCCCCGATGTTTTTTCTTTTTTCATCACTCCTTGCTTTTTTCTCTTTACATCCACTCAGTATTCATGCCTGCAGATAACAAAGAGCTCGACTCAGTCCACGCAGGAGGCGGTGTGACAGGGAACTCGTGGCAGCTTTTCAAATATCTTCTTTCTGTCTCCTCCTTTTCTTTGCATCTCGACTTTGGTCTCGGCTGGAAGAGAGGAGGAGGAGGAGGAAGGAGGAGGGAGGGTTAATCAGCCCACCACCTCAATTTCTAATTCACTTTGCTCGCCGGTCGCCACACGCATCAAGGGGATCGGATTTAATGCTGCGCGCAAGGGAAGCAGATCTTTAACAACTGAGCAAGTCTGCAAATAAACAGAAAAATGTAGAAAGTTTGAGACATCGTGGGTTTAAACCTTGACTTTTTTTTTCCTCAGGACATCTCCAAGTTTAACCCAAGAACACTATCGCTAAAATTAGAAACACCGTCATTGATTTTTACCCGAAATAATATACCCAAGAAAAAGTACTTGTCATCAAAATATATCAAAATAGGACAATACACGACAAATCAAAGTAGATTTCCTTTATTTTTAACTGTGCAATGTCCAAAGGGAGGGAAAAAGGTGTGAGGGGACCATATAAAAATGCAACAAAATAACTGAAATTAGGCATTCACGAACAAAAGATTCCTAAATATATATATATTTATATATATAGAACCTGTAAACTTAGTTTCTTTTCCACCCACTCCTGGGGCATGTGAGTCCTTCCTGGTGAAGACTCAGGGTCCTTGGCACAATAATAGCTGCAGGAGAGAGAACCAAAATATGGCAGATTTTGAGTGAGTAAAAATGACCTGCTGACTAAAATATTTCCTATCACCATATGAATTCCCTTGAAAATCACTACTTTGTGATAGTTACTCATAACCACTGCACTAAATAAAGATAGCATGCAAATTCCAGGACCACTCTTAACTGACCTTATTCCCTACATGCAGCTATCAAAGCTATGAAAATCACATAAACATGTTTGGTCGGGTGAAAATCACAGGGCGATAGTGTCACTTGAAACTCTTTCAAAATCCCCCGTCAGTTATAATAAATACAAAAGCAGTTGTGTTAATCGCATGAGATGAAATCCTATTTTTAAAGCTGAAGGAGCAGACTTTGAACTTAATATCTAGCAGCCTGTAAATGTTTGCAAGAGTTTTGCCGGATTCATGGTTGCACACAGCCAAAAATATCCCTTTCAATAATCCATCTGAGCCATGAACGCTAAAATAGTTCTGAGACTGATATCTCTCAACTTCACTGAAATGGTAACTGAGCAGTACCAACCCAAAATCAATCAATAAAAGACAATATAACTGTTCAACTTCTACCTTTACAGTGGTCAGAGCTTTTTTAAAATGTAGAAATAGCAGACAAATTTAAGATGTGACACTTGACCAAATGACCTTAAAGCCACTTTTTTTTTTCTTCAGTGAAAAAAGCATCAATAGGATGTCATTCTCAAAAGGACTGCCAGATTTCCCGCCTGCAGAGGTGAAAAGGTCACTATTGATTAGGCGCCAAACAGCACTGAATCCCATCATCCTCATTCCATTACAGAAGTAACAAAAATAGTCTATAACACAGTTTATTTGACTGAGGCAATATAATTAAGCATATTTACTAATTATTGAAGTTAGTGTTCAGAGTTTTGAGCCAAAGTTTTGTTCCTGTGTTAAATGCTGTTGACTCAGTTACTGTTTCAATTCTGATGCAAAGCTATTCCAAATCTGTTGGCCTTTTATTGAGAGAAATTATTTACAAAATACTACTTTCTTAAAAACTGTGCTGACGGTAGATTTCATTCGTGTAAATTGTTTATCTATATGCGGCCTGTATGAATAAACCCTAACTGGATCCTTTATTAACATTTATAGCTGTTTCGAGGTCAATAGGAAATGCCTTTTACAGTCTATCTGCTCTGAATAATTTTATGCAACCATATAATCATATAGTCACACATTACCTGTAATGTCATGCTCTTTAAGAAGAATGTTCAAAAATATTTTGCAGCATCAGATGAGAGATTCCAGTAAAACAGTTAATTACTGTTGATATTAAAATAATCAAATTCCTCATTATTCCATCTAAATGGAATATAGAATGGAAAATAGATGCGCTTTACTAACCATTGCTTTTGAGACTGGATGCACCCTTTTTTCAATATATACTTACATAAAATATCATTAGTTTAAAGTTAATCTAATCTATATTCATGAGAAATGTCAAGATGTTAAACACTAATTCACACAGGACAAGTATCAGCTAAAAGTGGGCCCTGATCATTCATTATGTTAAGAAGCTGTTGAAGGAAGATCCTTAAAAAAGACACAGATTCCTCTTTGATTCATCCTGCAGCAAACACCACTCTCTGTGGCTCAGTCAATAGATCACCATCAACATATGGTGAGTGTGTTTGTGATTTATGAGAGCTGCATTCCCACAGAAGACACACAGCAGTGCACTCAGTGCTGCTATGTGAGTTTGAAATGCCCTCACATTACACTTGTCTCAGTTAAAATCTAGCATGAAATCTTGATGTATATTAGGGTGCTGTGCTGTAACTTCAATTTTGGATTACTGCAAATTTTAGCATAACATGTAACCTCTTTAGTGGAGGACTTCTCAAAATTAAGGAAACAAAGTGCTTTAAAAAGTAGAACAGATGTGTTTTTTAATGTATGAGGTTTCAATGAAAATATCAAAGATACATCTCGAACAAAACTTGGGACACCAACACTTAAAAATACAGAACATTGAAAGAAAATAAGAATTTAAGTTTAAGCAAAAACAGGAAAGGCACAATGATTGAAACAGAAGGTCAAACTCAAATTTTGATTTTTTTATTGCAGACAAAGAAACAGATCTTCGGAAAGATATATTAGTTTGAGTTGTGAGGGTTGGGTTACAGTGACAGTAAATAGATTATAAAGGCTGCACTTGCGAAGGATGGGTTCAAGTACACATTAGCCTTAGTGAGGAGGTTCATGTTTGACCCGTAGGCTAATTACGTTTGCTCCCTGACTCTGATTGATTCTTCTCATGCATTAAAGTCAAGAGGCAATTCAATTGATATGCCTGACAAAAAGAGCAAAAGTGGAAAAAGACGAGCTTTCTAAGCTAAAACAGCCTCTGAAAATACCCCATTTTCTTTGGTAGATTTTACCATTAATTGTTATCCCCTTTTATGTGTTTTTAGAGCTAATCCTGTAATTACAACAATTATATGTTCTATAGGACAGTGTCGATTCCATTAATTAAAAAAACCCAAAGTGTAAGATAAGCCTCCTTTTTCCAGCTTTATTTGGAGGAAAAAAAGTGAAAGAAATTTACAATTATGAGACAGTAATAGTGGTAGCCTGTCTGAATATTGGACAATGAGGAGACAAGCTGCCAGAGCAGTGGCCCACTCCCACTCTCACTCTCGGACAACGATCTACTCTGGCCCCTTCAGCATCCACACATACTGTACCCATCAATAACTGCATAGTTCCACTGTGGAGGGGCGGCTTTACAACCGCAGAGCCATATGCAGCTCTGCAGGAAGGGGCCGGCTGCATTGTGGTCATAATTGGACAGAGAGGAGAGAGGAGGAGACACAGATAGTGCGATGACACTTGAGAAATGAGATCTAACTCCATCCCAGCGCCAGTCCTGACAGCCAGAGTCCTCCACCTCCATTCTTCCTCTTCTCCCTTTGTCCGAATGCTTTTCAGCCACTCTGCACCAAACCTGTTCCCCTTCACATCCCTCCTTACACAGGGATGTGAGTCCTCTGTTGAGCGGCTGCTGTCTCTGTTTTATCTGTCCATCCATCCATCTCTGACGCCTCTCCTCCTCCTCCTCCTCTTCGCTCCTCTCCTCCCAATCTTGTCCCACTGGCAGAGCAGTTTTTCTTCTCCTTCCTTCAATCATCTTGGCTCATAAAACTTTGGGAGGAGGGCTAGCAGGCTGTGTTTTCAGGGCTGGCTACACTGCTATGGGTGCACTGACTCGGACTAATGCTATTCACGCCTCACATTTGCTCGCCAGGTCCGGAGAAAAAGGATGGCCACAGCAGCCTTTATGAGACACGCAACAAAGGGTCGTCATTCATCTGGCAGCAGAGGAGTCGTGGTTCAACACTTTTGCTCTTAGTTATCATCGTACGCAGATTTTGGTGCTTTATTTTGAAAGGGACTGATGCTTGAAAGATGCAAAATAATCAAGATAAGCTGAAATAGTTTTTCCCTGTTTTATATTTTTATGATTTCACGGTCTAACTCTGTCATTATGCAGATGAGTGTGTTTGTGTGTGTGCACAACTGCCAAAATGACAGACGTGCATAAAGCCGAGAGTCTGGTGGCGATATAGATTTATATCCACAGTCTCGGGTCACCAAGTCACTATTAATCTTCACCTTTCCTTGGCTGCTCCTTCACTCAGGGCCAGCAGCTTTAGAGGCCTGTTGGCAGCTCATAACAATACCCAGAATGCCGCAGGGTCTTGTCAGCATGTCTTAATTTGTGGCAGTGGTCCCAGGGTTGAATTCAACTGCTGCTGGCTGCTTGACCTGCTGTATTCTGTTGGCGGATTAGCAACATCTTTTAGTCTCCGCGCAGGGCGACAGCAATGGGCTGAAACGCAGACTGCAATTACGCAGCGGGAAAGGCCTGCTCAGACATACACATGCACACACACACACACACACATACACACACACACATTTATGGATGGATGGATGGAAAGATGAATAGTCTGCAGAGAAGGAGAAGCAGGTGATGCGGCGGTTCGCTGCTTTGAAGACGACTTAAGAGAGAGAGAGAAAAAAGGAAACAGTCTCAGTGTGTGTTTTGGGGTTTTGTACTGACACAGTGGGTATTCAGCCTACATTGTTGTACATGGAAATGAATGTATCCAGAGGCTGAGCTGCAGCTTATCTTCACAGAGATGGCACAGTATCACTTCAGAGCGTCCAAATGCCTGACAAGGATGAAAGTGGCCAAATTCAATTCAGATGTAGCTCAGAGGGTGTCACTGGGTGTTTTGTATTGTGGTGGAGAAGCTTCCCTTTGCTGTCGGTGAATTGCAGATATCGCAGTAACAGCAGAATATTTTCATATTTGTGGTCCTAGTTGAGCTTTTTTTTGTGGAGGTCCTTCTGAACATGTGCTCTAAAAACTGGGTAATCCCCATCTGCCTCATCATTTTGTCTTAAAAGCAATGTTTTTCTGGTTCAGCATATTATGTGACAAATATAGACCTCATCATCTGCACTGGTTACAGACCATTTCTTTTGAAATCTGTGTCTTGAAAGACTAACTCAGCATTTTAAATCACTGCAGCACCATTTGACTGGACAAATCTAAAAATTCTGCGTGTTCTAGCGAGAAGGTCAGGATTCCTATATCCTCTGTAAGCCTGGTGCATTTTGTCCAGCTGTTTTAGGTGGCATGATGACTATATGGCAAGTGTTTACAACTGAAAATGGGTAAAGAAAGAGAAAGAAAAACACAAATAACTCTTACGGCACTTCAAATCTAAATGGATTGTTTTTACACATATTTAAGTCATTTATACCCTGTTCATTTGCAGTCGTGTTGTTTTTGACTTGTAGCATAGCTGTTGTGAATCATAACACATGTTGCAAATGTTCTAGGAGAAGGGAAAATGTCCTCAGGTTTTAACACTACAAATCAACTGAGTCACCAGAGAAGTCATCATCACAACAAAGATGTACTGAAGGATTATGAAGCAGCAGTAGTTACCGCTTGCATAAATGATATAAACAAAACAACAAACTGACCCCGGAGAAGTGCAGAAAATTTAGCTCAGACACAGTCTTAAAAGGAAAATACAGATTATTTGACAACAAGGAAAAGTTCAGTGGTGGTTGAAAGCCTGTCTTTGCAATTTTAACCAATTTTATTTTTCACATAAAAGTTATATAAACTGTACCGAACAGGCTGTGTGATGTTAGCAAGAGGTTCCAGAGGCATCACAGAGGGAGCAGTTTTAAATATGCACTTTGATGTCAAAATAAACCAAATGATACTTTTTCTGGAGAAGAAGAAGAATTAGTATTCAACCAGCCATTGGCATATTTGTAGCAGTATTGCCACTGCTCCTACCATAAGTTCTCAGCACACTTACTGGCGGTAGTCCAGTAAGTTTGATGGCCCAGTGGCAGGATGATGAACACAAGAAACACATTACAAGAGAGCTTGCAGCGTAAATTAATGAATAATAACAATGAAGCAGTAAGAATTTCTCTTTTTGTGTGTTAACAGTGATTCCAAAATTAAATATTTATACATATGCATCTTTTCTCACTTTCTTACTCCCATGCTCTGAAAATCCCCCAAAAATATTTAAAAAATGTAATATATTTGTATTAGTTAATATCATTTTTTATAAGTAACTGCAATTGGCTGAAAAATAATCATATCATGCTTCCAATTATACCACAATATAATTGAAACTTTAGGATTCCCTGAAAAACAGCCTGAGAGTAACATGCTGGTGCAAAACAAAATGCAAATGTGAAAAAATCCCCTGTATTCTACACCCAGATGCATGTGCACAGTGTTACCCCCCTTCTCTAAAACAAAAGACCTAAACACACACAACAACAGACAGAGATGCAGCAGGTCAAGCGCAGATCAGAATTGGCAGCGCAGCACTGCACCTTACAAAGCACACAAAGCCCTGAAGGATGGGAATAGGGAAATTGGCAAACCTTACATGGTCCCCTGCCATCATCCCTGGCTCCCTCCCTCTGTGTCACAACAGATGCTATGTTCCATGAAGACACTGTCAGCTGCACCAGAAAGGATCCAAATTTGTTGACAATGATGGCAGGGACAAAAAAAAGGGACCAAAAGAAGGAGAAAGAAACAAAAAACATTGTCAAAGTCAGCATCTGAGTTTACAATGACGACACAGCACTGGGGAGGAGGCAACAGGCGAGTGTATGCATGAACCTCTCACCAGAAATAGGACCTATTGCTATGGAAACAGACACTGGACCCCTCCCTGGTGCTATTACTATAGTATACACATACACGCACGCACTTGTCAGCTGCAGGCCAGCCGCTGTCTGAGCCCAGATGGTGGTGAACTGCATAACTCACTTATCTGTCTCAGGCCTCTAAAGGAATGCTTAAAGGCCTCTCCAATTCCCAGCGGACGTCACCAAAAAAGAGAGAGAGAGAGGCACGCCATCTGCTCCCAGACACCGTAGGCACCCCCCTTTCCTGTCCGTCCCTCAAATTCACCCCCACCTTTTCTTTTTTTTTTTTTTTTTACCTTCAACCCCCCCAAAAAAACTCTCCTTGTGATTGCTGACCCATTCCTGGGGGGACAGGTGGAAAAAAAATCAGCGTCAAGTGTAATATGTCTAAAAGAATAAGGCCGTCATGTTGACCTTTATAGACAGGGTACAAAAACAAGAGTTTTGCTTTTGTCAATCTACTTTTTGAGTCTTAAACTCTTCCTAAAAACCTCTCAAAACTCTCCAAGAGTTTTGCTGTTGTCAATCAACTTTTTGAGACTTTAACTAATTAAACAGACTTGTTAAAAACTTAAACTCTTTTTTCTGGAAACTCATGATTTTATCAACTGTTCTCCAGGCCAGTGTTGCTCTCCTTTCAGCTTGTGACACCATAAAATTTAACCACTTATTTTGGCAATCCCTCAAGTGATTTCCTTTCTCACTGCTTCCATTGGAAAGTTTTATGTACACGTTTCTTGTTATTTCAGGAGAAAAAGATGTGAGAAAGTGCGGAAAATAGGAAGTTTTGTGTAACTGATTTCTGTCCTTATCTACCCTATCCTCTTGTGACCCATCATATTACTCTTGGCATTTCCCCGAGGATCCTCCTGTCATCTAAATTTAGTACCACTGGTAGAGATGCTGCATAAACACTAGTCCCTTTTACACATGCTCTACACTACTGAGAATTTCCCAACATTGTCCAAGTGGGCTGCATGTGTGAATGCAAACAGGTGAATCTGCTCAACCAGACCTTATCCAGACCTTTTACTCCCAGCACTCTGGTAATATTCATGTAAAGTCAGAGTGAGCCAATGTGTGTACTCATCAGGATTAAGGGAGTCCGGGAACATTTGCCATTAGGGAGCTGATAAGGTGATGTTCTTAAGTGTGTTGCATTAATGTTAGGTCAGAAACAATCACTAGACCAGAGTGGTATTTTGGGATGTAGTTGCATATTTGTCTCTTGTTTTGAGGTACATATTTCAAAGGTAAGTTTATTGAAGTATCAGGGCCTGAAAGTCCTGAAATTATCAGGAGTTCAGGTGTTAAAGTAGGGTGACCTTACGTTCTCTTTTACCCAGACATGTCCTCTTTTGGGGGGGCTCTATGGGCTGTCTGGCCTTGTCCGGCTTTGTCCAGGGAAGTTTATAAAATCATTCAAATGTTCGTGGTTTTGAACGGAAGTTTTGATTTTGTGTCACGTGGACTTACTGAGTTAGAAGTGCACAAAAGACACTTGATCCGACCCGAAAAACTCTTTAAATTAACTTTGTTCGACTCTGTGACTCTGCCCCCGCATATTTGAGTCCTCTTGTTGGGAAGTCAGAATATGGTCAAAAAAACTTGGCCGTACTTTATTTCACAGATAGCAACAAGTCAGTGAAGTACTGGATTTGTTGTGAAATAAGGTGTCTTCTTATCAAGCAGCAGCTATGGTGTTGAAAGATGAATCCAAAGGAATCGTTCTCATCCTGTTTTCTTAATAGTCATACATGTATCTTTGTGCATATTTTCAATGGAAAGGTGAGCAAAGTTTCAGCGGTGTAATCTCTCTGTTTGACCCATGTGCTGTAGTAGTAACAGTTCGAATACATGATTATATAAAGACATTTTTTTTTCATAGATGGTGCCTTTGACTTTTAAAGGTAACCATTAGTC